CTTTAGAATGATATTGTTATTGTAAAACTTGTTCTCCTGTAAAACTTCAGTCTGCATCAGTTCACATAAGCTTTCTCAGTTTTCTCTGAAACCGTCTCCAACCGTGCTCCATTGTATTTATGTACCATAGTTTGTTCAGCAGTTCCCCACTTTGACGGGAGCCCCTTTAGTTTGCAGTTCTTTGCCACCACAAAAAGAGTTGCTATCAGTATTTTTATAAGACAGACCCTTTTATTCTAGCTTTGATTTTTCTGGAGCGTAGGCCTGATAGAGTTATAAGCTGTCAAAGAAGACCATTCCAGGTTGCTTTTCAGAGTGGCCAGACCAATGTACAGTTTCACCTACAGTGCAGCAGTGCTCCTGATTTCTTACAGCACCGCTAACATTTGTCGTTTCCCTTTTTTGTCTTTTTCAGAGATACTAGATGTATGTATTTTTAACATTTGGCAGTTTCCTTTCATATCATAGTTCTTGTGCAGAAGCCTTTCAGTTTATGTGATGGAAATTATCTGTTTATTGCTTGTGATTACTTCTATTCCTTGCCTGAGTTAAGTTCAACGAGAGTTGTAAAAGGCACTCACTGCCTCTGGGTTTCTTTCATTTTGTTGTTAAATGATGTGACCTTTTATGTTTAGGATGAGTATCCTTTTGGACCTTAGTGTGTTGTTTTGTCTAAGATGCTGGCCTAAACTTATTTATTTATTTACTGCCAAATTGCTTTCTCATTTTCCCAGCAGCTCTTGTTGAATAAGAGTCTTTGTCATGAATTTATGATTATGTTTATGTTCTTAGGGTTAAATTTAGTTTTTAGGGTTATTGCATGCTGGGCTGCAGAGTTCGATTGTTTTGATTCCAACTTTTCTATTTCTAAATCATTACCAAATAGTTTTTGGTAATTACTGCTTTATCATACAATTTGAGATCATTCTTTTTTTCATTATTTTCCTTGAAATTCTAGGCCTTGTTTCTCTAAATGGATTTTAAGCTATTACTTTGTCTAGCTTTTTAATGTAATACCTTGGCAGTTTGATATAGCGTGAATTAATTTAGGTAGTATAGTCATTTTACTATTTTAATATAGCCCAGTCACAATGAATATCACCTCATTTATTTAAGTTATTCTTTCTCCTTTTAGAGAAGTATTTTGCAGTTTTATTTATATAATCTTGAGTGTATTTTGGTATATCGACTCCCAGATAGATATTTTGAATGAGCTTTTTTCCTATTTTATCCTGGTTTTTGTTATTGCTAATAGAAATGCTGATGTATTTTGGGGCCTAATTTGTATATTGCCACTTTATCAGAACTATTGCTTGTCTTCATTTGCTGATGATGTGAAGTTTTCTGAATAAGTTATCATGTCTGTAAATAGGGTTAAGTTGGTAAGTCAAGGTGGTGGTTGTTGGTTTTTTTTTTTTTTAAAGAGGGACCTGGGAACAAGTCATTGGATTAAGAAAGAGTGAAGACAGAATATATGATTGGGATTAGCTGGCAGAGGATACTGGAGAGGGGGTAGGCTCAAGAGTTCAAGCAGTTGACTTTGGCAGTAATGATCATCCCTTATTTAGAGACTGGAGTATAAGAGGAAAGAATGGGGGATGATGAAGAGAGTTTTGAGGTATGGAGTAGTGGAAAAGAGGGAGCTCATGGTAGGTGGCTCTATTTTTTAATATAGTAATTCAGTTTGGGTACTAGCCTGTGGTACTATACTAAACTACAGGGGACTTGAGGAGGAAGAGAAGGGAGCATGATGGAGGCAGTCAGGAAGGAGTTCAAGAGTTACTGTACCACAGTGAGAGCCCTTGTCCACTTACCTAAAATCTGTTTTGTAGGGGATCTGTTCAGCACAGTTGTTTTAATTTAATCCTGCAGTGTTCTGCAGGAGTTGAGTAGGAGCAGAGAAGGTGGCTTCTATGGGTAAATCCAGGATTGGAGTTTGTCAAGATAAAACAAGGGATACAGAGGTTGAACTGGTCAAGCATAGGGTCAGAATTGTGGAGGGAGGAAAGGAAGGACAGAGGACAGGTAATAGCTTGGGAGAACTGGGAAAGGTGGAGGGACTAGAGGTCATCCATCGTGTAGGTGAAGAAGAGGTATGGGAGGGATGCGACAAGAAGAGGTGGGTGGGGAGGAGGTTTTGCTCCCAGAGTAGTTTTAGAGGTTAGGATTGCCCTTGTGGGTGACTGAGATGGAATGAAACAATAGACCATGTGTGTTAAGAAGTTTGGTGACCTGAGAGTGTTTGAGGGGACATTAACATGTATATTGAAGACCTAAGTAGAAGGGCTGGGGTAGAGGTACAGAGGAAGACTGTAAGCCAGGTCCTGAGCTCCTTGTGAAAGCAAGGAGATAGAGCTGAAGGTTGGTAGATGACTGCCACCAGGACCTGGACCAAATGACATGGATGGTGAAATGTACCTTAAGGGAAGAACGTGCCACTTCTTCCTCCTCTTCTCCCAGTCCGTGAGGTGTCAGAAGAAAAGAAAGCCTCATTTCATGAGCCCCAGATGATGGAAATAGAGACAGATGAAGAGATCTGGGAGGAAGAAGAGTTTGTAAACAATAAAGTTGGGATTCCAAAGGACTCAATGTCATGAAAGAGCAGAGTAGAGGATATAGACCTGGAGGGGGCAGCAATGTGATTAGGGGGAGTGGTGGCTGGGGGTAGGGTTTTCACATGAGCAGCTAACTGAATCGTAGGGGTACAGATAGCAGGAAGTAGGAGGTTGCCAGCTCTACAATAGGAGAAAAATGAATTGGACCTGCCTCCCTCTTGAAACAAAAGGAGAAGCAAAACCCTTGTAATAAATATGCATTGTCAAGCAAAACAGATTGCCACATTGACCCTGTCCAAAACTGTGTGTCTTGTTCTGCATCTGGAATCGATCCCCTTGCTGTCAGAGAAGGTGGACAGACATCATGCTCCGTCGTTGGTCCCTTGGAATCGTGGTTGGGGATTGCACTGATCAAAGTTAAGCCTGTGAATGTTACTTGTCTTTGTGATATTTCTGTTCTCTCAGTTCTCTGGGGACCGCTTGCCAGTGTCCTGTCTGTGTGTGTGAGGTTGTGGTCAAACTTCTTCAGTCGTCACTGCAGGTATCAGGGAGTGGGCAGATGTGTGTAGGTGGAAGGTCAGTAAATATTTGGAGTGCGTGTCCCCTAGGTCACACCGAACTCATTGCACCCTCGTCCCAAGGTACTGGAGGATGAAGCACGGCCAGAACACCCTCCTCCCCAGCCTTGAATGGAGGAAGCTCACCGCTCCTGGGCTCTGAGCAGTGTGCCCAGTGGCTAGGGCCTCCGACTTGGAGTTGAGAGCAGCCGACTTTAACTTTTGCTCTAGATGCTTACAGGCCATATGGTCCAGGGTATATCACTTAACATTCGTTTACCACCAGCTGCTCTGCTGGGTTTCAGCTCCATCAATCACCTCCATCTTGTGCTTCCCGGGATAAACTCAGCACCATGATGAACATCCTCACGGACGCAGCTTCAGCTTTGCCAGCCAGTAGCCTCCGAAGCATCAGCTCCTGATTGTCGAGGCAGAGTGAAGAGCCCAAAACTGCTCCTGTAGTTTGCCTTCAGAGAGGGTGCAGAATGCCAGCCGTCTCATGCCCTTGTGGCCGGTACCCTCGGGCACTCCTCCCCCCTTCAGCTTCCTTTTTCCTGTTGTCTCCCCCTGTTAGAGAGGAGGTTTCTTGAGGGCAGGGGATTTTCTTTGTAGTTGTGGCATTTAGCATAGTGCCTGGAATGCAGCTGGTGTTTAGTAAATGTTTATTGTATTTTATGCCTAACCTCTTTGGGCCTGAGGTTTTCTGTGTTTTTTTTTTCATCGATAAAATAGGGAACAGTAATACAACTTCCCAGAATTAGGAGGCTCGAATGAGGCAATGTCTGTAAAGGGCAAAACCTAAACTGCTCAAAGATTGGATGTTAACTGCTTTACTACTAGTAGTCCTTATGGTGGCCTGAGGCTTAGGGTGTCTGAGAGGTGTGTGAATACCCTTTGGCCTAGGGCCCTTACAGCTGTTAGCTTCAGAGGTTTAGGGCCTTTGTACTGAGACACTGGTAGATGAGTGGAGTAAGTCTAGTCCCCAGGGATTATACTGAACTCACTCTAGGGGCCAGCTGTATGTGGAGGAAACCTTTCCAGGCTTTTAATCCCTTCAATCTTCCCTTCATCCTTATTACTTTGGAGCCCTGATACTTGGGATCTCACATTTCATTTGCATGTAATTTGCATATTCAGAAATAAAATAGTCAAGGAGATCTGGATTCCAAATGCTGAAGGAGATTTTGTTCTCTACAAAGACCAGAAATTAGAGTTGAAGCAGGTTGTGCTATTTTCGTGTTTCTAATACTTGCCAGAAAAGAAAATTGTTTTCATCTAGGCCTCTTGAATAAATATAAAGGTCTGAATTTCCAGGTAGGTGATGAATATAGTTCCTAGGAAAGTAGATGCCTTTAACGAGTTACAATAATATTTTACTTAGAAGCAGTTGAGCACAGCGCTAACATTAACCTTGCCATGTTGGGCTTTGTATATCTCTTTGGCAGAAGTTTGGGGGGATTTAGAAGTGCTTTTTGTTAACTCATTGCTCACATCAGTTATGAACCGAGGAGTTTCATAGCAGCCCTATATCTGAATGTTGGTGTTCGCCGTGATGTGGATGGAAGATAGTGTCTGGTTTTATTTTATGACCACCCAAGAGTTTATCTTGTTTTGATTTAGCAATGAAAATGGTTCCTAAGAGCACAGATCTTCCACATCAGATAAAACACTGATGGTCTCTGCTCCTTCTTTCTTTTTACCTCCTGTATCACTTTGTGGATTTATTTGATAATCTTGGGCTTTGGGCTGTGGTTCTTCACATCACTTGGGAAAAAGAATCGTGGTTATCAGTTGCTGCTGGTCACCCACTGCTGATCCACCGCCAAGAAAGGCTGGGGGGTGGGGTGGGGGAGAGTGGGTGGTGTAGTGGTGGGAAGAAGTTTATAGTTTGAGTGACTCTACTGCCAGGATTTTCTGAGTCCTGACTTCAAACATTGTGCTTGCTTGTCCCCATAAGGAAATTGATCCAAGAAATACTTTGTCAAGTGATGTAGCCTGATTTTTTTCTTTGGATACTATGGTTACCATGTCTGCATGTGGACCCCTAAGCTTGTATTTCTTGAGTACCATTCTTCTAGAGCAGTCGTCAGGAGGCCATGTGCAGAGAAGAATCCAAAAAGTGGGGGCGTGTTTGAGCCCAGAGCACAGTCAGAAGGCTAGGCTCTAGGGTAAGAGTGACTTCCCTTGGCCTTGGGCCTTCTGTCATTCTCTCCTTTTTAACAGAAAACATCAGAGTAGTGATGGTTGCCCGTCTCACAAAAGTTATGGTAGGAATAAGATAAAATTAACTACCCAGGACCCCACAGATATGAGGGGTCAACATGGACTGTTCCAGCCTTGGCTAGTTGGGGCCATTAAGGTCTACTTTGGGTGGGAGGAGAGTGCACAAAGGTACTGGTTGCCTAGTGGTAATTTTTGGGTGACTTTGATTCATTTTAATAATCTGTCTCGGGGTAGGGACTAAAATGATTATTGTTGTTTTTCTAAGAAAAATTGGCTGTGTATTTCTTGGGCCCATTTGCTTCAGCTTACTGTTGGTAGAAACACTGTGGACAGAAACCATGGGGCTGTGATGTTTAGTCTTCTGTTGGAAGGGCATGAAGATTTTTTCCCAGTGAAGTCCTTAACATCATCCTTTGGGGTGGGGGTGGGGCCAGGTGGTGATACTAAACCCTCAGTGAAGCTTGGAAGTCCAGAGATCAGTCCTCAGAGGAAGGGCAAGCTGACAGGAGCCCTGGAGCTGGCCATTGGTTCCAGTTTTCCCATTTCGAAGAGTCTGTGCTGACCCTCTCTAGCTCCAGCTGCTGAGGGCAGAGCACAGCCACAAAGAATGACTCCCCTTCTGACTGGTCCACAGTTCAGTTGCTTGTTTGCTTTGAAGAAATTGCAAGGTGGGGAAGTTGATGTTTTAGGCTCTGATTTCAGTCCCTGCTGGGCTATGCAAATGTTCTCTACATGCCTGAGTGACCTTTTGAAAAAGAGCCTTTGTGATCTCCTGTAGCCAAGGCCTGTTTTGGGAATTGTGGGCCAGATCCCCTCTAAAGCGGGAAAAGTGGGTCTGGCGAAGGTGCTCTCCCATTAGGGAGGGCAGCAAATGTTTTGCCTGTCGGAAGGTAAATAAGTCCAACTTTCTTCTTGCATTTGCAGGAGTGTGACACTTTGCTTGGCAGTTTTCTTTGTAGGTTGATTGTGGAATGAAGTGTGACTGAGGAGAAAACTGAGGCAGTCCTCTGGAGCTGGGACAACATTTACTTAGATGCTTCAGGATAGCGGATACAAGGAAGTGACCTCAATGTAAGCCCAGATGTGCAGTGTGGTGTCGGCTCTGTGGCACAGGACGAGCTCAGAGTTGGGGGATTGGTTCTGAGATTCTGTTTGTCTCTATTATGTGATTGTCAGTTGGTTTAAAAATTTTCTCTGCAGCATTAAAGTTCATAGAAAAATATTTTATTTTAGAAACTTCATTTGCTTTAATTTTTTAGTGAATAGGTTTTAAAAGTAGAATCACTTGAAAAGTTGATAAGGGAAAGATTCATAATTTTCAGTTTTTGTTGTTTTTACTGTTTATGTTGCTGGGGAGGGAGGATTTTATTTTTCCCTTTTCATAAATGACCTTCCTGATACAGGGTCATGATAGATTTGAATCAGGATGAAATCACACAATAATTTCTTTGTAAAAATTCTGAAAACTGCATTTCACAGAAGGTAGACAGCTGTTTATTGATTAGCGCACAGCATCGGAACTCCCGGTTTTACTTGTTACGGTTTTCCTTCTTTCCTAACTGAAATAATTCTTTTTCTTTGTGAACACGTCAGCTGTGTAGATAAATCACTTATTATTTAGCCAAAGTGGAATGCATAGGACAGTCTAAGAATTAATTCTTTGTTGTCCCCAGAGACCGTGGTCCTTGAGGTAAGAAGAGAGGGTGCTGGAAAGTCCTTGAAGATCCGATATAGTGCAGACCTTTGTTTGGTGGCAGGTTGGGAGACAAATACAAGCCGTGGGCTGTGATGTTGAGTCTTGTGTTAGAAGGGCATGATGATTGTTTTTCTGTAAGTCCTTAGTATTCTCTTTTCTCCTCTGGGGGTAGGTGATATTACTGCTGAACCCTCAGTGAAACTCGGAAGTGCAGAGACCGAGCATCAGAGCAGATGGATAATGGAGACTGGGCCTATATGGTGAGTGCAGTGTCGTAACTCTATGTGTGCGTGCTGCAAAATAGCTGAGGAACTGATTTTTCTTACATGCCCACGCAGGCCCTTTAACATGAATTTTAAAAGAATAAGTAAGTTATAAGTTCATGCATGTCATCTGTGAATTAGAATAACCTGGACCATGACATTGATTACATTCTGTAATTTTTGAGGTGTTGTAATACGTATATTTATGTATTCACATCCAATACAAGGATCTCTTTTAAATACTAAAGTTTAATACTAGCCATTGAAATCAGATTATGAAATTTAAAGCTTTGCTCTTGAATTTTTGCTTTCTTCATCGAGCTCTAACTGCACTGAAGTGAAGCTCGTGGAAAGCAATTATCCATTTATTTTGTAGTTCTGGAAATTAGTGAGGTTTATTTATGTAATTCAGTGGATAAGTGCCAGCTCCATGAATGTTAGCCTTTTCCCCAAAAGAATCACAGAAAATGTGAGCTCATTTTTGCCTTTCTCTGCCTTTGGTTAGGAAGTGCTTTTCTTATGAGATCTTGATCTCTTATTGGTATGGGAGAGTAAGACCAATGGGTCAGGACGGTTTGGAGATGCTTCTTCTCAAAACTAAAGGCAAGATGATGACATTAGCATTACAAAGATAAGCCAGCTGTCAGGATATGGAGACTTAAAAACGGCATTGTCTGCCTTGCACGTGTCATGGTTTTGTGAGCAGGACATAGGGATGAGACAATAGCATTTAGCTCACTTACTAATACAAATCATTTGTTCCATAGAAAACGTAACAAGGTAAATTTTGCCCATATTGTGATCTTAACACAACAATTTTAAACTTTTTTTTTCTCTTTGTGAGGAGAAGTAAACAGAGGAAGTGTCAAGAAGAACTTTTTTGGTCAGCATCTCACTTTCTTTTTGTTCAGTAAAATGATTCCCTTGATTTCGGGTAGTTTTTTTTTCAGTTCCTCTGCCACAGAGGTTAACTTGGCAGTCAGCTAGAGTTTCTCACACTTCTCCGTCACTGAGTAAAGACTGAAGTAGAGGCTGGGTCATGCCACGTACCTGGAGACAGAGAAGTACGGTGGCCCATTGAGCAGTCTTTTAAGGCAGACACTGAAATACCTTAGTCTTCAGCCCTGCTATTGTGTGTGCTCATAGAGGCAGGTCTGGTGTATTCTAAATAGTTGTTTTAAATGCAGTTTTTGTTTTTAGATTGTCTGGCTCTGACGAGGCTGAAGCTTGGATTTTTAGCAACTCTAGTTTAGATCGTTTTTTATTTAAAGTGAGAATATAATTGTAGCAAATATCTGTCTTCTTGGTCTGCAGTATTTATCTTTCTAATTTTGGCGTCCCTGAGGCACCTGGTGGTGCAGCGGACGGAGCAACGGGACTGGAGTTAGGAAGACCTGAGTTCGGATTTGGTCTCAGATGCTTACCAGCTGTATGACCTTGGGCAAATCACTTCACTTCTGTTTGCCTCAGTTTCCTCAACTGTAAAGTGAGGATAATAATAGCACCCGCCTCTCAGGGTCGTTGTGAGGATCCAATGAGATAATGTTTGTAAACCACTGGTGCCTAGTAAGTGTTGTATAGATAGCTATGTTATTATTTAGTTTTTTATAGCTTTTCATAACAATAGGCATTTATAAGATTGAATTTCAAATATACCACATTTTAAACTACATTAATCTTTTTTGGTAGCATACTCTATTTGGAAAACTATTCCCTTTGGTTATGACAAAAATTGTATATATTTGGAAAGCAATATAGTACGTAATTCCTTATTTTCAGAGTCAGGCTTTGGAAAACAATACCTTCCAATTTGGGTGGTTTCTTTTTTGTTCTATTGAAGAAGGTCCTTAAATTTAGCAGCAATATTATACCTGTGGCATGTGATCCCTTAATACCATTATTTGTCATTGACATTAATGGAGTAAACCTAATTTCCTGTGTGTTGCTGGTGTTGGACAATACAACCCGGATTCCTCTCCCCGCCTGAATCATGCTGTCTGTTGTGTTTGCAGATGACTGATCCAGTCACATTAAATGTCGGGGGCCACTTGTACACGACCTCCCTCACCACTCTGACGAGGTATCCTGACTCTATGCTGGGAGCCATGTTTGGGGGAGACTTCCCCACAGCCAGAGACTCTCAGGGCAACTACTTCATTGATCGGGATGGACCCCTTTTCCGATACGTTCTCAACTTCTTAAGGACTTCAGAGTTGACTTTGCCTCTGGACTTTAAGGAGTTTGATCTGCTTCGGAAAGAAGCTGACTTCTACCAGATCGAGCCCTTGATTCAATGTCTCAACGATCCGAAGCCTTTGTATCCCATGGATACTTTTGAAGAGGTCGTTGAGCTGTCCAGCACTCGGAAGCTCTCCAAGTATTCCAACCCGGTGGCGGTGATCATCACGCAGCTGACCATCACCACCAAGGTCCACCCTCTGCTGGAGGGCATCTCCAACTACTTCACTAAGTGGAATAAGCACATGATGGACACCAGAGACTGCCAAGTGTCCTTCACTTTTGGTCCCTGCGATTACCACCAAGAAGTCTCTCTGCGCGTCCATCTCATGGAGTACATTACGAAGCAAGGCTTTACGATCCGCAACACACGGGTGCATCATATGAGCGAGCGGGCCAACGAAAACACAGTGGAGCACAACTGGACTTTCTGTCGCTTGGCCCGCAAGACAGATGACTGACCCACGACCAGGGGAAACTGGTGGACTCTGGCTCACAGATGAAAGGTTAAAAAAAAAAAATCACCCCTGTGGGCTTAAAAAAATCTGTATTTATTTAAAGGATGTGAGGACTGGAAAAGAAATTTGTGCTTATCAAAACTTCTGTCCTCTCCCTTCCTCCCCTGTTGTCCCATTCACACCGAGTATGCATGTGCCTGTTCAAATTCTCAAGATACCTTTTTTATAAAAAGAATTCTAAAAATCATTATGGTCTATAATCCACCTGTTAACAGAACTTTTTCTATTACAGTGCTAAAATTATTACTGTTTAAATGGTTCCTAATGCAACTACAAGGCTAAAAACACTGGAAATGGAAGAATTTGCAGGGTGCTTCTGATGCCTTTGAGAAAATCAAAACTGATGAGGGCCCTAGTTTCCAGGCCAATAAACGGTGTTGGGATATGAAAGGAGGCCCTGATCCAATCGGTTTAAAGTACTTGTTAAGTCCTGCTTTTTCTAGCCAGGACAACATTTCTTTCTATGCATATAAATCAAGCAACCAAATATCTGTAACCATGGAAATGTTGGACTAGAAATATCTGTATTGGATTTTGAGCACCAAACGTCCCCACGGTAGAAGTCTTACTTTTTATGCCTGGTGCAATATTATTCCCAAGTGTACTGCCTGCCCCAAAGAAGCTAATAAAAAAAAGTGAAATACGGAAATTAGGATTGGATTCATTGATTATTGTTGGTAACATGCTGCCTGTGTGAGAGCATTTTTTTTCTTAAAATAATTTCAGTATCATATTTTGGAGAGGTTATTGATGGCAGCGTAATGATCACAGCGTTAAAATAGTAACATTCAGAAGACGTGGACTCTTTCTGGATGTCTACAATGAACATGTTGGAAAAGTTTCATTTCATACTGTCTTTTTAACCCAACCTTGTGCTCTAGCAGAGTCCGCACTGAATATGTTCCTAATGTCCAGGTTTGAGCTCACTAGTCTGATTTTGCTGCCTGTGTGCTAGGCAGAGAATCTGCTAAAAACCGTACCTGGCTCAGCTCAACCAAAGCCTCTGTGGTGCTTGAGATTTTTTTTTTTCACATTTATTTTATTTTTAATTTATGGAATAAAATGAGCATTTCCATGTGGTGCTTGAGATTTTTTAAAAAAATGAATTCTTCTGATATGAATGCAGATAGCCTCGCCACAGTGAAAAAAGTACAACCGTTCTCTTCTGTTGTCATATTTTATTTTATATGACTTTTATTTGGTTCAGTTTCCTGCAGCAAAAAGGATTAGCTATGATAGCTACAATTTGCTGATCTCTAGACTATCAGGCTGCTGACATTTCTTGCTCGGGAAGATAGCTTCAAAGCTGCACACCCCAGGTCACAGGACTAAGGCTCTCCAAGTCTGCCTGACAGGCTGTCTCATTTTACTGATGTGACGAACTTCCATTCCAGGGCCAGCAAACAGAGCAGGAAAAGACCCTAGGAGCAAAGCCTGTAACCTCAACCATCAGGGACAAAATGGCAGAATTTTCCCATGAAACTTCTTTATCCAGTTTAGTTAATGGCCAAGTTCCTGTATTATAAATAGAACTTTAACTAAACCTTAGCAAGCTGACAATTACACTGAATTACACAGAAAATTGGGTCCAACAGAGTTGTAAATTCCGCTTGTGTTTCCTTTCTATGAAATTCTCGTCACCTTGTTAAGTTATGGAAACCCCACCAGTTTAGGGAGGTCTGTCACTATGTGAGAGAGCCTTTTGGAGTGTGGGAAGAGACAGAAGACCAATTGAATCCAGTTTAAGAAACGTTTTAAACTCATGATGAAACATTCTCAACATCTTTTTTTTCTTTATTCAGTCACCTAGTGGAGTCAAAAGCCTTGAAACCAAAGTCATTTTCTTTCAGATTTTCAAATGATTAGTACATTGTTCCATTTAATCACATAACAGCTAAATGTTTAAATGGATTAGTTGCAAACTTGAGTTGGTAATATATTCATTTGATTTGTGGTAGGATATTCTGTAAGAAAATGGTGTTTAAAATAGAGACAATCTAGTACTTTAAATGTGATAAAAAAGTGTTAAATTTACTGTGTAAAAAATCAGGTATAAGTATTGCTCTTCAGAGGATTAGGCTGATTTGATTATTAGCTCCTGCTTGTATCCATTGGTTTCTTTTTGTGAATTTGAGAAGTTTGTCAAGAACTAGGCATTTGATGAGGAAAGTTTTATTTTTTCACAGAATCTATAAAACAGTACTGCTGCAGGCACCCATCTAATGGCTAATGATTTGCTTGCCTTTTCCTCAGCTTAAATACCCTGGATTTTCCTTGATCACATATTTATAAATTTAGAGGGTGATTTCATTCTGCTTCTTGAATGTAAAACACAGTTCGTAGGTGGCAAATCTCATAATTTGGATCGGTTACTTTTTAAGAATGGCCTCAGGTATTTCTCATAGGCAGGATTCCCCTGTTTGAAGAAAGAGATATTAAAATGACAATTTCAGCCAACATTAATGTCAATTTTTTGTTCACAGTTAACTCTACATTGGAAAGATTTCATAAGATTCTTAATTTTTTTTTTTTTTAAAGAATTCAGGCTGTATGAACTTCTGGAGAAACATTTTTCAAAGGTCAGCCTCCTTTTTTTCCCAGTGTAGATTTCATAGTGTAGGCGCACAAGGCCAGTTGCAAAGTACTGCAGCTCAGTCTTTTGTCTTAAAGTTTCGAGTCAATAAACATTTATCAAGTGAGGGCATTGTGTTTGGTGGAGAGGATATAAGGATAAAAACATACACATTCTTGGGCCTCATGAATAGGTATCTCATTCTGCATAAGATTCTTTGAAACTGAGGGAAAAAATATTTTCTGTCCTCAGGGACTAGACAAAGTTTACCTATTCACCTGAGCTGCTTGCTTTTGTAGCAGCAAAGGGTAAAGATGCCAGATGTATGGGGTAGAGTGGGAAAGATCTCTTAATTTCAGAACCCAAACCTCTGTTTTGCCCCATTTTACCCCCTCCAACTCTTTCCCAGTGCAGTAGGATGGGCTAAGTGGAAAGAGCCATCCCTTATGCCTCTGTTAGTCTGATATAGGCCTCAAATTTATCAGAATAAGACATTTAAAAAATAAATTGGCATGAAAAAATATCGGTAGGCCTTTTCAAGCCACATTCCACAATTAGTGCTGAAATAGACCAAGATCAGTCAGTGAGTCCAGCTGGTTGGAAGGTTAGACCCAACAAGCAGATAGCCTTGGGATAAAGGCCATCTTTAAATGACCTCAAGTATTCTCCCCATTTAAAAAAAATATATTGAGAGTAGTGAATCAAAGAAAGGCAGATTTGGGATCCGTGAAATGAAACTTTTCCTAATAACTAGAGCTGCTCGAAATGGAATGGGCTGCCTTGAGGAAGCGTGGGCTCCTTGTTCCTAGAGGTCTTCAGGTGGAGGCTGGATGAATATCTGGGGATACTGGAATAGGGATTCCTGATAGGTTATGGGTCAAACCAAATGACCCCTGAGGTCCCTTTCAACTTTTTGAGTGCTGGAGACTTTTTTTTTAAACTACTTACACTATATCCAAAAGTATAACTGTATTTCACTATGAAATTTTCTCTCTCCCCTCTCCCTACCCCAGCAAAAAGAAAAAATAATTGCATTGTATGGCTAGTATATTAAATTGAACCTATCCCTGATTACATGGCATTTTCAGTTGTAGGTATTTAAAAAATTTATGCACTGCATTTTTCTGCCCACGTAAATAGGATAGGTTAGGTTAAAATACATTTTATGACAACTCATTCAACTGTTTGTGGAAATTCTGGAGGTCAGCTAGGTTCAATTTGAACTTTTTACCACTGAAACTTTTGGGGCCCTCAAGCTATTTGAAATTACACATTCTTCTAATCAGAGTCACTGTATTCTGAAAATCCATATAATCATGTAGTTGATTAGGTGTAGAATTGAGAGTCTGCTGTTGCTAGAGTAAAGAGGCCACGTGGTCTAAAGCCTCACTTTGTATGTGACATCATCGTTCCATAGGGTGACACCCCACCAGTTTTAAAATTTAACAATTCACCAGTGCGGTTCCTTGTTTACACAGAAATAGGGATATTTAAAAGCCACTTTATAGATCTCCTTGTTCTGTACGCTGACATCCTTATGGTAATAATACAAAAATCAGCTAATTAAAGACTCAAGTGCTTTTGGGATATACAAACAATTAAAAGCTATATATATATATATTTTTTTTTTTTTCCATGGTAACTTAGAGAAGAAGGACCTGATTCTTTTGCAGTCAGTAAACCTGGTTTTACCCAGAACATTTCAGTTATTTTGGATATAGAGGAGTGGGTTGTTTTTTCCTCTTTTGCATAGCAAAGGGGGAAAATGTGTATTATTATTTAGCCATGTGAAAATTACATATTTTACATATTATATATGTATACAGATATACAGATACACACACATATGTTACACATATATGTTGTGAGTTTACTTTTCAGATTAGATCCACTAGTCCAGGTAGGAATACCCTTTTCTTTCTCTTTTAGGGTTTGTACCATAATATCACAGAACATTAAAGCTGGAAGATACCTTAGTTTCCTTCTCTATAAAACAAAGCTAGTAGATGGTCTCTGAGTCTCAGAGCTAGTTAGCAGTAGAGCCCAGGTCCTCTGACACATAATCACAGAACTAAAATCCAGGTTGGAAGGGAGGCCATTTCATCTAAATCATAGAGGTAAAAGAATCCCCTTGATATCTATAGGGATTCATTCATCAAGCTTCCACCTGACTGTGAACAAAGTCTCCTCCACAACCTCCCACCCTCCCCACCCCAGTGGTTCTCCAACCAATACCAAGAAGCTTAAAATTGAGTGTCCGCTATTCCCTTCAGAGGCGGTCCCTTCCACTTTGGACGGTTCTAATTTCTAGGAAATTTTTCCTTACCTCAAGCCTGAATTGACGTCTTTGTGACTTCAGCCTGCTGCTCCTAGTTCTGTCTTTTAGGAATAAGCAGAGCAAATCTTGTCCTCTTTTCAGTGACAGCCCTTCAGATACTTGAGGATAGTGATCATATATCCCCACTAAGTTTTTCCTTCTCCAGGCTGAAAGTCCTCAGGTCCTTCAGCTCATCCTCACATGCCGTGATCTCAAGGCTCTTGACCTCGTTTTCCTCCCCTTGATGCTCCAGGTTGTCAATGATCCTTCCTAAAAGGTGGGCTCTGGGATGCTTTCCTTCTCTTAATGCAGCCCCAAGTTACATGAGCTTTCGTGGGGAATACGCTGTTGGCTCATATTGAGCTTGGAAAGCCCTAGCTATTTTTTCAGGTGAGATGTTGTTTAGCCTCCATCTTGTCCTTATGCAGTTGATTTTTTGAACCCAAGTATAACACTTTACATTTATCTCTATTAAATTCCATCTTATGAGATATGGCCTAACATTGTAGTCTGTTAAGATATTTTTTAGTCGTGTCATCCCGTGTGTTAGCTCTTCTTCCCAGCATTGAGTCATTTATGGTTTTGCCAAGCGTGCTTTCCCTGTTTCTAGCCAGACTGCTGATAAAAATGTTGAAATGAAAGCATGGCCCTTCCCTGGAAACCTTTAAAGCTGACATTGAACTTACTGGGTCTGGCCTTTCAATCCCTTGTGAGTGGACTTATCTTCCGTCTACCCACATCCTTCTATCTCTTCTACAAGAATAGCGTGAGAAATTTTATCGCATGCTTTGCTAGAATCTAGATGGACCGTCTCTATGGCATTCTGCTGTTCTACTCATCTAGCATCCCTGTGAAAGAGGAAATGAAGTTAATCTGGTACAACTTGTTCTTGAGGGAGCCGGGCTGTTCTGTAGATCATGATTTCCTTTTCTGGACAACCTCTTGCCACCTTTTACAAATTCAAGGTTTCTTATACAAGCCACTTTCCTATTCTTGTTTGTACATTAAAATGTTTGTGTTGTTGATGTATAAGTTCACAAAAATAAAATTTGATTTGAAAAAAAAATTCTAGAATTTTGCCAGGAATCAAAATCCAGCTTATTGGCCTATAGCTCACCGATTCCATTCTCTTCCCTTTTTTGAAAATCAGAAGAACATTTACTCTCTCTTAGCCCTGCAGGTACCTCTTATATTCTCCATAGTCTTCCAGAGGTCATGGACAGTGACTTGGCAATCATCCCTGATCATTTTTTCAGTACCTTGGGGTGTAGTTCACTTGGGTTTGATGACTTGAACTCATCAGGGGTAGCTAGGTGCTTAATTTTTTGGGGTATCATTTGTTTCTTTACTATTTTTATATGTTTCCTTTCCTGTTCAAAGATCATTCTTAGCTCAGACAGAAGCAGGCACAGATATTAGAAGCTCTGGCTTCTCTCTTCTGCCAGTTACTCGAATCTCATCCACCCCAAGAAGTGGTTCTGTTTCTTCATTCATCCTTCCTTGGGCTAAACATCCCACCCAAAGCTTTTTGTTATCCTTAGCTTTCTCCACCAGCCTCAGCTCGTTTGTTTTGAGCTTTAGCATTTCTGACACTATTCTTAGAGGCCTGAGCTATGCTTATATATTCATCGTCTCTTCCCTGTCCTTGCTTTTATCTTCTGTACATGGTTTTTTAAAATCTAAATTGGGTAGTGAATTCCTTACACATCCATATTAGTCTCCTTAGACAGTTCATTTTCCTTATCCATTGTATTGTATTGTATTGTATTGTACTGTATTACAGGCACCTTCAGAATTTTATTCTTGAGAATATCTCATCCCTTGTGGGTTGATTTCCTGTTTAGAATTTTAGTGTATGAGATCCTGTTTTTCCTTTGAACCTTTTTAATTCTCTTGTCCTCCAGATCTAGAATGTATGTCTGACTATACCTGGTATTCTTCTTCTTTATCACAAAGACTGAATGGTTTTTGTTTCACTTCAAGTTTCCCATCATTTCCACCCCAGCAACCAAGTCCTTCCTGTTGTTGACAATCAGATCCTTCATAGAATTTCCCTGTCCATTCCTCCATTTTAAAATGATGTTATCGTTAATTCAAGTCATGAAATTATTAGCTACCCTACTTTTGGTAGTGTGAGAGAGCTTCAGTTGATGTCGAAATGATTGAAATCTCCCATCACTAATTTATTATTCCTTTGTGTCAGGCTTATCTTCGGTTTCCTGGACTTGTCTATTTCCTCTTTTGGCCCAGATGGTCTGTGGAATGCTCCAATGACAATGTCAGGTCTGTTTCTCCGATGGAACACTGCTGAAATGCTCTCTGCCATGTTTCCCCAATTTGACATTCCATCTTCACCTCTCTTCCTTGGTACAAGTGGTCCCCCAAACCTAGAGTGCTCTCCCCACTTCCCTTGACCTCTTGGGATCTCCTTTCCAGCGCAATTCAAGCGCTTTCTCCTGTGAGAAGCCTTTTCTGATTTACTCAGCCATTAACTTTGTATTTATTCTGAACAGGTTTTGGATTCATTTATCTGTCCGTGTGTTTTCTTGGCTTTAGTTCTTCAAGGGCAGGGGCAGTTTTGTTTTTAGATTTTCTCTCCAGTATTTTTCATAGTGCTTGGCACTTAGTAGGCATTTAATAAATATTTGTTGAATTATATAAAATGGAATGCTACCCCTCTCTCATTCTTGGCTTTCTGCACATGAATTTGTCTTACTATACAGTGCTATTTCCTTCCTCTCCTTGTCTTCCTCCTCTGTTTCCTTTGAATAGACAAATACATACACGTGCACATATATATGTATGTGTGTGGGGGCATATGTGGATATATACATATAATATATGTCATTGTGATAGTTTTAGGTGTGGACCAGAAATTCAAATCCAATTCTCTGATATTATCTTTACTTCCCCAAACTGCCATTTATGAAGCTCTTGCCTTTGGTGAAAAGGCCCCCGTGCAGCCTCTTGCTCAAGACTTTGTACCCTAGCAGAGCTTTCTGGGTTCCACTGGTCAGTGCCATTTGAGCCCAAGGGAATCACCACTTGGTTTAATCAGAAGTTCTGGGCTAGATCTTGATTATGCGCTCTGGGGAAGACAAGAACTTTACTTGAGAGGCAGTGGGCTATAGTGGATAGAATGCTGGACCTGGAGCAGAGATGTGGGCTCACATCCTGCCTCTGACACTTAGCTGTGTTACTTACATCATGAACCTCAGTTTCTTCATCTGTGAAATGGAGATAATGCCCATGGGGTTGTGGTAAGGTTCAAATGAGAGAGTTCATGTGAAATACTTTGTAGCACTGGGAAAGGGCCCTGGATCTGCAGTCAGCATTTTTCTTGAGTCTTTGTCCTTTTCCTTCTCTTCTCGAATTTCTCCTCATCCTCAGGATCTTCTGCTAGAGTCCTCTTGTCCTCCTCCTCGAATCTCCCTTTAGCTTGATTCCTTTCTCAGTTTGTTCATTCTCTTCTTTCATCTCTGGCCACTTCTTCCAGAGGATGCCTTCACCTTTTCTGCTCCTCCTTCACCTTCCTATTTTTTCTTCTCCAGAACTCATTGCCGGCCTTTGTAATGATTCCAGAGCCAGTCTGATCACCCTCCCAATTCCTCTTTCACCTGAAAAACCTTTTCTTCCTACTCCTCCCTCACCTGGGAAGGGGTATGCACCAAAGATACCTGGTCCAGGCTTTTTGTTCCACTGCATGGTCTCTAAGCTATGGGCTCTCCCCTTTCCTGGACAGGCAAGACATGCCCAACCTGCCAAGGAGAAACTGCACTGTCCTTGCCACTGGCAAGTTACTTGTAAGTACAATAGAGCTGATGCAGCACTCTCGATGCAGAATGGAAAAACCCATTCTGGACTCACCCTTTCCATGGGTTACCTTGGGGGAGGGGAGGAGTGTGACTTCATTTAAAATGGTGATCTAAATTTAGACTTGATATTGACATGACAAAATGCAAATTAAGTGTGAATTAAAGTCACAGAGATGTCAATGCAAGAATGTGGCAAGACACCTTTTTGAAATTTCAAGAGAAAAAAGGTCTCATGTTTATTCACTTTCATTATCCCAGTAACACATTTATGCTATAGAACATGTTGAAACATGTTCAAGTACCTATAGGCAACGAATATGAGGTTCCTAGTCTGGGGCCTGTGAACTTAAAAAAAAAATATATATATATATATATATGTACAGATATACATACATATGTATTTGATAGTCATATTACTATGATTGGTTTCCTTTGAATTCCTATGCAGTTTATTTTATGCATTTAAAAACATTAAAAATGCAGATTTGAAAATTGTCCTGAGAAGGGGTTTGGAGGCATCACAAATTGCCCAAGAAGCTCCATGATGCCAAAAAGGTAAAGAACTCATCTAGGTTAAATATGCTGTTATATTAATTAGATTATAGGTCACAGAGCTTTTCATGCAGGTTATAGATTTTTTTGTTAACCTGAAAGCTCCATGCTTTAATTGCTAGGGGCATTCCTTCCAGTGACTCAGATGGCAACCCCACCACATCTTAACCTGTATGGTCCTTGTCCGATCTTTTCCTAAATCTCCAAAGATTAGCTATACATTGCACTTACATTGTTTCCTCATGTTCTTCAAAATTGTTTTTGGGGGGGATGGGGGGTGGGGTAGGGCTGTGGCAAATCATCTGAACATCAGCTTAGAGCTAGAAGGAGCTTGGGACCCACTTATTTTATGGGTGAGGAAGCTGGACTCCAGAAATGTAGTAAGGGACAGAGCTGGGTTTTGAATCTAAATCTTTCCATTAAATACCATGAAAAAAGTGAGTGGAGGGTATTAATGAACATGCCTGGAACTCAGGAGAGAGAAGCTGTCTTTGAGACTAAAGTTCACAGTTTTCTGGTGAGTTTCCAGCTACCCTGACTGCCAATTATATAAAGTCCTTGTCTTCCTTCAAGGAAGAGCTGGTTATCTAAGGATGGTCATTGTAACTCATGTGGCTGTCCTAAGTGGCGGCTTCTTTCTGTCACCATCAGAGTGTCTGCTTTAACTCCACTTCCATCCATGGAACACTGTTAATCTTTGCAGCAATAAATGTCACTTGAGTTTGTCACTCGAAAGCCCCTGTGCTTTATGAGCACATGCTTTGGGCCCAGATTTAGAGCCTGGTATGTCATTCCATTTTCCTATCCCCTCATTCCCAGCAGTGTCTTTCTGGCCCGAGCTTCTCATGGGCTCACACCCCTCCCCCTTGCCTATGTGCTTAAAATACTTTTAATTGATTTCCATTAGGTTGAAAATCACATGGTGTGGCTTATCTCTTCTGCATTCTATAAACCTAGACAACAAGGAGATACATTCTGGGCTTGTTCTCTGTTCTCTTGCATAATTGATAGCATGTTGTACCCCCTACCTCAGTATTGGTTGGTGATAGCTGGGCCCACTCAAACAGCCGTTCGTAGGCATTCCCGTCATAGCAGCCAAGTGCAGAATTTAAGGACTCATCGGAGAAGTCAAAGGCATCAGTTAATAAAACTGCATCTTTCCTAAGAGAGAGAACATAGGAGCTGATGAGTATCTTTCAGATTATGTAGATGTGGTGATTTCCTGGTGGGCATAAAAATGCTGGTGGGGCTGTATCCATTGTGTCCATCATAATGAAGCATCCTGGTACCCAAGGAATAAATCAACATTGTAGGCTTCTCTGTTTTTGCCCTACTGTGGCTCCTCTTGGGTTGGAAGCTCCCACAGCCAATGTCTGAGTGCTCATGGAAGATCATCACTAACCCTTGGGTGTCTGTGCGCTCTAGGATGTCAAACACTAGTCTGGCATATGTCACTGCTACCTTTTACACAATTTAGTGTCTTTCTGGGTGTCCTGAGCAGCTAGGAGGCACTAGTGGATGGAACACTGGACTGGAGCCAAAAAGACCAGGATTCAAGTCCTGCCTCATTCATTTAGTACCTGTGTAACCCTGGGTAGATCACCTGACATCTCAGCCTCATCTGTAAAATGGATATAATAAGGGTTGTTGTAAGAGTCAAATGAAGTAACATATATAAAGTGCTTACCTAAATGATCATTTCTAGACTTCCTAAGAAATTGTATTATTGATGATCATCATGTTTGCCCCCATCCAGGCACTGCCTGCTCTAGTTTTAGAAATTTTGACGTCAGACCTGAGATTTTATTGATGTGGACACTCCCTCTGCTGATCCGACATTTAGCCGACAGCTTCGGGAGAGTCTCCGGCTGCTCCAAAGGAAAGGCATCAAAGGAAATGGTGGCCAGCCTTCTCACGACTAGGTGGTTCAAGTGTAGGGACTCTGGTTCTTGGCACAGCTGGTGAACAGCTCATTTCCAGCCCATGTTCAAGTGTTTTCTCATTTAGAAGGACTCAGGGTCATTCCTCTAACCTTAGAGGTCATCTCACCCAATCCCAGCATTTTACAGTTGAGGAATGGATGATGGCCTTTGAGCCCTTGGGATAGAGAAATGCAGATAATTGGCTCCTTGCCTTGAGAGAGGCATTCTGTAGTTCTGTGGGAACCAGGTCATAAGTGAGACTGGTGAACAGACCAGCCTCTGGGGAGTTCACATTGCCCAGGCCTGAATAGCAACTCATTTTAAGTAGAATAATGGATAAGGCCTAGAGATCACTGGGTGGAGTTGAATATTAGGTGAGGATGGGTCAAAAGGTGTGAATCAAAAGGCTTTTTTATTGGATCTGGTTATAATTTGGAAAATGGTGGTGTTCAGGCAGATCATGGGATCATAGATTGAGAGTTTGGAAGGGACCTTAGAGGCCCATTTGGGTCAACTTTTTCATTTTACAGCTCAGGAAACTGAGGCTCAGAGAGAAGAAGGCAGTAAGTGACTGAGGCAGCAATGTGCCTGTATTAGGAAAACTACATCATCTGTTTTATTCAGTAAGAACATGTACAAATACAAATTTAAGAAAGTTATTCCATATTCATTAGGCATGGCACTTTGCGTATTTCAGTTTGTTTTTTGGTCAATCTTTGTTGTTTAGTAGAAAAAGCATTGATCTCAGAGTCCAGAGGCCTGGGTTCAAGTCCTGGTCGTCATTCTTTCGAGTTGTGTGACCTTGAGAAAATCATTTAGCCTTAGGGAACCCCGGTTTTTTCATCTGTAAAATGGAGGAAATACTTATAGTACTGACTTCCCAGGGTTGTTGTGAAGAAGGGGCTTTATTAGTTTTACAGGAGGATGTAGATATGGGTTATTATTAATAATTAACTCAGTTTATTATTAATATTATAAACATCAATAGCATTATCATAGTATCATATCATGTATTATAAATATTATTAAATAGCACACATTATAAAACTGACATGGTGATAATGAATATGATATGCCTACTTACATATTCACTTTAAAATTTTATCTCCTATTAGCAGTGTGGTGTGTAGATAGAAACATTAATGGTTCTTGAGTTAGGAGGACCTGGGTGCAAGGTCTGTCTCTGACACATCCTGGCTGTGTAACCCTGCCAAAGTCACTTAACCCCTTGGTTCCTCGGGCAACTCTCTAAGACTGAGTTACAGAGGAACTGCTAATCAGCATTAGGGGAGGGAGTTTTCATGCCAGAAATTCCAAGCACAGATTACATTATAGGTCCTGGCCTTGCCTTCTCTCCCCACCCCTACCCCTAAAAGTAAACTGGGAGACGTGCTTACTTACAAATTAATCACTTTGAAGCACCTGTGTACATAGGTAACATGCTATAACGAGCCAACATAATTTACTGAGTTGAGAACAAACATGACGGTTCTTATCCCACTTTGAAAGTCTTGTAGAAGATTTTAAAGCCGGTTGACAATAGACAGTCTCCGTCAACAGAAGACTAAGAGAATAACAAATAAATGGAAATGAAACACCTGCTGGTACAACCTGATCCCATGGAGTTTGTACAGGGTTCATCAGGCACTCTGTTCATCATGCTGTCCTGATCTGCTGCACGTCTGCAGTGGACCACTTTGGGCCTAGATCACAGGACCCTGGCTTCACAGCTTTAGAGTGATGGGACCTTAGAGGCATGAGGGTCACAGCGAGAACGAGGCAGAGCTGCCTCATAAATCCAGATCCTCTCCTTCTTCTACCCCTTGCTGCCTCTGAGGCACTCCCCCCACCCCCCATACGCTTAATGTCCACTGGGGATCATGCTTTGAGAATACTCTGACCAAAATTGTGCCTTAGGCAACAGACACTGTAAAAATAGTTTAAACTCTTTCAGATACATCCTTGAATTTGGTACAATATGCATTTCCAATTACTTTGATTACCAGTGATTTCATCATATAGCTCATAATTTGTCTGTGACTTAGAGAGACATCTTCAAGAGTAACAGTTGTTGAAAAATTCATCCCATTAATAAAAAAACCATGGCCAGCCTGGTAACGACCCTCTGAACTTAGAGCAGCTGACTGAGTCCTGCGGCAGTTGGCCTGTGGTTGTCCCTGGATCCATCCTCAGTGCCGTTCCAGAGCATGGGGCTGCTGGCATAAAAGCAGGACTGTTCTAGAGGAGGCTTTGCATTTCATTTGGCTTGGGTGGACCCCAGATCTAGGGCTGGAAGGCACCTTGCCTTGGAGTCCAGCTCACTCTTTATAGAGAGGGAGACTGAGGCCTAGAAAGATGAAGTGATTTGTCCAAGGTCACACAAATATGCACAAGGTAGACCTGGGATTTATTTGTAAGTGAATTGGGACAGTGACTAATAATAATAAGAAAATAGTAAATAATCTATCCATGGTACCCAAATGGAGTCTGATCCATATTCCTCCATAATCCATCCTCCTCCCTGGCTACAGATATGCCATCTCTCTCTCTCTCTGTGTCTCTCTCTGTGTCTCTCTTCTCTCTCCTCCCCCCCCCCATACACATACACACCCCCTCCACAGCTTTTTAAGAAATATTTTTATTTTAGTCCAGTCCTTTGCCAATTTCTGATGTTATCTCCTTACTAGAGCTTGCTGATATCAAATTTCCACCTAGGTCACTTTCCTTGTATTGGGGAATGACAGAAGGCCTGGACTTGGGATTTCACTGGTATAGGGAACTCTCTCCTAATGCAGGAAGGCATTAGCTGCAGCTCCTCTGCAGCTTGTAGTCTTAGCTGCCCAGACCACTAAAAGGTTGAATGATTTGCCCACCACACAGTATGTGTGGCTTTAGGGCAATGCTTTCTTTTCATTATGCAGTGTAAAATATCTCTTTAAAGTCGTCTAGAATAGCTTGGCTGTTTGACATTCCTCCCCCCCCCCCCCCAGGAATCCTACTTGCTACCTTGATGAAATCTTTGTTTCCTGGAACCAGTCATTGTGCTCTCTACCACGTCTCCCTTCCTCCCCCTTCTTCTGCCCTCCCTCCAACTAACATGTGTACACTAATGCATTCCTTCTTTTTCCCTTCCTCTCATATTTGGCAAAACTCAAACCAAATTAAAATATCCTCTTACTAATCCTGATTTGGAAGCAAGTTGAAATCTGGTGGTGATACATATCAGTGGAGTAACATGTAAAAATGCTTTGCGAACCACTAAGTGCTATCTAAATGCTGGCTATTATTATTGGTAGTAATACTAATAAATAAAATGTCATAAAGGAATAGGTACCGACATCCTAGCTGCTACCTCTCGCTTCATACTCCAGGGGTGTTCTCATGATTAATCACTTACCGGATCAGAGAAAGGAGGTCGACATAGGCCGCTGTTGCTAGGTCTGCTTGGGCCCCAGACATGTAGCCGTCATGTAGGAAGTCACCCAAATTAGACACAAGGCCGTTTAAGGCATACAGGTCACAGAGTCGTTTCATTACTTGGTAGATCTCTGGTTCATTTTCAAGTTTTCTTAGTGAGTCCACAAAAGTTTTCACAGTGAAGTGGTAACAGTGGGCCTAGAAAAACAGTTGGGTGAACCTTTGCTTCTTGATCCAGGCTGCCCTCTGACCCAAGCAAAGAACTGGGGGGGGGGGGCAGATATAAGCATTTTTCTGCTCAGAATTGCACAGTGGCCAAAGCTGGAAGGGGACTTAGGAACCATCTGGACCAGTAGGATTAGAAGCTACCATCTCTGAACTTGTGTTGAAAAATGTTTTGCTAACTGTGTTTCACTATGACTGGTTTTCTTCATAATTTTATGTATTTTATTCTCTGCATGTAAAAGCATTATCCTCAAGGGGTCTATAGGCTTCAACTGCCCAAGGGCCCATGACAAAAAGATGATAAAGAAGCTCTGATCCAGTCCAACCCAGGCCTGAGCAGAAATTCTCTCTGCAAAGTCTACAACAGGGGTGGCCACAACACATGTGGCCACAAGGCTGCAGGTTCCCCACTCCTGGTCTACAATGAGTGGTTCTGTGGACTTTGTGTGGAGACTTGGGGGAGGGGGGAGGGAGGTCACTGCCCCTGAGGCAGCCATGGCCTTTTGGACCACTCCAATTGTTAGGCAGTTTGGTTTTTGTTGGTAAATATAAAGAAATATAAAGGACATATAAGGAATATATATAAGGAAATATAAGGATATATATGGAAATATATATATGTGTGTATATGTATGTATGTGTATACACACACACACACACACACACACACACACACACACACACATATATATATGTATATATATGGAAAATATAAATGTAAGGAAAAAGCTGTGTCCTTGTAACCTCCACCTGCTGTTCTTAATTCTCCCCTCTAGGGCTGAGCTGACCAAGTCTAATCCATCTTCCCCATGATAATCTCTCCAATACTTGAAGACAAAGGTTCTGTCCCCACTTCATATAAACATTGCCAGGCTCTTCAACTGGTCCTCATGTGGTATGGTCTTTAGTCCCTTCACCATCTGGCTAACACTCTACTGGACACATTCCAGCTTCCCAGTGCCCTCTCTAAAATGAGGTGCCCAGAATGCAGTGAAATACCCCAGATGTGTCAGAGTATAATGGGATTATCACAGAACCAAAGAATTTTAGTGGTGGAAGAGAGCCCTCTGGGCCCATCCAGTCTAACTAGATGGCCAAGCCCCTACAACATACCTGACAAAGGGTCATCTAGCATCTGTCTGAAGGCTTCCAGAGAGAAGGAAGCTACTCCTTCCCAAGGCCGTGCGCCCTGCTTTTGGAGAGCTCTAATGATTAGGTGCCCAGGCCTGAATATGCCTCTTTGCTGCTTCCACTCATGTCTCCTGGTTCTGACCTCTTGGAACCAAGGAAAACAAGACTAATCCTTCTTCTTGCATGACAGTCCTTCAAACATTTGAACACAGGTATCATGTTCCCCTTTCTTCTTCAGGCCAAACATCCTTCACCTGAACCTCTTATGATATGGACTCAAGGCCTTTTACCACCCTGGTTATCCTCTGGCTTATCAGTCTATCAGGTGCTTGCTTCTGGACACCACTTCTCTTAGTACAATCCAAAATCACGTTAGTTGATCAATGTCAATTTTTTTCATTGTGTTTTATTTTCAGTTGTTCTGCATTTGCTTTCTCTGCCTTTCCTCTGCCCTGCGTAATTCTCTTCACACAGATGAACATCAGCAGCAACAAAAAGGAAGAGGAGAGCGTGGCAGTAACGATGCAGAGTCAAGCAAAGCAAATTCCTGAATCGCCTCCGTCCAGACAACAGGTGTCTTACTCTTTGTCTTGACCTCATCATCTCTGGAGTCTCGCATTGTGTTGATTAAATTTCCCAAGTCGTTTGAAATTGTTGTCTTTAAAATGTTGTCGTTATTGTATAAAGCTGTTCTTGGTCCTGCGTACTTTGCTCTTTGCTAGTTCATTCAAGTCTTCCGAGGTTTCTCTGACCCTGTCCATTTTGTCATTTGTTTGGGCACAATAGTATTCCATTATATACAAATGCCATAATCAGTTCAGCTGTTTCCTGCTTCCCACTTGTTTCTGGTTCTTTGCCACTACAAAAGAGCTGCTTTAAATATTTTTGTATGTATGGTCCCTTTTCTTCTTTCCTTGATCTCTTTAGGGTATAAGCTGAGTGGGTCAAAGGGCATGCACAGTTGAGTGATTTTGAAGTACAGTTCCAAAATGCTTTCCAAGGGGCAGCTACATGGTGCCATGGATAGAGCACCGGCCCTGGATTCAGGAGGACCTGAGTTCAGATGCGGCCTCAGACACATAACACATACTAGCTGTGTGACCCTGGGCAAGTCACTTAACCCCATTGCCTAGCCAAAAGAAAAAACAAAACAAAACAAAATACTTTCCAAAATGGCCAGAGCAATTCAGAGCTCCACCAACTGTGTGTTAATATGCCTGTTTTCCCACAGCCACTCCAACATTTGTTATTTTCTTTTTTGTGGTCATCTTTGCCTATCTGATGGGTGTGAGGTGGAACCTCAGAGTTGCTTTAATTGATCAGTGTCAGTTTGAAGGGAGGTCTGTGAGAGTTCCCAGGATCTATCTTTGATTCTGTACTGCTTAACATTTTTATCAGTACCTTGGCTTATCAAATTTGCAGATGACACAAAACTGGAAGGGGTAGCTAACATGTTGGATGACAGATTCAGGATCCCCAAAGATCTCAAACACAGGACCCAATCTAGTAATATTACACCTGATAGGAATCCATGTAAAGCTCTATACTTGAGTTTAAAAAATGACAAGTACAACTGGGGGAGGGTGTGGTTTGATGCCACTTCATAGGAAGAAGATCTAGATGTCTTAGAGGATTGCAAGCTCGATACAAATCAACAGTATGATACAGAATCCAAAAAACCTCTCAGTAATCTGTCTGTTGCCTCGGGCTCCATTATCTCTACAGGGATAAGAGCCAGATTTCATCTCTCTTTCAAATTTTCATTTCAATAATTACTTATGAGACATCTCCCCTGGATGTCCCATCAGCAGCTTAACCTTAACACGTCCAAGATTCTGTTTTTTCCTCCTAGACTTAATTCTAATTTTTCTCTATTTCTGCAGAGGATACTACCCGTCCTTCTAGTCACCCAAGTCTGTGACCTCAGAGCCATCCATGACTCTTATCTCTGCTTCATTTCCTGTGTCCAATGAGTGGCCAAGTCTTGTTCACTGTACCTCCTCGACCTTTGTCTCCAATCACAGGTACTATCCTTAGCGGGCCTTCCTCACCTCTGCTTCTAGTCCCTTCCTCCTCTGATCTTCCACCCGGCTGCCTGAATCAGGTTTGTAAGCATCTGCTTAGTATTTCTAGTGGCCCCCTCTATCCCTTAGGATAAAACACAAACTTCTCAGCTTGTTATTTCGAGCCTTTCCCAATCTGGCTCCAGACAATGTTTCTAGACTTCTTTCACATTTCTCACATTCCCACACTTTATATTCCAGCCAAATTATCTGTTCAGCCAAATTGCCGCTTCCCCACCTGACATCCCAACTCCATGACTTTGTACAGTCTGTCTGCTACATCTGGCGTGCTCCCCTGCGCCTCTGTTTGATAGAATCCTGCTTCCAGGCCGCGTTCAGGCGCTGCCTCCGGAGCAAGGCCTTTTCTGATCCCCGGTTGTTAGTGTTCTTGCCCCCCCCAGTTACCTTTTTTTTACATATTGCGTCTCCTAGTAGAACATAAGCTCTTTGATGATAACTTCTTACATTTCTGTCTTTGTATTCTTAGTGTCTAGCACCATGCCTGGCACATAGTAGGCATTGATTAAATGTTTACTAATTGGATGGAATTGGTCAGGTGCTCCTAAGAATGCAGACTCATGCATTCCTTGTCTTCTTGGGGGTCCACTGATGCTTTTTCCACCCCATTCTGGTCATGTGCTTTTTAAACCAGTGTTAATTTTTGCTCAATTTCTTTGAATATTTCATTTAACACCTTGGGTTTGTTTCTTGGTTCTTTTCTCATCTACTTTGTTTTTGTTTCAGATGCTCTATAGTATTGGGTGGGATGGGGTGGGGTGGGTCTGGCACAGATCCAGGATTTCATTGGTCACATGACCCCGGTTTTCTGTCTCCAAACCCAGTGTTCTTTTAAATAGTAGTGAATTGCCTTCCTCTGGGGATGAGCTGAAATTCCTGTCAAACTTCACAGTTGCAAACTGCCCTCTTGCAATGCAAGCATTGTGATTATTTCTAGTTTGCAGATGGGGAAACTGAGTGACTTGCCTAAGGTCCCAAAGCTAGTAAGTGTCTGAGCTGGGATTCGGGGTCTTCCTGACTTCACGCTATACCACACCGTGGTGTGCGCCACACCAAATCACAGGATCACAGATTGAGAGCTGGAAGGGGCCTTAGAAATCAATTAGTCTAATCCTTTCTTTTATAGATGAGGACACTAAGGCCCAAAGATATTAAGTGAACAGGGCCATAAAGCTAAGTTATGAACCCAGGTCTCCCTGACTGCAAGGCCAAGGTCCTACAGACCACACCTGCTGCCATGACCAACTGGTCTGGGGTGGGGAGGTTAGATGATCAGGTGCCACCATTTTGTGACTTTCTTCTTGTAGTGCTCCCCACACCCTCACCATTATCCTGGGCCAGGAAAACTTTGACAATGACCACTTTATCCCATCCAGATTTGCAAAGGAAGCAACACTTCTATCTGGCAGGAGTTTGACAACTTTCTTTCTCTGACTCTGTGACTTTTCAAATACATCCAAAAATCTCACTCCTGCAAAGCCTTTTAATTTATTCCCTTCTCATTATTTTAACTTGAGGGGTGTCTCCCAAAACCATGCTTCATGTCCTTGGTGGAGGAAGAGGGGAAGATGATGCCTACAGGTAAAGAATCTTGTACGATAAAGCTGTAGCCAAAATATGGGTGGGGTCACTGAATGTGCTGCACTGGGAAAGGGACAGTTCTGAGAAGACCGCTCTTGTGAAAGGGCTGTCATCAACTAGGTCTTCATTCCTGAGAGACCCAGATCATCTTTGTTCTACTCAGTAGTCCCAGGCTTAAGAAAGCATTTTTTTTTTGTTTTGCTAGGCAGTGGGGTCAAGTGACTTGCCCAAGGTCACACAGCTAGTAAGTGTTATGTGTCTGAGGTCGGATTTGAACTCAGGTCCTCCTGAATCCAGGGCCGGTGCTCTATCCACTGTGCTACCTCGCTGCTCCAAGAAAGCATTTTTGTTGAGAACTAATGAGGAGGCTCACTGGTTCCTCCACTTAGTCTCTCTCTCTCTCTCTCTCCCTCTCCTCCCTTCCCTCTCTTTGTGCCTCTCTCTTGTCTGTTTCTCTCTGTTTTTGTCTCTCTCTCATAGTCTTAATAAGCGCTTACATTTGAACGGCAATTCACAGTTCAACTTTTCTGAGACCCTTCTATGTTTATGATCTCCTTTGACCCAGGTCACCTTGGGATAGCCGTCGGTCTATCTGGCAGGCCTAGGGTTTATTCTTCTGGGTCCTTCTGTTCCGTCTGCTCTCCTGCCTACCAAAGACAAAGTGATTCTCAACCAGCAGGACCTGTGCTGCCTATGGGAAGAAATGGTGCTGATGTGCCACTGGGTGGCACTGTCTACTCAACTCTGCCTTGTCTCAACCCGTCAAAGGGCATTCCAAGCCTTCCTAGGCGGTCTCTCTGTCAGCAGGATTCCAGTCTCTGCTCCCTTGTAGGATTCTCAGGTCTTTCTAGGTTACCCAATCTTCACTAGCCCAGCAGCAACCTAGGTGTCCTCCATCCTCAGCTCCTCCCTCCCTCTCTCCCTGCCCTCTCCCCAGTCTAGTCTGTTGCTGAGTCCTGTTAATTCTCCTTTTACAGGATCCTCTTCTCCTCTCTGCTGCCATTGCGACCGTCCTGGTGGACAGCTTCATTGCCTCCCTACTGCAGGCCATGCTTCACTCAGCTGTCAAAGCGGTCTTCCTAAAACATGTCTGACCACGTCATCTCTCTGCTCAGTAAACTCCGCTGTCTCCCTATTATGTTCAGAATCAAATAGAAAACCCTTAGTCTGGCTTCCAAAGCCCTCCACAGCCTGTCCGCTTCCCACCTTTTCGGTCTTCCACCTGGCTCTCTTGCCTGGCCTCCGTGCTTCAACACCGCCGGCCTCTTTCCAGGTGACACTCCACCTCCCAGCTCGGGGCACTTCTCTGGCTGGCCCTCAGGCATGGAACGGAACGTTTCTCCTCACCTCTGCCCCTTGGCTTTCCTGGCTTCCTTCACATCTCAGCAGTCCCACTTGCTGAAGGAAGCCTGTCCTGATCCCTCATGTTAATTCCTTCCCTCAGAAAGTCCCTCCAGTTGACCCCGGCCGGCTCTCATTTGCACACACTTCGGTACGTTTGTCCACCCCCTCGGATCGTCTAGTGAGCTCCATGAGGGCAGGCACTTGTCTCTAACCTTTCTTTAGATCCCCACTTAGCACAGCGCCTGGTGCATAGTAGGTGCCTGATAAATGCTCATTGACCTTCATCTTTCAGACACTGGCAAGCAAGGAGAAGGAGACCCTTTTTGTTTTTTAATTTTTTTTTAGGCAATTGGGGTTAAGTGACTTGCCCAGGGCCACACAGCTAGTAAGTGTTAAGTGTTTGGTCTGAGGCTGGATTTGAACTCAAGTCCTCCTGACTTCAGGGCCGGTGCTCTATCCACTGTACCACCTAGCTGCCCTAGAAAGAGACCCTTTTCCAAAAATACAGAAGGCCAAAGTAGTATATCCATGAAATTAAATGAGGTGCCAGCAGGATACGAGGGGAGGCAAAGGAATCTGGACCCTAGATCCTTGCTGTGCTGTGTTCTGAGTTAGGAAGACAGCAAACAGGAGCCAGAACCCAGTAAACAGCCAGGGCCCAATAAAGCTCTATTCCTAGGTGGCCTCAGAACTCCAAAGCAATCTCACTGGTGGGGCTTACGTTCTTTAATTAAAATATGGAATACTGAAGCGTTGGTAGTAAATAATGAGGTAATGATAGCAGAGAGGGGATAACATTTTTCCCTCCCCTGAATGTAGCTGTAGGTAAGAGAGTGACAGAGACAGAGACAGACAGACACAGAGAGACAGACAGATATAGAAAGAGATCTGTCACATAGTCATTCATTAGCCAGTAAAGGACTTACTTTGGCTGCCTGGATGAGCAGGATGGTGGTCTGGTTCCATGCCACATACTGGTCAGTCCCCGAGCTGGTCAGTTCATGTAGTTTGTGAGCTGAGTTCCTTATAAGCCTGAAGAAGGTAAAAACAAAGACTGTACGCAACGTCCATTCATCAGTCCTTTTTCTGTTGGGCCATACGTATGTGGGCTTCTGGCATACGGCAAAGCCCTGAGCTGCCACATGGGACGTCAAAGCCCTGGCTCTCCTAGAAGTCCAGCTTTATCCTTGGCCTCTTCCTCTGTTAGGTCGGCTTTATCTGGGTCGGCTCACTTTGGAGGACATGGATTCCACACGATGGAATTCAGTAGGCATTAGTGAGGCCCTTAGTATGTACGTACCAAGTAGTGGGCATGCATGGAGCAAAACCAAGACAGGGTCTACCTCAAGGACCCGCCATTCTGCTCCCATATACATACTTCTGTGTGTGTGTGTGTGTGTGTGTGTGTGTGTGTGTGTGTGTGTGTGTGTGTGTATAGACACACACAGATACATACAGATAACAGAGCAGTAACTTCCATAGCTTCTAAAACTTGTGCATAATAATGTTTCTTAAAGCTTATTTCAATGTACCTGCTTTCCAGAACTGGCACCCCATTACTTCTTCATCATGAGCCAGGTGCCTCATTAACGGTGGTACAGCTCGGGCAGACCAGTCTTCGTAGGTTTAGTTCCAGTACCTATGCTTGTCCTCTCTGGGAGCTAACCAGGCAATGTCAGCGTTTAATCCTCTCTTATCCTTATAAAGTATCGTTAATTTACCCTGTACATGATATGTTCAGAGTTGTTTGCATGTTGTCTCTCCCATTAGATTGTGAGGTCGTTGAGGGCAGGGCCTGTTTTTGCCTTTTTTAATATCTGCAGTGCTTAGCAGAGTGCTTGGCACACAGCTGACACTTAATAAATGCTTGTTGACTTGACTCAATTTGACTTAGTGAAAGAAAACCAGCATCATAAGAAGGTTCCGTGGTGAATGTTTTTCAAGCCTGCCTGTCCTGTCTACACTGCCTATTGTCAGAAGGGTTTTAGGACTCTGTTTGTTCACTCAGTGAACAAACCCACCTGACTAGCAGGGCTTAGAGAGGAGGTAACACCACTGACCCTGGTCCTGACTGCCTGGACAGCAGTGCACGGGGTCAGCCAATGCTGGCAGCTTCTAGAAATGACCGAGTGTTTGGGGAGATGATTCAGCCAGACAAGTGACTGGCCCTCTGAAAAGTCTGCCATCAGCTGGCTTCTTGACCTGGTTTGGACCCTGCCCGCACTTCTCTCAGTCTGCTCTCCACTGGCTGCTTTTCTTGCCCTCCTCAGCCCCTGGGGCTAAGCACTTTGCAGAGATGCCGGTACCAACCTGGCCTGGCTTTCTGGCTTCTGTTTGCTCTCTTCCTAACTTAGAATCTCCCTTCTCCGGGCAGGGTTTGACCTTTCCAGCCCAGTGTTTGTTTAATCACTAACATGTGTTGGCCTAGCCTCAGGCAGGATATGACATACAACGTGATTACTTAAGGCTCTTTGGTTTTTGTATTACAATTCTCTCTCTTTTCCCCTCTCTCTTCTTTTCTCTCTCTCTCTATCCCTTTCTCTTTCTCCTCTCTCTGTCTCTCTGTCTCTCTGCCTCTTTCTCTGTCTCTTCCTCTTTTTCTCTTTCTGTCGCTCTCCCTCTCTCTGCCTCCCTTTCTCTTTTTTCTGCCTCTCTGTCTCTCTTTCTCTCCCCCTTCTCCACTTTCACTTTCCCTCTCCCTCTCCCTCTCCTGCTCCATCTCTCTCACTCTCTCTTTTCTCTTCGTGGATGTACTTCTCCAGATTGGTCCAACCCAAAGGGAGCCTTGGTCATTTTGAAGGGAAAGATTTCCACAATGAAAGAAGGAAGGGCCATCTGTCCCCTTCAATGTGGTGACAGTCTTCTGCATCTTACTGACCTGGCTGCTACATGTGCATAGGCTTCAGTGTAGAGGGCCGGGCTGAGGAAGTCTGCTGTCTTCTGTGCTGGACACCTGTCTGTCAGAGTTGAAGTGAGATACTGGATGGACTGAGGAAGGGTCGTCTGCAACAGAGAGCCTTGGGAAGATTGAACCTGGAGGTAGCTCTTTACCAGATACCTGAAGGAAATGTCAAGTGAGTAGGTGGCCTGGTTCCTGTTAGGCACTCAGCACCCATCTGGCTTGCATCTGGAAGCATCCCTTTGGATGGGCCTCTTAAGATTCTCTAGAAATACAACTGGAGGCCAAGAGCCAAAGAGAGCCTGGGATCTCTTCCCAGTTCCCCACCTGATTGGGCAGAGTTGCCTTGCTCCCTTCTGATGTTAAATGCGGCGTGAGCCCCCAGATAGAGCCTAATTCCTCTACCACATACTTGAAGACAGTGACTGTGCCCTTAGAGCTTTTCTCCTCCAGGCTAAAAACCTCCCTCACTTTCCTTATCTGAAAAATGGGAGAAGGGATTCTACCCCCCAGGATTGTTGTGAGGATTAAATGAGATAACATTTATAAAGTTTTCTGTAAACTCTGAAGTGCTTTACCAACATTAGCTCTTATAATATGACAGCCATCTTGGTCATCCTCCTCTGTGTATGACTCATTTGGTATAATGTTGTGCCCAGACTTGAACACAACATTCCGGATGAGCTCTGACCTGAGCAAAGCCCACTGAGATCGACCCTTGCCTGCTTCTGTTCGCTGGGCTTCCATTAATGGAGTCTGAGACCACCCAGACGAGATCTTCTGGCTGTCGTGTTAGACCAGATCTCTTTCACATGGATGAGCTATGCTGTCTCTATCTTGAAGCAGGAAAGAATAAAATTGCATTTGCAAAAACTTGTACAATTGGGATCAAGCCTCCCTCAAATCTGAGTGAATCCGTGAGCTCGAATTGCACATGTCCTGAAGCAAAAAGGGGAAACTGAGTCTGACCAAGAATCTCGAGTTACTGTTCCTGAGGCCTGTGATGCTGAGTCTGTCCCCAGGTCCCTCAGTGACCCCTACGGATGGGAAACAACATGGTGTCCGATGTCAACAGATGTGCATGCTGCTGCAGCCCAGCTGGCATCAGACCAATGAGGACAGAGCAACTCTGTGCCAGTTGGACATCATCCATCAGCAGTATGGCACCTCGGAAAGACCTGGGTTCAAATCCTGGCTCTGACCACTGTCTAGTGGGGTGACCATGGGCAAGGTGCTTCCCCTCTCTGGGCCTGAGTTTTCCCATATGTCAAAAGAGATAAATTTACTAAGATTTCTTCCTGCTCTAAATCACCAAACTCTATGTAAGCTTCAGAAAGTCGCTTATTCGTCCTCTTTGGGGCCTCAGTTTTTTCATCTGTAAAATGAAAGGATTAGAGTAGATTATCTCCAGATTATCTCCCCTTCCAGTTCTGAAATCTATGATTCTGTGGAGTCGCAGTCACAACTGTTTTTTTTTGGGGGGGGGTGGAGTGTTCCCTTTTAATGCAGGGATACATTTTGGAGAGGCTTCAAAGAAGTTGAGTGATATTCCTGGGAAGGTGGTCAGAGATGTCCAGCTCCAGGGGTAGTAGGCCTGTGAACAGATTTCAGACATACCTGGCTGTCTGCAGGTACAGCACCGTGTTTTCTCCTTCATAGGTACAAGAAGCTGTTATTTTTGTGACCAGGGAGGGCAGTCCACTCAGCAGGGAGTAGCCGTGCCCACCACAGGCCCTCCGACAGACCTCAGCCCCCAGGATGCTGTGGTCTGACATCATGGCCTTCATTCCTGCACTGAGTGCGTGAAGCTGTGAAGATAAACAGAAAAGACTTAGTAAGAGAGGAGTGAGCTCAGGGAGGGTGGGCGGTAGTGAGAGGGAGAATGAAAATGAGGGAAAACTCTTAAATTAACTTTTTCTGTCCAAACATTGCTTCTTTTGGGGATGCAAAACACAATCACTCTTGATAGCCACGGCAAAACCCCAAAGCGAGTATATCTAGAATGAAAAGAAGGAGCAACCCTGCCTTGGATAAACCCATTATAATCAGTAACTTCTTAATTCTTGGCGAAGACATGAATGATGGGGGCTCCCTAACCAAGCCGACTGGGAAGTGAGTTGCTGTGGCTCCCTGGGTCACCAGGTGGCAATGGCCATCACTGAGACACTGGGCGTCATGGGATTCAGAATGCTGAGCTTAGCTCATGACTCTGAGGATTCCTTAGGCACCTTGGGGTGCACAAGTCATAGATGCACTTACTGCTACTTCTTCCTTGGCATCCTGGCAGGTGTGTTTAGGGAAGGACTAACACCTTGTCAGCTCAGCCTCTACAGTGGTTCTGATTTTTGTCTCCTTTCCATCGAGAGGATGACCGCTCTGGTTTGGGCTGCTACCACCTCTTGTCTGTACTATGGCCATAGCCTCTGAACCGGTCTCCTTGCCTGTGGCCTCTCCTCATCCCCCATCCGTCTTCCCACTCCACCAAATATATATTCCTTAGGCATAGGTCTGAGTCTTGTCACTCCTCTGGTCCAAAAGCCGCAGTGAGTCCTTATCGTCTCTAGAAAAAAGTATGACCTTCTCTGTTAGGCATTTCAAACACTGAGGCTGTTTGCCGGAGGTCAAATGTGTTGTAAGTGGCAGAGTTGGGATTTGAACTCAGGTCAGTCGGTCCAAATAGCATGGTCAGTCAGATGTGGTGGCATCCACCTGCAATGCCTGATGCTGGGGGAGGCTAAGGCTGTGATTATTTTTGCACCCCAAGAAGCAATCTTTGGGCAGAAGAAGTTGAATTTAAGAGTTTCTCCCCATACTCATTCTTTTTCTCACTGCACTGCCCCTGCAAGTGCCCAGTATTATGCTAGGCACGCAGTATGTATTTAATAAATGCTTACTGAATAAATGAATGAATGGAGCTGCCACCTGGAGAGGCTTGGCATCACCTGGGCATCACCTTGCCCAGGCAACAGGTGATGTCTGATTCAGTGATCCGGCCCCCACTCCCTTCCACTGAGGAGCTGGATAATAAGGTATGAATATCACTGGGTTAAAATGAAAGAAGGAGCAACGGTGCCTTGGATAACTTCTTAATTCTTGGCAAAGACATGAATAATGGGGGCTCCCTAACCAAGCTGACTGGGGAATGAGTTGCTGTTGTCTAGAAGCAAGACCTTATGAGATGCCTGTCTTCACTGCACTGTCCTGTCCCTGCCTCTGTTCTTCTCTACTCCAAGCCCTCACCATCCCTTGTGCGCACTGCCGTTGGACCCTCCTCATCAGTCTGGCCAGGGACCATTTTGTTCTAAAGCTGTGAGCTCCTTGAGGGCAGGAGAGGACAGTGTTTTGTCTTCCTTTATGGCCTCAGTGAAAGGAAGAGACAGAGAGAGACAGTGGAGACCAGCGGATGATGGAGAGAGAGCTGGAAGGGAGCCTAGAGCCGTGTCTGGGAAGCGTGGTGAACATGAGCATGTGGTCTGTAATAACTCAACCTTTGAGAAGCCGTTCCTTGCTCTCCTGGGAGAGGGCATGAGCAGAGGGGAGAGCCTTCTGAGGCTAGGCCTGTGTGGAAGAAGGGAACAACCTACGGGAGTATTCCCAAAGTCAGGGTTCCCCACCCCATTACCTCTGGCAGGCTGGTGGCATTTCCATTGAGTATCTCTTGGTAGGATTCTTTGAAGAATTCATTGATGCTTTTATCTATGAAATGGAAGGCATAGGCCTTGGCCAGCTGGGGAAACAGCTTCTCTTGCTGGGTCTGATAGTCGAGGATTTTCACCTCTGGCTCACTGAGAGAACGAGAGCAGGAGGGGAAAGCCAAGAGAGAGAAGGAGAGATTATGTGACAGCTTATGAAGCCGGGGCCCTTGTGACTGAGGCTTAGTACCTGTTGTCACTTCTCAGGGTGCCAGTCACGGAAAGCCCAGTGTGGGGCTTGGTTTTGTGCAATAATGAAATCCCTTCTGGCTCCTAACACAGATGCTTAGGGAACCTGGCCACTTGGCTCGCTGTTGCTGTTGTTTGTACTTTGTTCTCACCGAGCACCATGACACCAGGCATAGAGAGGACTTGAGATCTGGAAGGGCTTAGAGCTCGTCTGGGCCAGTCCCCTAAGTCTTTGAGGATATTGACACCTTGAGGGGTTGTGTTGGCCCAAGGTCACACGTGTTGCAAGTAAGCGGCAGAGCCAGCATTGCAAATCTGGGTCTTCTGACTCCCACTGGAGTAGGTTTTCTCTACGCCACAGTTGGCTAGTTAAAAGCAACTAAAATAATTCACTAACATGTTTTGTAACTTCAAGTCAGGAGCTGGCGTTCCCTGGGCCTCAGTTTTTCTACAGTCACACTGAGACCTGTTAAAAACCTTGAAAAGGCCAAGGTCCTCCACTGCACTGGGGCTATCTCCAGTCGTCCTGATCCATATCTTGCCACTAGACCAGACAGCTCTGGAGGAGAAAATTAGGCTGGTGACTTTGCACAGCCCTGCCTCGCTCAAATCCAATTAACTTGTGTGTCCTGGCATCACCTCCCTGATGTTATGGTCCTCTTTGAGAATGAAGGATAAATAGCAGCAGCAAAATGGAACTCACTGTTCCTCACACCACATCCTTCTGCTGTCACAGAACAAACCATTACATGTGAATTTTGCCTCTCTGTGGACCCCAGATGATGGGGCACAAAATCAACAGAGAGCAAACGATGCTTAGCTTAATAGAGTAATGGCCATGACAGCCAGGAGGAGCCTTGGGTTTTCCGTAGCCCAAGCCCTTTAGATAAGCAAGCTGAGACCCAGAGAGGAGAAAAGACTTGATGATTTTTACCCAGCACAGCATGGCCCCTTCCTACCTTATGGCCCCTCCCTGCTGTACTTAGTACAGACCCCAAATCGACTTAGCCCACTGCAGCTCCGAGCCCCCAGACCCAAGTGATCCATCAGCCCCAGCCTCCCCCAGTGGCAGGGATCACACGTGTGTGCCACCACACCTGGCTAAGATGTGCTTTCTTGACCAACTAACCTGAGTTCAGACTCTGGCTCCAGCATTTATAATGTGTTTGACTGCAGCTTCCTCATGTGTGAAATGAGGGGTTGGACTAGGTGACCCTTGAGGACCCTTCCAGCTCTAGAATGGGGACTCAGCTGAGATCCTCCCGCATAGCTCCACTAGTTTTATTCCACCACTTTGTAAATAGACACAGGCCCCCCTTTCTCAAGGGCTTGTAAAACCAAGACTGAGGAAAGTGGTTGGTTTTTCATTGGTGGACGTATGACTTCCACTCCAGAAGTTTTGGGGCATTTGATAATAAGTATTATTATTCACACCATATTGGTCACAGATCATAGGGTTAGAGTAGGAACCTGGAGGCCACCCAGTCAAACACCTACTATGTACAGATGAGGAAACTGGGGCCCAAAGAGGAAATAGCATGCCCAAGGTCGAGGTCAAGGTCACAAAACAATAAGTCGCAGAAGGAGGCTCTGAACCCTGGTCCTCAGCACCAAGGACCGCGCGCATTCCAGAAAGACTGGGATCGCCCCCTGGACCACGTAATCTGATGGGAGAGTTTCTAGATCAAACACTTGCCTCGCTGGGAAGGCTCACATATTAGGCCGCAGATGTGATGCTACTACTACACCAGTTTTGGAAATGGCTCTTTAGAGTCAAAGATGAATTTTTGGTAAGAAAGGGTAAAATATGTATTAACATCTGCAGACAACTCTAGCCTCTGAAAGCAATTCCCCTTTATAAAGAAAAAGCTCCAAGATATTGGTCTGAATATGGGCTGGCTAAGGCCAGCCTTTCCTCCAACCCACCTCGTTGAAATCTGGCTTGTAGAACGTGGATATGTTTTATAGTCCATATTCCATAACATACATATGGTGGGCATTGTTTTTCTTTTCACAGAGATCTCCTTTAGTACCACCTATTCTCAGACCAGTAGGGTCAAGTGCAGAGAAGAAAGGGCAGAGAATGGGCACAGGAGGAGGGGTCTTGGGAGCCATCAGGAACTGCTGTTTCCCTCTCCCCCCATGGGCTTCAGCCACCTTATCCCAGACCTCTCAATGATCTCCTAAACTTGGGGTGTTTTTTTCTGGGATCATAAAAGTTCAGTGTCCGAAGGTCCTCTCTTGTGGCTCAAATCTGTTTGCCCACTTGCTTTGCCTTGCTGTTCAATCAATCAATCAACAAGCATTTTTAAGTGACTGCTACATGCCAGGCACTTTGCCAGGTGCCGGGAATGAAACTGGCCCTGCCCTCCAGGAGCTGACAGTTAGCTCCTTACCTCCTGAAGGAAGTACATTATTATCCACAAATAACAAATGTCTATTGATTGAAGGAGCTGCTGGGGTTCCTATAGATCTTCCTATCAATCCCCATTTGCCTAAACTTTGCATCACACATTGTTCTGCCCTCCTACTTCCTGTTAATCTACAGGGCTCATGAGAGTCTGTGTGCCCTGCTTACTGAGCTGATGCTAACTCCTAATCCTGCTCTTCCCTTTAGTACACAGCACCCCGTCTCTGCCCTGTCTCTCCTCTCATTAGCCTGGGCTTCCAGGGACCAGCTGCTTCTCGCAGCCTTTCCCAGTCTCCTTGTCTAAACCTAAAAACTGCTGAGCTGAGCAGAACGGTTCAAAGGAAGGAGCAGATTACAAGCAAGAAGCATCTGGGTTGCCTGGCAAAAATGGCAGGCCCATTGGTTTCTTGGGAACCATTTGTTAAACCCGCTTCTCCCTTTCTGCCAGTTAGTATAGCAGGAGGAACATGGCATTAGGATTCAGATCAATTATGATGAGAAATGGGCATTTAAATCCCAAAGGCATCGCTGTTTTTCTTCCCTTCCCCTCCCATCCTGGAACATATTCTTAATGTAAAACCCATGCTAGGGATGCTTAGGCCCTTATACAAAACATAGCAGTTGGTAGAGTAGCTATTCTGCCACAGAACAGCTTAATATCTCCTCCATTAACAGTGGGAGAAGGCTCTTTTCCATGATGGGACTGGCCACATAGCTGTCCACAGGGGGCTGGGAGGTGGAAAGTTTCCATTGAACCTCAGGACTTTTTCATCAATATCCTCTCCTCTGTCCTCTAGTTGTGGGCAAGAAAGGTTTTTCCTTCTCCTCTCTTCTTCTGCCTCCACACTTTGGTCTAAATATCGAGGCCAGAGGATGAGGCTTCCATGTGCCAGAGAAGAAGGAAGCTGGGAAAGACAGAGATCTACTTTGCTCAGGGAGTGAACTCAGGCTTGGGGATGCCCTTGGGGCACTTGGGGGTGGGTAGGTGGGAAGCCACAGCTAGACCTTTTCCCTCTTTCCTTCCATCCCCCTAGATTCATTGCTTTAGGGTCAGGGAGCACAGCTCTACTCCAGCTGGCTCATAAACCTGCTTAATTCTTGCAGGCATCTAATAAATGCTTGTTGATTGCATGATAGGCCAATGGAGGGTGAGAGGAGGTGGGTGAGAGGAGGTGGGGGTGACTGATTGAAATAAAGAATGATGATCTGTTTGGCAGTCTGCCACCCCTTACTAGCCCCCCGGCCCCTCCCTAGGGAAGCTCAGTTCTACCAACAGAATCCATGTGGAAGGGTGAGGGGAGGTCTAGCCTACCTGCAGTAATTCACAAAATGGCCCAGTTTAGCCAGATTCTAAGAAGAGAGGCACTGTGTAACAGTGGAAATAAATAACACTTGTTTGGAGTCAGAGGTCCCGAGTTCAAATCCTGCCTCAGCCTTTTACGGCCTGTGTGCCTGTGTGACTTGAGAGTCACATATCGTCCCTCAGCCTCCTCAGTTTCCTTGATTGTAAAATGAGCTAGCTAGCCACTGACCAGTGGAGATCTAGGATCTTATGACTCTCCTGTTCATAGCCAGCTCTTGGAGGCAGTAGAAAGGAAGAAAAGTGGGAAGGGGCTGGAGGGAGGACAGGCAGGAGCACCACCCCCATACCTGGGCTTGATCTTGGACTGGCGCCGGATGACTGAGTAGCGGGTGGCAATAGTGCACGCCTTCATCAGGGCAGGGATGAACTCGCCGGCCAGCAGCTGGATCCGGATCACGGTCATGGCGAGGTAGTTGCTTTGGGGGGTGCCCCGCTTCACGTAAGTACCGTCTGGTAAAACCTGGGTGTGAGATGGAGAGAACGCGTAGGCCAGCACGCTGAGGCTCAGGAGCGAGAGAGGAGAAGGTCTGTCCCCCTCCTGCACATTGGCAGAATCTGGGGGCATTAGGGCTGTAAAGGAGTTGAAGTCAACCCACTGCCTCTCCAGCTGGTGAGACCAAAGCACGTGCTCCCCCTCTGCCTCTTGTGTCCTCTTCTCTAGGGTCAGAAGTGGAAAGGACCTGAGAGTTCCATCGGTACAATGCCCTCATTTTATGGATAGGGAAACCGACGCTCAGGGATGTCTGGTGACCTGCCCAAAGTTACAAAGGCAGTAGGAGCCTGAGCTGGAATTTGATTGCAGGGCCTTTCTGTTTTCCCTGCCCTCAGGGAGCTTATATTCTTCTGGGGAGATGAAACAGAGACATGACTATGAAGCAGTAAGCTTATTTTTTGAAGCAAGCAAACCCATCCCATTGATGCGTTCATATGATCGCTGTCCTCTACTCCTTGGGAGTCCTCAGTCATGTGACCATTACTCAAACCATGCTTAAAATTCCTACCGGGCTCTTAAAGAAATTCCACAAGCATTTATAATGGGCCTATTGCATGACTGACATGTGCTACATGCGAGATAAACAAAGACAAAGCCAAGTCAGGAAGTACTTATGAAGCACCTACTGTGTGGAGCTCCTGACCCCTCAGAAGGGTGACCTGATTTTTGGAAACAGCCATAAAAAGGGATGGAGGCTTGATACTACTAAAGCTATTCCATGGAATGCATCATTCCAAATAGAGCGCAAGCTCTCTGAAGGCAATGACCCCAGCACCTAGGCCAGTATCCAGCATGCAGCAGGGGCCTAATAAATGCTGGTCGAATGAATGAGTTCCTTCAAGCCTCAGATTTGAAGGTCTCTCCTCCTGATGCTATGATCTGTCTGCTCAAAATCAGTCTTAAAGATGAAGATCAGAGGCACCCTGGCCGTCAGGCCTCATGATTTTTTACCTGGGAGAAACGGTTCAACATGTTTTCCCTGGGAATCCGCACATGATCTAACTGGAGGAAGCCATTGTCTGTTTGCTCAAAGTTCATTTTGGGCCCAATGTCTCCTACAGTTATTCCTGAAAAAGAGCAAGAGACAACAGAGGCTCTTAATGTGAGGTCTCTACCCACGTTCCCCCTTTCCCCCCTTGTCATTGGGCGGCTGGCCAACGTCGTCACCTCTGGAAGCAGTGAGCTGGCTTCTGTGGCCTGGACGACCCGGGAGATGGATGGGGCAGCAGCTCAGACACCCGACGTTACCTGGCAGAGGGGAGTGGTCTTGAAGGCTCCGGATGGGCACGAAGAAGCCGTGCATACCGTGGCACCTTCCTGAGCAGTACAGCTGCGCCAGGATCAGAGCGTGGGTCGCTGTCTTGCCCACTGTAGAATGGGGGGAAAATGAGTCCTGAACTTTCCATTTTGGTTCTGGGATAGTTAGCATCCTGGGTCAGGGGTTGTATGGAGGCTCTGGGGGTCAGTCAGTGGAAGGGGAACTTGTCCAGGAGCCAGGAAGAGGCTTGGGACTCAGCCCCTCTTAGTTGGTGAATGGAACTCAATCAGATGGAGTAGTCAAGGGGCCAGCTAGGTGGCGAAGTGGGTAGAGCACCGGCCCCGAAGTCAGGAGGACCAGAGTTCAAATCTGGCCTCGGACCAAACACTTGACACTTACTAGCTGTGTGACCCTGGGCAAGTCACTTAATCCCAATTGCCTAAAAAACAAAACAAAACAAAACAAAACAAATGGAGTAGTCAAGAACTGATGGAGCTGGTGAGGGACCTGGGTTCAAATTTGGGCTCTGTGACTTCTGTGGGTGTGACCTTGGGCAGGAACAACAGCAGCAGCTGACATTCAGATGGCCCGTGACGCCGTGCCAGCTCCCCGGCTCCTCACAGTGACCCTGTCAATGAAGCACTCGGGGTGTGGTCATTCCCATTTCGCAAATGAGCTAACTCAGGCTCAGACTCGTTCAATAACTTTCCCAGGGTCACACAACTAGTCAGGCCCTGAGGTGAGATGTGCAGCCAGGTTTTCATGACTTTTAGGTTCAGCCTTCCAACCCCTGTATCACGCTGCCTCGTTCAAGTGACTTCATCTCTCTGGGCCTCAGTTTCCTCCTCTGTAAAATGAGGAGGTTGAACTGGATGGCCTTTGAAGTTCATTTAGTCAACTAGCATAAAGCACCTACTGTGTACCAGGCATTGGGCTAGGCTTTAGGGATACAGAGAAAAGCCAAAGACAGTCCCTGCCCTCAAGGAAGATGCCACACAAACAATTATGTCCTAGTAAGAAATAGAAAGGACCGGTTGGAGGTGGTCTCATAGAGAAGGCACAACAATTAGGGAGGGTCTCCTGGCCAAAGGTGGGCCCTGAAGGAAGCCAGGGAAGCCACGAGGCAGCGGTGAGGAAGGAGACAGTTTCTGGGCACGAGGGAGGGACAGTGATAATTCCTGGAGTCTGGAGATGAGGTGTCACCTGAGAAGAGCAGCCAGGAGGCCAATACCGCTGGATGGAAGAGCATCCAGAGGGGAGTCAGGTCTAAGAAGAGGGAAAGGTGAGAAAGTACGGGTCTGAAGGGCTTTTAATGCCCAATGGTGGAGTTTGTGTGTACATCTGGAGGGAATAGAGAACCACTGGAATTTAGTGAGGTGGGAGTTGATACAGTCAGACCTGAATTTTAGAAGATCCATTGGATGGCTGAGTAGAGAATGGACTAGAGTGGGGAGAGACTTGAGGCAGGCAGACCCCTCCCCATCCCCAACAGCTATTGCCATAGTCCAGGCCTGAGGCAATGGGGGCCTGCAGCAGGGTGGGGGCCATGTAGAGTAGAGAAGGGGGCATATTTCAGAGATGTTGTAAAGATGGAATCGACAAGCCTTGGCAACAGCTTGGGAATGGGGGTGGTGGTGGTTTTGAGAGAGTGAGTAGTCCTGGACGACTCCTAGGTTGGGACCTGCATGGAGGATGGAGGGTGATAGTGCCTTCAAAAGCAAAACGGAAGTTAAGGAGAGGGGAGGGGTTTTTGTTTTTGTTTTTTGCAAGAAAGATAATGAGTTCCGTTTTTGACATGTCAAATACAAGCTATCTATAGGACATCTATTTCAAGATGTCTAATAGGCAACTGAGAAGGCAAATTTGGGGGTTGGGAGAGAGTTTAGGGAGGGCCAGGTAGATATGAGGGTCATCTGCAGAGAGATGATAATCCAAGCCGTGGGGGCTGATGAGATCACCAGGGGAAACTGTATGTAAAGAGAAGAGGGCCCAGGACAGAGCCTTTGTAGGAGCGACACACATGAAGATCCAGCAAAGGAAACTGAGGCCTGGTCACATGGGTAGGTGGAAAACCAGGAGGGAGAAATGAAAACCTAGACAGAAGAGATTATTAAGAGAAGAGGCTGATCAGCAGGGTCAAGGGCTGCAGAAGGGGTAAGAAGGATGAGGATGGAGATTGTAAACGAAGAGATCCTTAGTGATTTTGTAAAGACCAGTTTCAGTTGAATAATGAGGTCAGAAGCCAGACTGCAAAGAGTTAAGAGAATGAAGAAGAAAAAAAATGGTGGCACCCAGCTAGAAATCTATTGTCTTATGAATGTTACTATATTTAAAGTCCAGATTTTCCATCTTCTAGTGAAATATGCATGAGTAAATTGCTGTCACCGTCCTCATTCTTTGGCTTTAATCCAAAATACGATGGAGAATGACTGAAGGCTTTTAAAAAGGCTGATAATACGCATTAAGAAAGGGCACTGAAGCTTTCCCTTTGGAGGAGTAGCTGCCATTGGCTTGGAGTTCAGATCCGTCTCTTCCTTCTCTAAACCATCCTCTGCAAACTGCCAAAATTCTTTTTAAAAAAAATTTTTTTTTAAAATTCTTTTCTTAAGGCACAGGGCAGAACACTTCCTACCCTCCTCAAGAATCTTCAGTGGCTTCCTTGTACTGCCAGGAGGATAAAATATGAACTGGAAGCTTGACATCTTCTTAATCTGCCTTCATATGATTTTTCTTCCAGACATTTCATATTACTTCCTTTCATGTACTCTACTTACAAAGTTTGTAGCCTAAACTTGGGTTTTGATTTCCCACTGCTACATATTTATCCAGTTGTCTCACACACCTCTGCCCCTTAGAGTACTCAACTCCCTTCAAGGATTAGCTCAGAAACACTAAGAGTGTTTCCGGTGCCCTGGAAAAAGCGCTGGATTTGGGATCAGGTAACTTGGGTTTGAATCCCAGCTCTGTTTTGCCTGGGTGATCTTACAAAGTCTCTTTACTTCTGCCTACACAAGAGATCCCAGAGATTGCCCCCTCCATCATTCCCGCTCTCTCATTTTCAGTCTCTCCCTGTCCATTAGTACCTTCATTATTGCCTACAAACATTCATGTCTCCCCCATCTTCAAAAAGCATCCTCCCTTCCCTGCCATCATCCCTCATCCTTTCTGTCCTTTGTGGCCAAACTCTTTGAAAAACCTGCATAGAATAGGTGCCACCCCATGTCTCTCCTTGACCCCCTAGAATCTGGTTTCTGATCTCATCATTCCCCTGGCACCACTCTCTCCAGAATGATCGACCATCCCTTAATTGGCCTTTTCTCAGTCCTCATTCTCCTCCACCTTTCTGTGGCCTTTGCCTCTGTTGCTCACTCACTCCTCCTTGAGATGCTTCTCTCTCTGTCTCTGTCTCTGTCTCTGTCTCTCTCTCTCTGTCACCCGGTTCTCCTCCTACCTTTCTGACCACTCCTCTGTCTCCTTTGCTGGATCCTTCTCCAGGTCCTGCCCACTAACTGTGGGTGTCCCACAGGACTCTGTCCTGGGCCCTCTCCTCTCTACCCTCTGTACTACTTGGCCTCATCAGCTCTCTTGGATTTAATCACCATCTTCTTGGTGATGGCTCCCAAACCTTCCTATCTGGCCTTGACTTCTCTGCTAACCTCCAGGTCTGCATCTCCAGTTGCCTTTCAGACATCTTGAGCTGGATGTTCAGTAAACATCTCACATTCGTTCCATCCAAACTTGAACTCATTTTTCTCCTAAACACTCCTTGCCTCTTCCCTTCCCTATTACTATCGAGGGCACTGCCATTCTCCCTGGGCCAACAATCTAGGTGTCATTCTGGACTCTTCACTATCTCTCATCCCCCCACCCCTACCAACATCTAGTCTGGTGCCAGGCCTATTGATTTCACCTTTGCAACTTCTCTCGAATACACCCCCTTCTCTCCTGTGACACCCCTCCCCCCACTCTGGCGCAGGCCCATACCACCTTATGCCTGGACGATGGCAGTGGCCTGTGGAGGCTGCCTCCGATCTCTCCACAGCTGTCCGATCAGTTTCCCCAAAGCACTGGTCTGACTACACTACCCTTCTGCTCAGAAAACTCTAGTGGCTTCCTGTCACCTCTAGGATCAAATGCAAAATCCTCTGTTTTTTTGTTCAGAGTCCTTTCTAGCCTAACCTCCTCCTGCCTGTCCAGTCTTCTCACGCCTCACTCCCCAAAATGTACCTGAAGACCCAGTGACAACGGCCTTCTGGCTGTGCCGCAAACGAGACTTTCCAGCTCTTGGTTCTGGGCACTTTCTATGCCTGGAATGTTCTCTCCCTTCTGTTCTGCCTACTGACCTCCCTGGCTTCAAGTCCCAATAAAATTCCACCTTCTACAGGACGCCTTTTCCAATCCCTCTTCATTCTAGTGCCTTCCTTCTAAATCATTTCCTATTAGTCCTATATGTAGCTTGTTTGTATATATTTGCTTGTCTCCCACACTAGATTGTAAGCTCCTTGAGGACAGGGACTGTCTTTTGCCTTTTTTTGTAACTCCAGCGCTTAGCACAGTCCCTGCCACATACGAGGTGCTTAATAAATACTTATTAACTGACTTTTTTAGCCTTACTTTCCTCACCTGTAAAATGAGAGGGCGTGCTCATTCATCAAATGCAGTAAATGTCTCAGGCATTGTGGAAGAGCCAGGGATCCAAAGAAAAGCCAATTGGCCCCGCCTTCAAGGAGCTTACATTCTATGGGAGGTAAACTACAAGTATGCAGGAAATTAACAAGTTAAATATGAAATCATTTCTGGGGGAAAGGTATTAGTGTCTGAGAGCAGAGGAGGTCAGTAAAGCTTTCTGTGGAAAGCCTTGCCGTGTGAGTGGAGCTTTGAAGGAAGCTTGGCTTTCTCTGCAGTGGAGCTGAGGGAGGGCTTTGATCAGGCTGGAGAGGCAGGCTGGAGTCAAGAGTTTAGGAGGAGAAGGAGGAGCTTTAAAAACCAGACAGAAAAGTTTGTATTTCACCCTGGCGGCCGAGAGGGACGTGGCCAGACTCTTCTGGCTGCCATGTGAAGGGCAGTTCTGAGAGAGGAGAGATTGGATTCAGGGGCCCCACTGAGCAGGCTATTGAAATGGCCTGAACAAAGGTGGGGGCCTTGTGACTGGAGAGAGATGTTGTGCAGGTAAAGATGAAGAATCCGTCTGGACCTGGAGTGAGGCCTGCCTTTCAATCCTGCCTCAGCCGTTCCCTAACTGAGTGGCCTTGGGCAAGTCACAACTTTCAACTGTAGATTCATAATGGCCCCTGTCATACAGGGTAGGAATTGTGGGCGTTAAATGAGATATTTGTGAAGTGCTCTGCAAACATTTGTTAAGATTTGCCAACTCTTTGGGTCTGTGGGGTTGGGAACCTGGGGATTGGAGGGATGGTGGTGCCATCCACCCAGCAGGGAAGTTAAGAAGGGGTGGGTTAAATTCCCTTCTGTGATCTGATCTGCAATCTGTGACGCAAAATGAGGGAAGGCCAGATGGAGCATGAATTACAAACTGCCTTGAGGAAAGAGTGAGTGAATCTACCATGGGAGATCTTTGGGAGGGGTGGACTTGGACAAGATGGTGGGGATGGGGAAAGTCCCCACGTTGATGGGACCACAGTGGAAGAACACTGGCCCTGGAGTCAGGAGGACCTGAGTTCAAATGTGGCCTCAGACACTTACTAGCTGTGTGATCCTGAGCAAGTCACTTAACTCAGATTGCCTCAAAAAAAAAAAGGGGGTGGGGTGCGGTGGAGTAAGTACTATCCTTAAGACCCTTAACCTTGGCCAACTTCTGGCTTTCTTGAAAAGTGTGGGGAAGACTGCCATCTAGTGTCCACAGGTGGACTTCCTGGCTGCCTGGGGAGCATTTCTATGGATTGCTCATGTCTTGAAGAATAAACTACCTAGATTTTTCCCCCTTTCGGAAATGGAGGGGTACAGTTTAGAGAAGTATTCTCATCTGCAGCACTGCTCTGTATCTACTTCTCAGAGTACACATTGTTCCCCTTTAATGGAATGGTAAGCTCCTGGAGGGGCAGAGATTACTGTGTTGTTTTGATCTTCCAGTCCCAAGACCTAGCCCCGTGCCTCTTCACAAATGTTTGTTGAGTTGAATCTTTGTAGGCTTATTTCCCCATCCAACCCTTTGCCATCCTGCCAAACTGGGCTTTTCAGATGCCTCACACATCTCGGGGCTGCCCCAATACCTGGGATGCTCCCACTCCTTACCTATCTTCTAGAATCCCTAGATTCCTTCAAAGATCAGCTTCAGCGTCACCTTCTACAGGAGGCTTTGCCTAACCCCCCATCTAGGAATGCCTTCCTTGCATATAAGGCAGGAGAGGGGTTCCATACCCTGACCTTGGCAGTTACAAAGGGATCAGACTTCTCAATTGAGACCCTCAGAGGTGTGAACTCAGTGTGAATAAGGCCCAAACACCTCTAGAATCAATCGGGAATCAGAGACTTTAGACAAAATATGAAAAATCCTTGATCAGTTCAAAAGGAGTGAAGGCCATTGGATGTGAGCCACAGAAGTGTGTTCAAATTAGTAAAGGAGACTTGGTCACACTCTGTGGTGACTGTAGTATAAAACCCCAAACATAAGCTAGTTTGGAATTGCGTATTGAGTCAGTAGAGAGGAAAGACCTCAAATGTTGAATTGTAAAGAATCAGAGGCCCAGGGGCAACAGACAGAAATAGAAAGAACAGAAAGAAAGCGTGGGCTGTATGTGGCAGAGGAAGGAAAGACTCAGGCCCGCTGACCCTGCAGGCTCCATGGAACTGAAAGCTTCAGTTGGACCAACCTCTTTGAGGACCAGGGACAGTTCCAAGAAAAGATCGGCTTTCTGGAGCTTCTCCTCCGAAGACCTGTCTTGTAAGCTGTATACTCAGCTTTCTGCTATTCCCAAACATTTTCAGTAACTTAAATTTTTGTTTCAACCATAAAGAGGCCAGAGAATAGTTAACAGATAAACATGAATTTAAATTAAGTCAGAGAGCCAAATCTCTGCTACTCTGTTAGGAATTTTCCTAACTGGGGAAACAGTAATTTTAATTGTTCTCCTAACTTTTTGTTTAATATAAACTCTATAAAGGAACAGCAAAGGAAACCTGAGGAGACATTATTTCATTCCTGAGCTTAAAAAGAGGGGGGGGCCCTGGAAGCTAGTTGTAATATAGGGTATGGCTGATTAAATATCCAGAGGGAAAGAGGGTAGAGAAGAGGGGATAGTGGGGATTCCTTGTCACCAGCAGCCCTCCGTGACATCCATGTCCATGGTATGGCACTTCTCAATGTTCCCTGATAGAATGAATGGTCTTTTTTATTTTGGTCTGTATTCCCAGGCCTTAGCACAGTGCTTAGCACACAGTAGACACTTAATTGTTGATTGATTAAATGTTGAATGAATTGAGTTGGCAACACTCCCAAGGCCCTTTTCTTGAGGATAGAGCCTGTGCCCTCAGATCTGGCTAGGGGACTCCATCTTCTTCCCTTCTTCTACAGCCCTGGGGCCTAGTTATATTCTATACTGGTGGGTGACAAGCTCACTCCTACTCTGACTCCCTGAGGGTCCTCCAAGGTCTAAGATCTTGCCTCTTCTAGGAGGCGATATTCACCTTTACTATAATAGAACAGAAGCTGTAATTTGGCTTGTGACAAAAATGCTGAAAAATTGTTTAACGTATTGAGGCAGCATGACATAATAGGGAGTCCAGGGGGCTAGGAGTCAGGACACCTGGGTTCTGGGGCCAGCTCAGCAGCTAACACTGTATAACCTTGGGCACAGGATCATAGGCGTAGGGCTGGAAAGGACCTTAGAGGCCATTTAGTGCATCTTAGAGATGGGAAAGGTGAGGCCCATGGTAACCCTGCACCTGTCAAAGGCAGAATTTGAACTCAGGTCTCAGAGCATAATGACAAACTTCATCATCTTGCCTTGGCTCAGCCTACCTATAGAGATGGGCGCCTGGTACAGATGAGGGATCTGGGGTATAAGGGGCAGGGTGGGGCTGTATACTCACAATCTCCAGGCCACCACTTGGTTGCGGATAACGTTGGTGTGTTCAGCACAAATTCTTGGGTGGAAGCATCATAGGTGGCTGTCGTCTCAAGACCTTGAAGGTATGTCCCTTGGAGCCAAGGAAATAGAGCCATCAATGAGTGACGTTACTCTAGTTGTCTTAGAGGGGCTAGTGTTGGCCAAGCCCACAGCTCCACTGATTCCTTGCTAGGGACCAAGTTTGCTTTCCTCCGCCCTTCCCATTTGTCACCATGCAGACTGGACATGATGGGTGGCCTCCTGGGACACTGGGCGGCAGCCCTCTAGTGGGGCTCTCCCACGGATTCTGATCCGCACCCCTGGACCTCAATGAAGGACTTGCTAATTCCATCTCAGGACCTGTCCCCACCTCTCCAGGAGTAGGAGCCCAGAGGGCAAGAGCTTAATTAAGCCTCCTCCTCACTCTTCATTAAGTGATCTCCAGGCTTCCCTGCCATGTGGACTGCCTTACCCTTACAGGGAGAGACCAGAGAGGCAGCTGCCATGGGTCTTGTCCCTGCTCAGACAAATTTGCTCTCTCTTGCTTTTCCCATTTGTCACTATGCAGACTGGATCTCCAAGGAGAACGGACCCTCCCTTGATCCTTGGTAAATGAGTTTAGTGGAAGGGGATAGTCAATGTGAATATAATAATTGTGGCTCCTCAGCTGTCTCTGTCGGTGGTCTATAAATAGCCCAGTGTGGACCAGGCAGCCTTGGAAATGAGACAGCCCCATTTTTCTGACTTCTGGGTTGCTTAGGACCCCCAAAAGCTGGTGCCTGGCTATACCTTTGGACCTCCCAAGGTCACAGCCCACCGTCTTCTCAGTCTTACCATGTCCCATTTCTGTCTGAGCGTAGGTCACAATGATCTGGAAGTTTTCTGTCAGGGGACCCCACTTCTTGATTTGCTCATCTGAACCCAGGCTCTTGAGGGCTTTCTGGAACACTAAGTGTATGTTAAAGGCTGTGTCTCCTGCGAGGGCCCTGTAGGACACAAACATGCATGTCAGGGCTTGGGGGTGGAGTGGGCGTGTGACCCTGAGGCCCAGACAGGCTTGGAGACAACCAGCACTCGCTTAGGATCTCAGGATCAAGGGAACAAGTATTGAAGCAGCTCCTCTGTGCCAGGTGCTGCTGAGCTAAGCACTTTACTACCTCATTTCATCGGACTCCACTGATGCCCTTGCCGAAAGGCGAGCTCTGGGCTAGCGGGTTTGGGGCTTTGGTGAGGCCGATGGCTTTGCCCCCAGCCAGTGCCGGAGGCTCCCCCACCATCGGCCGCCCCGTGATGATCACCTGTTGATATAACGTAGTTCAGCACCGTCCTCCTTCCAGCCCCTTTGCTTCATCAGCTTCTGGTAATGAACACTCTTCTGAATGGCGGCTTCATACCGCTGGTTCTGACTCATGAAGTAATTATTCTTTATGCTGTACACGGGGCTGCTGTGAATGATGCTCTCTGCCAAACAGAGACAACGGGTCAGCAAATGGCTCCTCCATACCTAACAGTGACTTCTCCCACATCTCCATGGTTCACTTATTCCAAAAGGATGCTCTTATCTCATTGTATCCTCATCATGTTGGGGAAGGTAGGCACAAGGGTAGGCATTTTAAAGGAAGGAGATCAAGGCTTATGAAGGCAGTCACACAGCCCAAGGCCAAGAGCAGCCTTGAGATTCACACTCAGGTTTTCTCCTTGCTCCAATTCATCTTGCACAGGAGTGCCCTGTTGTTCTGCTATACAATAAACCCTAGTGCTTAGCACAATGCCTGCACATAGTAGGTGCTTCATAAATACTTATCATTGACCGATTCAAGTGGCTTCCAGAGTCAAACACAAAAGTATCTGGTGTTAAAACCCTTTCACTATTTCCAGGCCTATGATACAAATCGCAGCCTTTCCCACCCTCTGCTTTCCAGCCAACCTGTTTTTCCCTGTTCCTCATATACATGTCCTTTTCTTTTTCCAACTGTATGTCCCCAGCACCAAGCAGGCACTTCATAAACGCTTGTGGATTGATTATTGATTCAGCAGACTGTCTGTGGTACCGTTTCTTAAATACTTAATGAAAGCATTCGGCTGATTATAAACAGTAACCAACAACAAACATGTTCAGATACAGAAAGAATTTTTTTCTTTAAGATTGCAGTGAAACCTTGGGAGTCCTTGAACTCAGGTTTCCTGATGCCAAGGCTGGTCCTCTAGTGGCTGTACCATCCTGCCTTTCACTTGAGACCAGAAATGTGTATTAGCTTAGTCAAGTCAGTGACCAAAGAACCCTCTTGGCTTCTATGTTCCCTTTTGACACTTTGTTCTGTGTATTTTCCCATGCTCTATGGCTATTACTGTGGTCTGTTGTTCAGTCATTTCAGTTGTAATCCACTCTCCATGCCCCCCCTTTGGGGTTTTCTTGGCAAGGATACCAGAGTGGTTTGCCATTTCCTTCTCCAGCTTACTTAACAGATGAAGAAACTGAGGCAAACAGTGACTTGCCTAGGGTCACACAACCAGTAAGTGTCTGGAGCTATATTTGAACTCAGGAAGATGAGTCTTCCTGACTCCAGGCATGGTGCTTTGTGTACTATGGCTCCCCCTAGCTGTCCCATTGTGGCTTTTATTATTGTGGTTTACAGAGTTATCATTTGTGCATAGTTTACTGTTCTGCTTCTAGTTCACTTAGTAGTAGTTTTTCTGTTTTTCTTTGTATACTTCATACTTATGTCCAAAGACAGAAATATCCTATTAAATTCACATGCCGCAATTTGTTCAGCCATTTTTCAGACATGTGGTGAAGTACAAAGAAAGCTGGGTCAACAGCCAGGGGACCTGGGTTCAGATCCCAGCTCTGCCACTGCCCACTTGGGTAACCAAGGCCTCTTCTTTCTGATCTCTAAAATGAGGAGGCATAGACTAGAGGACAAATCTTAGGCTCCTGCAATCTGTAATCGATTGCTGGACATTTGGGTTGTTTCTTTCTTTCTTTTGCTATTAGAAGCATTATTGCTAGGAATGGGTTTTTTTTTTTTTGTGTGTGTGTGTGTGTGTGTGTAATTATCTTATTATTATGTTGCATAATAATTTTACCAATAACCAGCTCAGGGACTGTTCTAATAGTAGGCTCATGAGGTCAGAGGGCCCAAATAATGTTGTAATTCTTATCATATAATGCTATGCTGCTTTCTGAAAAGATTGCATTAATACACAGCCCTACTAGGAGTGTCACAATGTGCCTGTTTCTCTTTATACTTATCTGTCTTCAATTTTAAAATACTTAAATTATCTGTCAATCTAATGGGGGTAAGGGAGTATCTAGAGTTCTTTTAATTTGCATTTTTCTGAATATTAGTTTGAATAGTTTTTTAGATGGTTACTGAAAATCTGTGTTTCAGCTTTGTAAGATGGTCTGTTTGTATATCCTTTGACCACTTATCCCTTGGGGAAACAAATCTTATTCTTATACACTTGTATCAATTCTGCCTCAATATTAGAGGTTAGACAAAGATGGTTATAGCAAAGATTTTTTTTTAACCTAACTCTACTATAATTTGTTAAATTATTCATTTTGTCAGAAGGGAATACAGTTGTCTTTATTTTACTGCTACCACCCATCTTGTCATAACTGTAACACTCCCACATCCACACATCACACTCATCATAGTTCCTAAATTTTATGCTCTTCACTCTCTAAGTCTTATAAAAACCAAATTACCTCCACCTTCCCCCTATTTGAGAAATGAGTACCTCTCTGGAATCCACCCTGCAGTTCACTTTACTCTCTTTGCCCTTTGTTCTTTTCCCCCCCCTTTCATTCTTTATCTGTGACATTCATACTCAATTTATTACTAAACTCCTTCATCTCCCTCCCCTTGCCAAGGTCATTCAGTTCTTAATTAAAGCAATATTATTTTTATTTTATTACACTCTTGTGATGATTAGAGCCATAGACTTTGATTATCAATACAATGGAATATTATTGTTCTGTAAGCAATGGTGAATATGAAGAATTTAGACAACCATGGGAAGACTTGTATGAAGTGATTATTGCTTGACCTTCCTTCTCCAAGAGGACCACAACATCAGGGAGGTGAGGCCGTGACTTGCATGTGAATTAGATTTAAGTGAGGGAGGGCTATGCAAAGTCACCGGCCTCCCTCTCTCCTCCTCCTCTCTCCTCCTGTGGTCGTGTGGCCAGATATAGATCAGGATGACTGGAGATGGACCCCATGAAGTGATGCAGAGTGAAGAAAGTAGAACCAGGAGAACAATATACACAATGAACACATCATTCTAAACGAGGTTAACACTGGGGGAAAAGAAAGCTCAAATATAATAATGTTGGTACCACACTATCAAAGTTAAAGCAGCTATCTTTTCTCCTGAAAATTGGCAAACTACAGAAGTAGAAAATGGTATAAAATTTCAGTCACAATTATGCTAATAGATGGTTTTGCTTAAATTTTCAGGGAGTGTACTTTGGAGTGGGGTTTATTTGGTTGTTTGTTGAGAAGTGTTTGTTGGGAAACAAAAGAAAAAAATCATAAATTAAGTCAAAAGTAGATTTGAGATCCGGTGTTGTTCAGATATGAAAGGGTTAAGTCTTTATGTCTTTAAGTCTTAATAGCAAAAACAGGGCATCAGACCATGGATGTGTGGGGAAGGTGCCCTGCATGGTATTTACTAGTGTCTAGTGCTCATGACCTTTCTACTTCCTTTGTCCTGCCATGCTCAGTTACATCCCATGTATTTTGGGATGTCATTTCACCATTTTGATTCTCTTTACTTTAGTTGTTTTTTATTATTTTTTTTCATGAACCATTCACTGTTTAGTATAGCCTTTGTTTAGATATGCATCTTTTGTTCATTTCCCTCATTGATCACAATTTTTATCATATTATGTTCTGTAAAGGGTGTGTTGTGTTGCTGCCTTTCTGCATTTATTTATGAATTATTTATGCCCCAGCCCATCATGTGATTAGTTTTCATAAAGGTACCAAGCAATTCAGAAAAACAAAGTCCATTCTTTAAAATTCCTATTCAGTAATTACCACAAATCTATCAAATTTAGTTTCCAACATTCTACTTAGGTCCGTAATCTTCTTGGTAATCTTAATGTTGGATTTGTCAAGGTCTGAAAGTGTTAGCTCAAATTACCTATAATTATTATTTTTCTATACAAGTCTTTTGCATTTCATTTAACCTTTTCTTTAAATATCTGAATATTATGCTATTTAGTGTATTTGCATAGAAATATGTATATATGTTTGTGTATATTGTTTCATTGTCTATGGTACCTTTATACTATAGTTTCTCTGATCATCTCACTTGACAGTATCTTTTTTTTTTTTACTGCTGTCTTGCTCAAAATCATAATTAAACCTGATTTTTTTGGGGAGAGGGACTAGAGATTCAGTTGAAATATAATAAACTTTTTTTTTTGGTGTCTCTACTTACTATATTTGAGAGGAAGTAGGCTCTCATATAATCTCTCACTCTGCTGTCTTCTAGGAAGTAGTATTTACATGGCAGAGTGAAAGGTGAACAGGTGTGGCCTTTTCCCTTAGGGGTTCATGCAGCCCATACTCTGTGTGCCCATGGGAAAGAAGGCTGGATTTGGCACCACAGGGCCTGGGTTCTTGACTGCCACGTGCTACCTGTGTGATTACTGGCAAATTGCTTCACCTTTCTCGAGCTTTAGTTTCCTCATATATAAAATGGAAATTGTGGGGATTTAGGGTTATTATGAGAAACAAATGAGATATGGTATGTAAAAGTGCTTTAGAAAACTTAAAGCACCATTTGTGAATTATTATTATTGTTGTCATCATATCATATTGGCTTCTGTCACATCACATTTTCACATTTCCAGAATTGTTTTTTTTTTTTTGGCTAGGCAGTGGGGTTAAGTGACTTGCCCAGGGTCACACAGCACACAGCTAGTAACTATTGTGTCTGAGGCTGGATTTGAACTCAGGTCCTTCTAAATCCAGGGCCAGTGCTCTATCCACTGTGCCACCTAGCTGCCCCAAATTATTTGTATTTTAACAGAGGTTTCTTTAAATTGTGGACTACATAGATAGCATTAATCTTCAGTGGGGAAATTTGAGGGAGATTATTTTTTGTGGATAAAGAAGGGAGAAATGAGGGGAGAAGATAGGAGGGCTGTCTCACCAATTTGTCTCCGTTTCTGGGTAAATTCTGCACCGCCATCTAGGATGTTTGTGAGTCTCTCGACATCAAATGACTTGTTCTGCCTCTCAATGTCCAGGTCAGGGTTCACCCCTTTTTTCCAGGTACTCCTAGGAGTCGTGCTGTAGATCTGGTTGGCCATTTTGAGAGATTCTGGGTCCTAGCCTTCTGCAAAAGAAAGGCCCCAGCACACCTAGTCAGCTCTGGCTTGCCTTTCTGCCCTGAGCTTACCCTCTATGGCTTCTCTCCCTCCATAGTAGAGAAGGAGAAGTAAGCCTAGTGATGAAGCAAAAGGGGATGGTAAAGAGTAGCTGGTGCCCTTTGACATCTTGGCAAAAGGTGTCAGAGCAGGACTGAGACAACTGATGACCTGGTCATTGTCGGAACCTGGGGAACAATCATTGCCTGAGGCCAAAGCTCCTCCCAGCATTTGTTCAATCATTCCTTTTGAATGTAGGGAAATTCAGTTTCTACCGCTGGTATCCAATTTATATTTGACTTCCAAGTCAAATCAACCACAAAGGAGGACAATGAAAATGGCGAGGATAAAAGAGGGAACAGTGCTAAGGGATATGACCTCATCATAGGATTGTCAATTTAGAGCTGGAGAGGGCGTTGCAGACCTTACAGATGAGAAAACGGGTTCAAAGAGGCTTAGTTATTGGTCCAGGAGTTGGTAAGTTAGATCGTGGAGTTAGTAAGTCACTGAGGCAAGATTTGAACCCAGGTCCTCCTAATGCTAAGTCCAGTGCTCTATTCATGATACCGTGATGGTATGAAGTCCCTTGAGAGGCAACACAGTATAGAGACCTGTATGCTGGACTTGGACTCGCGACCTGGCCTCTGACACTAGCTGTTGACTATGGACAGCTCAGCCTGTCTGAGATTCAGTTTCCTCATCTTTAAAATGGGAATGCTAGTCAACATGCATTTATTAAGCACCTGCTGTGTGTCAGGCACTGTGCTAAGTAAGCATTGGAGATACAAAAAGGGCCAGAAGACAGTCCCTGCTCTTAAGGAGCTTGTTCATCCTTTGTTTTCAAAGAGGAGCAATGATACCGTGGCTTGATGTCTCGACTTGTGTCCACATTGGATTTAAGTGAGGCAGAGTCACACGAAGTCATCAGCCTTACTCTCTCGTCCAGAGTCATCAAAGTCCAGGGGCAAGTCAGGACAATGGGCAATGGGCTGAAATGGCCTTGGTCTTGTTGGCTTTGATGCCTGACCAATCTTTAAGGGCTCCTCAGCATCTGTTTCAGCTGCCTTCATGGCCATTGGGGCAAATTATTCTCATCTACCCATTTTGCTAGGGGAAGTCTTCGCATGCTTGGGGTAGGCATCCCCCTAATTCACTACCCGTTGGTTACTCTCAACCTGTTTTGCACTTCCGCCAAGTCAGTTTACCAGGGTGTGGACACTGTGCATGCTACAGTTCCTTGGAGCCACAGATGAGGGTTGGGTAAAGGTAGACACCAAAGGTGGACAAACAGCCCTGGAAAGGGCTCGGCAAGTCCTCATACCAGAGGTGCCAATCCTCCCTGAATACTCCATATGCAAGATAGACAAAGGAGGGAAAGATGCCAAAGGCATGGGAAAAGTCTTGGACCTTATGAACACTGAAAAAAGGTGATCTATAGGGCATCAAGAACAACGAACCTTTACGCTACTCTGCCATCTATATCTACTCTTTTAAAAGTTATCTACATAGGAATCAAGAACACTCTCGATGAGGGTGTTAGTAAGAAACTGGACCATGTCAGTTTGGACTAATTGAAAGATGTAAGAGAGTTTAAGATCCCCTGTGCTTATTATTTGCTAATTATTTAAAAAATTATTCATTAGAACAAAAGTCTTAGAGATTCATTTTACAACATTCCTGCCTGTACATTAAAATTGTTCATGATTCCTTGGAAAACAGAACAATAGAAACAGACCCATTCAACCACCTTCTGATAAGAAACATCACATGAGGCGGAGAACAGGGAAGGATATGCTTGACAAAGATATTCCCTGTGATAGAGGAGATCTAGCACTGAATCCAAGTTGAAGAGGGAAGGCGAAGTGCTGAAGGAGCTCCTATTTATACATTGTTCTTACATTTGAAAATTAAGGTAAACTTAGAGGCGAGGTTCTGAGCATGATCAGTTTATTAGTTAGGCTAGCAGTAACCAATAAATTGGGTCAATGGCCTCTCTCAATGACCAAAGACCCTGAAAGAGGGCTGACAGGGTCTTTTAAACCTAGCTGTATTTTCCTTCTGATTGGCCTGATAGCACATCATTTGTACTTCCTGGAAAAGGTAAGACCATCCTGATTGGTAGACATCTTCATGAGGAGGTTGGGTTAAGAGTCTCCTCAGCTCCTTCCCATTACTTTCTCCATGGGAGATGGGAGTAATCCTCAGGTGATGGGAGTAATCTTCAGGTGACAGGCAGACATGAGTGTTGGATTGAATCAGCTTGAATTTAAGTTAAGTGGGTAGTGGGTAAGGTGACAAAGGTAGACAATACGAGAGTAGAGATTCAGTTCATAATTGAATTGGGTTCTGAGTGGAAGTAATTACAAGACAAAAGCTTGAACTTTAGGTAAGTGTCTTCATAAAAGTTACAAGGGTAAGGAGCTTAGACTCACAGGGTGTGGGAGAGTATTAAACCTATGCCAGTTTGACTGTATTAAAAATAGAATTAAAATCAATTTTCAGTTTTATGTGGCATTGCATGATTGCATAATGCCCTAGAACATGGCAAAGTCTCCTGGAAGAGAGCTGTATTTGCTCAAAGGCATCTAGCCTAACTATCCACACAGTAAACACCAGGTGGATGAAGAAATATCTGTTGCCCAAATTTCAACATGCTTTTGGTTGAGAAACCTATAGGAGTTTCTCCAAAAGTGTGTGTGTGCGTGTGTGTGTGTGTGTGTGTGTGCATGTGTGTGCATGTGTGTGCATGTATGTGTGTGACAGATTTTATAGCTGTCCATATATATAACAACAACAGCTGGATGACAAGTTGGGCCCAGAGTTGAACAGGATGGGGAGAACAAGTTGGTTTGCCTTTGGGAGATTACAGAACTTTCATGATTCTAAGCTTCCAATAAAAACAAAGACCCATTAAAAAAAATACTAACATGCTACTAGTGCTGCTTTATGACAGTGAGAAATGGAAAATCAGTCTCTAAAGAACTGAGCATGAATATCTCTCAGACAGCAAAGGAGAGGTGCAAAGTGGGTATGGCTAAGTCTGGCCTCAGACACTTACTAGCCATGTGACCCTGGGCAAGTCACTGTTTGCCTCAGTTTCCTTATCTGTAAAATAAGCTACGGAAGGAAATGGTGAGCCACTCCAGTATTTTTGCCAAGAAAACCCCCAATGGAGTCATGAAGAGCCAGACACAACTGAAATGACCAAATAACAACAAAATCCATACAAGGTAACGTGGGTAATTTTAGAAGCTGGTAGTATTAGGAATTCTAAAAGGTTTCAGAGACAAGGTGGGAGTAAATTCCAGGCATGAAGGATGGTCTATACAGAGGCCTGGAGAAGGGAAATGGAGTTGATGTACATCAGGAATCATAAGTCCAGATTGACTAGATCCTTGGTCAATTATGACCCTTCAGAGGATCTAGGAGATAAAAAACAAAAAACAAATTATTTTCATAATAATATCAAGACATTTTCATTTATAATATTGCAAATGTGATGGAAGGAGTGTCATCAATAACTTTAAAGAGTGTAAAGGAGTGTTTAGACCAAAGGGTGAAAGGTCCTGGGCTAGACAAAGAGCATGTGAAGGAGAGCAGTCTCTCAGAGGGCCTTAGCTGGATACACAGGTCTAATCAGTCTCTGTGTGTTGCTATCAGATTTTGGAAGCACTTTTCCCTCCACAATGCATGTAGTGGGGATGAAGAGAGATAGTCAGGAATGCCTCAGTCCTGAATTTGGCTCTATCTGTGACCTCTTCTGGTTCTGATACCCTTGGCAAGGAGCTTAACCTTTTGTGCCTCTCCCTCTCTCTCTCTCTCTCTGGCTAGACAATGGGGTTAAGTGACTCGTCCAGGGTCACACAGCTAGTAAGTATTATGTGTCTGAGGCCGGATTTGAACTCAGGTCCTCCTGAATCCAGGGCTGGTGCTCTATACACTGGGCCACCTAGCTGCCCCTTGTGCCTCTCTCTCTTAAGACTACAAGTAGCAGAACAGATACATCAGTCTCCATTGGGGGAGGGCTTCTCTCACCTAGAATTACTTATGCCCATGAAATCACCTAGCCAGTAAAAAAAGAACAACATTAATTCAATGAATGCGTATTAGGCACCTACCGTATGCAAAGCCCTTGAGAAGGTGCTTTAAAAGGGGGGAAGACCCAACAAACAGGAGTTCAGAGTCCCAAAGCAGGCCAGTCTAATTCAGTGAAGTATTAAATGCCAGACGCCGGCACAAACCAGCCCCTGCCCTCAAGGCACTTCTGTTCATAATGCGGGAACAGTGCTGTGTGTGTATGTAACTAAGTGCTGTCCCTTGAGAATCCTGGTCCCTGAGCCGTGCTCTGGATGAATGAAGCTTGGGATTCTGAGAGGCAGAATACGAAGGTTGCCTTCTTCCAGTCTCTTCCTTTGACAACACCCTACACCAAGCTCCCAGTTGACTCCCCAATGGAACAGGCTCTCCTCTGGGGAGGGGGGCAGTTGGAGTCTTTCACCAGAGTCTGACTCTGGCCTGTCTTGGCAGGCTGGTCTATGCCTCCCCCTCCTACTTTCTGTGTTCCAGTTCCAATGGCCCATTGGCTATTTGCTGTGTACAATATTCTATATCTCCAGACCCCATGCCTTTTTTTTTTTTTTGCTTTTTGGTGAGGCAATCGAGGTTAAGTGACTTGCCCAGGGTCACACAACTAGTAAGTGTCATGTGTCTGAGACTGGATTTGAACTCACATCCTCCTGACTCCAAGGCCAGAGCTCTATCCACTGCGCCACCTAGCTGCCACCTTTTTTTTGTTTGTTTGTTTTTTTAAATGAAATTAAAATTTTTTTCTTTTAGCAATTGGGGTTAAGTGACTTGCCCAGGGTCACACAGCTAATAAGTGTCAAGTGTTTGGTCTGAGGCCAGATTTGAACTCAGGTCCTCCTGACTTCAGGGCCGGTGCTCTATCCACTGTGCCACCTAGCTCACCCCAGACCCCATGCCTTTGCTGAGCCTGGAATACCAGGCCTACCTCTTGGCACTCCTCCCTGTCTGGGAGCTCCACTTAGGTGTGCCTTCCTACTGAGACCTTTCCTGATTGCCCTCCACTATCAGTGCCCTCCCTTCCCAATGTGGGGTCTCCGTTTCCCCCCCCCCCCAGGACCATGCCAACTCCTTGGGAACAGGGACTGTTTAATTTTTTTTTTTCTGGGTCTGGTGCTTAAGAAGTGTAAATGTTTCTTGAATTAAACAGAACCCACCAATAAAAGTAACTCTTGCCTTTCTGGGTTAAGGGGCTCCCTGTCTTGGAATGGGGTAGATGCTGGGTCCAAGTACTAATCTTCAGGAAGTCGGGCTCTTTAATTGTAGTTCCCAGAAAGCCAAATCCCTTTGCTCTGTGCAGTGGCCACAAAAAAGGAGCCCTCTCCTGGGCTAAGTCATGATCCTAGAATCACACAGATTTAGATCTGGAAGGGACCAGTCCAGCCCAACAATCCATTTTACTGATAAGGAAATGCAGACCAAAGGGTCACATCGTGGTAACAAAGTATCCGAGGAGGAATCTGAGCCACATAATTCAACATCTTCCTTTTATAGGTGAATAAACGGGCCCAGAGAGGAGAGATGAGTATGCCCTGGTCACCCGGGTAGGAAGAGGCAGAGACAGAGTCCAAATCTCACCCTCTTTCTAGACAGCCTCAGGCGGGGCAGGCAGGAATCCATTCCTGTACTTTATCTGCTCTCCCAGACAACGCCGGAAAGTTTTCTAAGATAAAACAGGTTCTGGGGATCCCTGGAGGCCAAAACCACGTGGTCTCTGATCGGTAAACACCCTCTCTGACCCCCCAAAAGGGCTTCTCGGGTTTGGCTGCCCTTGACGTCCCCCTCAGCGCCCCCACTTACTCCTCTGCCCTCTCTTCTCCGCCCCTCTCCCCTCACTTCAGCTTGCAGAGCTGCAGCTGGGGATCCCTCGGGGGACCAGGTGGCGGGGAGCCCATAGACCTGACCTGGGTCTCCGCAGCGCGTTGCCAGCTTCGAGCCCTGCTGCCGGTCTTCCTGGACTCCAGGGGCGAAGTTCTCCTTTATGCCTCGGGAGCCAGAGGGGAGGGCATCCCAGTCTCCACCTCCCCAGCGCCTTGACAGCCGTAATAGGAGGCCAGAGATTCTATTTTTCCTGCGGAACCGGGAACAGCTGAGCCCTGGCTGTATCTGGCAAAGATGACTCACTTCCCTGCGAGTCAGTCGGAGGCAGAGGGCAGCAGCGTCGGTAACGCAGCGTCCGTACCCGGTAGGGCAAGGCAGCAGAGGGCAGGCTGAGACCCGCGTGCAAACCCACACCCCGACTGGGTCATTAACTTGGAGCGCAGGCGCCCACGAATGACGGCCTGTGTGTGTGTGTGTATGTGTGTGCGCGCGCGCGTTGAGGCTGCTGTGTGTGAGCGTGCGTGTATGTGTGTGTGCGTGCGTGCGTGCGTGCGTGCGTGCGTGCGTGCGTGTGTGTGTGTGTGTGTGTGTGTGTGTGTGTGTTGTGTGTTGGGACTGCTGTGTGTGAGCATATGCCCGATGGTCGTAAGGAGCTGAAAGGGGCGCTTTCGCCCGGGGAGCCCCGTGACAGGTCAGGGAGAACTCTCTGAGCCTCAGTGTCCCCTTCTAGAATATACGTTTAGTAACAGGACTTGCCTCACAACTCCCAGGGTGGTTGTGAGAATCAAAAAGAAGCAACGTTTCCAAAGTGGCGTCGGAGCTTTAAAATGCTCTGAGAAGGGCAGGTGTTCCTGTTACTGATTTAGTCTAACCTTTCCATTTTGCAGCTGAGGAAACTGAGACACAGCGGCTGTGTCTTGCCCGGGGCATAGGCTCTTGACTCCTATTCATGGACTCCGGATCTAGTGTGCTTTTCAACTCCAGCCTGGGTGTATGATATCAACATTAATGAATATAGAGTAAATGGACTGAGGTGTATAAAAAGTTTTACTGATGATTTTTTTTTTGCCAGTCACTTCCAGTATTCCTTCCCTTCCACAAACAAAAACCCTTTTTCTCTTTTTAAAAAAATTTAAAACATTTTATTTAAAGTTTTGAGTTCCAAATTCTGTCCCTCCCCTCCCCCCTCCCTGAGATGGTAAGCAATCAGATTATGGGGTACACACGTGCAATCATGTAAAACATTTCCATATTAGTCATTTTGTACAAGAAGACTAGAATAAAAGAAAAAAGAAAGTGAAAACCAGCATGTTTCAGTGTGTATTCAAACAACATCAGTTCTTTCTCTGGAGGCGAATAGTGTGTTTGCTCATTAGCCCTTTGGGGTTGTCCTGGATCATTGTATTGCTGAGAATAGCCAGGTCATTCACGAATTCTTCATCGAGCAATATTGCTGTTCCTGCTCCCGCTCACTGTACAGCAAGAACATTCCTCTATCCGCTAAAAGCAGTTTAGCCAAACCCGCTGACCCAGCCTTTGTGTGATTGCCCTGCTGTAGGCAGCTAGCTGTGCCCCATCTCTCTTGAGGACAGAGAGATTCCTGCTTCCTGCTCAGTCAGTTCTCAGAACTTCAGTCAACTACTCTGTTTGATCTCAATGTCTTTTAGCGTGCTTCTGGGTCCTGGCGGTCATGGATTTTACATGGTTCTCCTGGTTCTCCTTATTTCCCCTGCTTGTTTTTATACCAGTCTTCTTAAGTTTCTTAAAAGGCCTTATATTGAGCAGTATCTGACTTGACAATATTATTGCATTACATTCACGTGCTGCAGTCCTGAGCATATTTTGGCATCCATGTTTCCAGTTTTTTTGTTACCACAAAAAGTGCTCTGAAGAACCACCAGGAGGGTGAATGAAGGGCCATGAGGCTCTGTTGAAGGAACTGGGGCTGCTTACCTGGAGAAGACGAGTGGGGCTTGAGAGCTGTCTTCAGGTGTTTGAGGAGCTGTCACTAGAAGAGGGATTACTCATGTTCTGTTTGGCCCTAGAGGGCAGACCGGGAGCAGTGAGTGGCCAAGTGCGGCTTGTTAGCAGGAAGCACGTCCTCTCTGCTGTTCGGAAGCTTGTCTTGGGAGGCAGTGAGCTCCCCTCTCAGTAGAGGTGTCCAAGCAGAGCCTGGGTGTCCACTCATTATGGATGCTGTAAGATGGCTTCTTCTGAAGGGAGTAGATCCGATTCCCTTCTGCCACGGCCGCCTGGATAACTTTGGGCACTCCAATCTCTTGCCCTCACTTCCCTCAGTTTTAAAATGAGGAGTTTGGACTAGGCAAATGCTAAAGTACCATCCAAATCTGTACCTATGGTCTTCTGGTATTTCAAAGGATTATACAGTCTCTCAGGACAAGATAAGACAAATATGTGGATAAATTTAATTCAAATGAAGACACAGGTAAATAAGAGACTATGGAATCACATAAGGCACAAATTGGTTCCAGCTTCCAGCTTTGGGGGAAGTGAGATCAGGGAAAGCTTCATGAAGGAGGTGGTACTGAAAGATTTATCCTGGAAGAAGAGCTGGGACTAGATGTCAATGTGGTAGACCATTTCTTGGATTGCCACATGAGAAATTTAATGTAATTTTTTAATAAATGCATTTTTAAAAATTTATTTTTAGTTTCAAATTTTCTCCTTCCCTCCAGTCCCTTTCCCACCCATTGAAAAGGCAAGCAATGTGCTACCCATTAGGCATATGAACTCATGCAAAATATATTTCCATATTAGCCATCTTGCAAAAAAAAAAGTCATGAAAAGTAAAGTGAAAAAAGTCTGCTTCAATCTACATTCTTGGGGCAGCTAGGTGGCACAGTGGATATAACACCAGCCCTGAAGTCAGGAGGTCCTGAGTTCAAATCTGGCCTCAGACACATAAAACTCACTAGCTGTGTGTGACTCTGGGGAAGTCACTTAACTCCAGTTGCCTCACCAAAAAAACCCCGAAAAACTACATTCTTTCTGCTTGGTTTTGTTTCTTAAAATACATTTTTATTTATTTCATTAAATATTTCCCAATTACATGTACATTTTTTTTTAACATTCATCTTTAAAAATTTTGAGTTCCAAATTCTCTCTCTCCCTTTACTCCTCTACCCCCTTGAGGAAGCAAGCAATATGATATCAATTATACATGTGAGGTCATGCAAAACATATTTCCATATTTAGCCATGTTGCAAACCCCTCACCACCTGCCCCCCCCCCAAAAAAAAATAAAGTTGAAACAGTATTCTTCAATCTGCATTCAGAATTCATCAGTTCTCTCTCTGGAGGTAGATAATATTTTCGTCATGGGTCCTTTGTAATTGTCTTGGATCATTGTCTTGATCGGAGTAGCTAAGTCTTTCACAGTTGAGCATCGTTACAACACGGCTGTTACTGTGTACACTGTTCTTCTGGTTCTGCTCGCTTCACTTTGCATCGGTTCATGTGAGTCTTCCCAGGTTTTTCTGAAACCATCCTGTTCATCATTTCTTATACAATAATAGTATTCCATCACAATTGTATACCACAACTTGTTCAGCCATTCCTCAATTGATGGGCATCCCCTCAGTTTCCAATTCTTTGCCACCACAAAAAGAGCCGCTATAAATGTTTTTGTACATGTGGGTCTTTTTCCCTTTGCTCTCTTTGGAATACAGACCTACTAGTGGTATTGCTGGGTCAAAGGGTACGCACAGTTTGATAGCCCTTTGGGCACAGTTCCAAATTGTTCTCCAGAATGGTTGAAGTAGTTCACAACTCCACCAACAGTATGTTAGTGTTCCAATTTTCCCCCATCTCCTCAGCATCGGTCATTCTCCTTTTCTGCCTTGTCTGATAGGTGTGAGGTGGCACCTCAGAGTCGTTTTAATTTGCATTTCTCTGATAAAAGATGTTTTGTAATTGTATTCCTATAGTTCCTGGGTTTGTCTTGGTAGGCCGACTCCCAAGTATTTTATATTGTCTGAAGTTATTTTAAATGGAATTTCTCATTTTATCTCTTCTCATTTGGTTTTATTGGTAATTTCTAGAAATACTAATGATTTATGTGGATTTATTCAAATGCTGCAACTTGCTGAAGTTAATTGTTTCAGTCGATTTTTAGTTGACTGTGTAAGCCGTCATATTGTCTGCAGAAAGTCTCTTAACCTTGTAGTTAGCAGTGACCTCCTCTTTGGCTGGATTCATAGATGGAGCTGGGGAGGGGAGACATTCAGCAGGCAGCAGGCGACCAGGGAAGGCTCTCGACGCTTCTCCTCTAAGGCTGGCATGTGCCCGCTTGGACCTTGGGCTCTTTGCCTGGGCATCTGTTCTCTTGTTGCAAGTGAAAGATATTAGAGGTTATGACCTCATGAGTTTCAAAAGGACAGGACCGTGAATCACTGGGAGGGCCAGGAGTGCACTCTGTGCTGGAATTTGCAGCCGTTTGAAGGCCCTGATGGTTGATGATTAAGAAAGTGGAGCCAAGGACCCATCCAACAGTGATGCAGCATTGGATGCAGACTTGGTGAGGCCAAAGCTATGTAGAAACTGTTAAATTGAAGCCTGCTCTTCTCAGAGCTCAGGGTAGGACAGGAGAGAATGTGCTGGGGGAAATCTGTACTGTTCAAGCCACATCCCGGAAGGAAAGATCTCTTTGTAAAAGCTAACTGATTTTACTTGGTTAAATGGGGCTGGAGTCCTAGTCACTGCCAGCTAACAGTGGGGGAAGCACGTGGGGATTGGGCTTGAGCGTTTAGCCTTAGAGAAGAGAGATCCTAATTTCTCAGTGATATTCCTGGAACCTTGTAGGAGAGATATAGCCAGCCTTGCTCTGGGAGAGTGAGGTTATAATATTCACTACAATTATATTTCTTTTTTTTTTTAATATAAATTTATTTATTTTTAGTTTTCAATATTCACTTCCATAAGTTTTTGAGTTCCAAATTTCTCACCCTCCCCCACCCCAAGATGGCATGCATTCTGGATACCCATTCCCTGGTCTGCCTTCTCTTCTATCTCTCCCCCCCTCCCTTCTCTTATCCCCTTCCCCTTTTATTTTCCTGTAGAGCAGGATAGACTTCTGTACCCCATTTCCTGTATTTCTTATTTCCCAGTTGCATGTGAAAACATTTCTTTTTAAAACATGTGCTTTTAAAACTTTGAGTTCTAAATTTTCTCCCTTCCTCCCTCCCCACCCACCCTCATTGAAAAGGCAAGCAACTCAATATAGGTTGTACATGTGCAGTTATGTAAAACACTTCCTTAGCAGACATGTTGTGAAAAACTAACTCTATTTCCCTTAATCCTATCCTGCCCTCCCATTTATTCTATTCTTTCTTTTGACCCTGTCCCTCCTCAGAAGTATTTGCTTCTGATTACCCTCTTTCCCAATCTACCCTCCTCTCTATCACCCCCTGCTCTCTTGTCCCCTTCTCCCCCTATTTTCCTGTAGGGTAAGACAGATTTCCATACCCAATTGAATGTGTATGTTATTTCTCCTTAAGCCAAATCCTATGAGAATAAGATTCCCTCATTCCCTCTCACCTTCCCCTGTTTCCCCTCCACTGTGAGAGACTTTTCTTTTCTGTTTTTTTTTGTGAGATAATTTACCCCATTCTACCTCTCCCTTTCTTCTTCTCCGAGTATCATCCTCTCTCATCCCTTAATTTTATTCTCCAGATATGACCCCTTAATCTTCAACTCACCCTGTGCCCTCTATCTATATACATACATACAATTTTTTCCTTCAACTACCCTCATACTGACAAAGTTCTCATGAGTTACAAATATCATCTTTCCATGCAGGAATGTAAACAGTTCAATCTTAATAAGTCTCTTATGATTTCTCTTTCCTGTTTACCTCTTCATGTTCCACTGGAGTCCTGTATTTGAAAGTCAAATTTTCTGTTTAGCTCTGGTCTTTTCATCAGAATGCTTGAAAGTCCTCTATTTCACTGAATGACCATTTTTTCCCCTGAAGGATTATACTCAGTTTTGCTGGGTAGGTGATTCTTGGTTGTAATCCTATCTCCTTTGCCCTCCGGAATATTATATTCCATGCCCTGCGGTCCTTTAATGTAGAAGCTGCTAAATCTTGTGTTATCCTGATTGTGTTTCCACAGTACTTGAATTGTTTCCTTCTGGCAGCTTGTAATATTTTCTCCTTGACCTGGGAACTCTGGAATTTGGCTACAATATTCCTAGGAGTTTTCCTTTGGGGATCTCTTTCAGGAGGAGATCTGTGGATTCTTTCAATTTCTATTTTGCCCTCTGGTTCTAAATATCAGGGCAGTTTTCCTTGATAATTTCTTGAAAGATGATGTCTAGGCTCTTTTTTGATCATGGCTTTCAGAGTCCAATAATTTTTAAATTCTCTCTCCTGGATCTATTTTCCAGGTCAGTTGTTTTTCCAATGAGATATTTCACATTGTTTTCTAATTTTTCATTCTTTTGGATTTGTTTTACAGTGTCTTGATTTCTCATAAAGTCACTGTCTTCCAATTGCTCTATTCTAATTTTTAAGGAAGTATTTTCTTCAGTAATCTTTTGGACTTCCTTTTCCATTTGGCCAATTTTCTTTTTAGGGCATTTTTCTCCTCATTGGCTTTTTGGACCTCTTTTGCCATTTGGGTTAGGCTGTTTTTTAAGGTGTTATTTTCTTCAGTATTTTTTTGGGTCTCCTTTAGCAAGCTGTTGACTTGTTTTTCATGATTTTCTTGCATCACTCTCATTTCTCTTCCCAGTTTTTCCTCTACTTCCCTTACTTGCTTCTCAAAATCCCTTTTGAGCTCTTCCAAGGCCTGGGACTGATTCATATTTTTCTTGGAGGCTTTGGATGTAGGAGCTTTGACTTTGTTGTCTTCTTCTGGTTGTATATTTTGATCTTCTTTTTCACCAAAGTAAGATAATATAGTCTGACTCTTTTTGCGCTGCTTGCTCATGATCCCAGCCAATTACTTGAGTTTTAAACTCTTTGTTAAGGTAAGAGTCTGCTTCCAATGTGGAGAGTGTACTGTCCCAAGCTTCAGGGGTTTGTATAGCTGTTTTCAGAGATACTTGTAGGGACCTGTAAATTTTCAGTTCTTCCAAGGTGGTATGATAAGGGGCAAGGTGTTTACTCCTTTCCTGGCCTGTGACCACAAGTATTCCTTTCTGTCCTGTAACTGTGAGGAGGGGTTCCTCTCACAGCCACTACAAGCTCCACCACGCCAGCGCTCCTCCTCACCCCAGCACTGCTGCCCAGAACTGTGACCCAGATCCACACACGGGCAAAGCAAGAGATTCCTGCCTCAGCACTGGCAAAGAGATCCCTGCAGTCCCTCTCTGATCAGCCACTGGATTCCCCCTCAGTCTGTGGGCCGGAAGCTCGGGAAGCAGCTGCCCCCCCCCGGCCAGGCTCTTGGGGAATGGAGCTGAGACCCCGCCTTCCTCTCTGACCACCGACAGAAACAGACTTTTCCCACTGACCTTCTAAGTTGTCTTTGGCATTAGTGGATTGAGGAGTCTGGAAACCTCCACAGCTGCCCGCAATTCAGTCCTCTGAGGCCTGCTCTAGGTTTGCTGTGGCCTGTGCGCCCACGTTGCCCTGTGCTGCACTCCCAGCCTGGTGCAATACACCTTTCTGATCAATCATCCAGGTTGTCTTGGGCTGGAAATTTGTTTCACTCTGTCTTTTTGTGGGTTCTGCTGCTTCAGAATTTGTTTAGAGCCATTTTTTATGAGTATTTGGAGGGGTTTGGGGGAGAGCTCAAGCAAGTCACTGCTTTCACTCCTCCATCTTGGCTCTGCCCCCTACAATTATCTTTCTAAATTAAACATTTCAATAGGAATTTTGCCAATTGCTTTACTATATGCCTTCTCTGGTCTATGTGCTGGAGATCCAAAGACAAAATGAAAATTAGATCTCCTCAGGGGATATGACATGTGCATATATAAGTCAACACTCCATAGTTTGAGGTGGGGGAGGATGGGAAAGGATTCTTGCAGAAGGCTGGTGGTACTTGAATTGAATAGATAGTTCTACATCTCTCCAGAGAGCAAAAAGTAAGGTCAAGGGAGGAGGATTTTAGCTCAATGATAAAGAGAAAATTCCAACAATTAGAATCATCTGACAATGGAATGGTCTTCTTTATGAGACTGAATTTGCTATCATGGAAAGGATTTTGATTAGCTGGAGAACTCACATAAGGCAAGGGCTCACATGGAGGTCAGAAGAAGCGATACAAAGACATTCTCACAGTGTCTCTAAAGAACTCTGGAATTGGTTGTGAGATATGGGAGACCCTGGCACAGGACTACCCAGTATGGCACGCCTGAATCAAAGAAGGCATGTATGTGCTCTATGATCGAAGCGCAATTGCAGTAGCTCAAAAGAAACATGAGATGCACAAATGTAGAAACCTCTCCACTCCAAATGTTCAAATGAGTATTTGTGCCCAACTTTTGGTAGAGCCTTCGGAGCTCGTCTCAGTCTGATCAGCTGCAGTTAGACACGCTGTATCTTGACTCCAACATCGTGATGTCATTTTGGTCCTCTGAGAACAAAGGACAGCAACCAACCGAGATGGTCATCCTTTGGGGACATTGTAAAAGAGATTCCAAATCAGAGTAGATGCCTTTGGAGGTCTCCTACCACAGAGATTCTCTGACTATGGGCTCTCAGCTCTCTGAGTACCCATTTTTATACCCTTGAAGGATACAACTGTGTATGTGCACTATTCCAATAATTAATAACAATAACACCAATAATAATTCATGTCTCTACAGCACCTTAAGGTTTATGAAACTCGTTATGGCTAGTTTCTCATTTAAGTGTTACAACAACCCTGTGAAGGAAGGGCTATTATTATCCTCAGTTTATAGATTGGGAAACTGAGGATCTGAGAAATGAAGTGACTTGCCCAGGGTCAGCTAATAAGTGTCTGAGGGCAGAATTTGCATCTAGAGTTTTCTGACTCCCAGCCCAGAGCAATGTAAATGCCCTGAAGGCGAGGGTGCTTTAGTTGGTGCCTTTGCATCTCCCATGCCTCAAGCATCGCCGGGACTTGATTGATTGACCAGGACTTACTGAGTTGAACAGTAGGGTGGAAAGAAAGAGCCCAACCTTGACTTTGGAAGGTCTAGGTCTGAGTCGTGGCTCAGGTCCTCACAGACCATGTTGCTGAGATCAATGGTTTTAGAGGAAGTTTCACACAGGTAGGCTTGTCTGGCAGACCCCGGTGGGAATCTCCTCGGGCACTTACTAGATATCGTATGACCCTTAACTTCTCTGTGCTCAGTTCCCCTTTATAGGCGATGAAGGGATTGGACTCCATGACCTTTGACAACTCTTCTAGCTCTGAGCCCATGATTCTGTGCCTTATAATTTCATCTGTAGAACTGAAACAAAACCTGCTGCTCTCCATCTTAAAGGGGTCTTGTGAGGGAAGTTCTCTGTGACCAGGACAGTGCTATAGACGTGGGAATTATTATGTCCTTCTAGCCATCCTTTCTCTCCTCTGTCCAATCTCAAAAACATCCTGACTGATGCTAGTTTGGAGGATGCTGAGCCGGGATCTGTAAAGTAGGATTATCACAGCGCCCACCTCACACAGTGATGTGAGGCTCGCACGATGGAAATCACTTTGTACACCTTAAAGCACTGTAGAAATGCTATCTGTGTTTTTTATTATTATTATTACTAACCTACACTTCAAAATGTTTTCGTATGTGTGCTTTGAATTGGACTGATGCCAAGGCTAGACCATGCCTTAAGACATTTTCTTAGACATGAATTGGTTGAAGCGGAAATATTTGTACCTGTCAATCAAACAATAAGATTGATTAAGCTCTTCCTGTATGCCAGGCATTGTGCTGAGCTCTGAGGATACACAGACAGGCAGAAAACGAGAGTCTTTGCCCTCAAGGAGCTCACAGTCTAATGGGAAAGACAAATAGGTACATTGAATATATAAAGAGAGTATATGGGAGGTGCCCAAGAGAAGACATTAGCAGGGGACTGGGGAGTCTCCTGCAATAGAGGGGATTTAAGCTGAACCTCCAAGTCAGGGAAAGCAAGAGGCAGAGATGATAGGGTAGAGTGGTCCTGCCATGGGAATGTGTGTTCCCACAAGCTCCCACAAAAGGCACTGAGATGGGAGATGGGATGTTGGATTTGAGGAAAGACAAATGGACCGGTGTTGCTAGAACATCAGCTGTGGACCTGACCTACATCAGAGTAGATGAAGCCTATTGGTATGGACTCACTAAGTGGGGAGAAGGAGAGAAAGGCAGCTGGTGAGGTGTAGATTTGATTATAGACCGTTTCTAAGGGTGGATGAGGAAGTTCATAAAAATGAAAAAGCTAACACCATATACGTGGATTTTGTATTATGAGGGCAGATGAAGATGAAGAGGGGAAAACCGCAGCCTGCCTCTCTTTCTGACAATATTACTGGCTGAGCCATCTATCCATCAGCATCAGCTCATACTATGCAGGATCACGACTGAATGTCAGCTGACCTAACACACACTGGCACTTCAGCCAGCCAGTGACCCAGGGTGAGAAAATGCCAATGTTGTCACCCCTGTTCTCCTTCTCCACTCCTTCTTTCCACCCAAGAAGGTGGTTGCAGGCAGTAGCTTCCTCTTAATTTACTAAATAATAAATTCTCTACGAGAAGCTTAATACAAAGGAGAAAAGGTAGGTTGGGGAGAGGGAGAGACCCCACAGTGCTTCTGCTAAGCTGCTCAATGATGGGCCTAGGTAGGATAAATTTCCCTTCACACCAAATGTGTTGTTTTCACAGAATGGAAGAATGACCCATGTGGGATTTATTGTTCCCCTGAAGGCCTTGCAGTAATGTGGATTTGGAAGGGTAGAGGAGCATGCCCTTCTAGCTGGGCCGCTTTATCGGGTGGATTGTTAGGAGGCAAGGGGAGGAGGAAGAGGAGGAAGAAGGCAATAGCAGTCTTCTGCCAGTTGGAGCAGCATACCCACAAGGCCCAGGAAGCTGACATTCTCCATCAGCCTTTCAGGCCGGGCCTCACCTCGTCACGTAGAGTGGATGGAAGGTTTACTAGTCTAAATGTCCAGGAGGTAGTCAGTCAACAAGCACTTATTACATGTTTGGACCTCAGGCCTCCCTGACCCCCAGTTACCTTCCCAGGACACCAGCTCCTCCTTCTAGGTCCCATCCACGGGACCTGACCTCTTAGCCCCAAACTCCTTTACCTTACACTCCTTAATATGGCATCTTGGCTCCTTGAACCCCTAACTCAAATTCTGGGGCCTCCTGCCCTGAGCCTCCTTCTACCCAAAGTTCACAGAGCTTTTGTCCTTAAACCTGAAATTTCCTTCTGCTTCTGCTGCTGGTACCATTCTGGGTGCCCTTTCTAGATCCTACTTATGGCATGATTCCTATTTTCTTCTTGCCCCATCTCTAATGAGCATTATCATATAATCAACAGAAAACCAACCTTGAATCCAAGAAGACTTGGTTAAAGTCCTGCCTCTGCCGTGTACTGCCCATGTGCCTGGGCATGTGCTCTAGGTAAGTCTCTAAGACTCTAAGTTGCAGAGAAGATGCCAACCTGCATTGGTGGGAGGAATTTCCTCACCCGGGAATTCCCTATACCAATGTGATCACAGTTCAGTCCCTGTCTTTATTTCATATTTACATACTCCAGACTGAGAGGGTGTTTCCAGGATTTAACAAGGAAAGCTGAACATACATATTCAAAAACAATATGTTGGCAAGATAATTCCTTAGTTTCTCCCAGATCCAACCTGGCTACTCTGATTACTCCTTGACTGTCATTTTCTTCTCTTCCCTTTATCTTCCCTCCCACCTGTAACTCCAGGAGAGTAAACATGCCCCAAACCAAGTTTGAGCTCTCCAGAGCTCACTTATTAACTGTTTAACTAAGCCCAGCCTCATTTTCAGCCAATCAGAAAGCATCTTGATAGAACAGCAACTCTGTGGTCTTCTGCCCTCAGGTCATAGTGAACTGAGATAGGAAACTTGCCCTTGACCTACCTATTCAAATAAGGAAATGCAAACAGTTAAGATCTGTTTCTGTTGCTTCATGGTCAAAATGCAAAGTGAGGGACAGTTAGTCTTTAAAAAACATACCCCATTTTTTGAAGAGCATGCAACTCTCCCTTCTCCCTTCCACTTTAAAAACAAAACAAAGCAAAACCTTTCCCACTCTTCTCTCTGTAAGAACAATTTGTTCCAACAGCCATGAAGGCCGCTGAAGCAGCAGGATGGATAATGAATGGCATCATTAAGAATCATCCCTTTTGGGTTAAGGCATTGCTTTCAGGTAACTCTTGTTTATAAAAATAGAAGTCTGTATTTTCACCTAAAGGCTGTTTGCTTCAGGGATATCAGTTTAGAGGTTGTGTGGAGGACAGATTGGTAAGGGGGAAAGGGCTGAGGAAGGGACGCCAATCAGGCCACTGCAGTACTGTAGGTGGGAGATAAAGGCCTGAGCTAGGACAGCTGGAGAGAAGGCGATGGAGAAGAGCAATGTTGTTCTTTGAATCTGTGATCCATAGTATTCAAAGTGGGTCTCTCCTGACTCCAAATCCAGAATGCTTTCCATTACACCACAGATGTAGAATGGTCATTATTAATATTTGGCCATCTCCAACCCCCCCATTCCATTCTGCCAGAAGAGGAAAGGATGAGAAGTGAGGATGAGGTGAGGCAGTTGGGGGGGGAGGGATCATGGAGGATGCACCTCCATGGTTTTCACCATCAAGTGTGGAAGCATTGGAATGCAAACCGAACCAACAAACCTTTATTGAGCACCTACTGTATGTAAGGTATTGTGGTAGACATGAGGAGACAAAGACAAACTGAAAGATGGTTCCTGCCCTCAGGGAACTAACAGTCTGCCAGAGGGATACAGCATGTGGACAGAAAAGCATATTCATAAGAAGGATGAGAGTAACTGAATAGGGGTACAGGACATGAAGAAAGCTGGTCAAGGGGATTCTAGGAGGTGGAACTGTGGAGGGAATGCATTCTAGGTATGAGAGACAGCTAAGCAAAGGCACGGAGGCAGGAGATTATTGTGTTAATGTCTTTGGTTTTCACGTCACCATCATTTTTGGACATATCCTTTGCCCCACCCTCCCAGCCCTGACCCCTTCTTAGGAGCAAAAACTTCAGTGAAAACAACAGTAGCATTGACTCCATGAGATGTTTTAGGCAGCTTTCTATGTATGTAATCCCCTGGCTCTCTGCAAAGAGGGGGGATATATTTCATAATCTGTTCTCTGGCATTATTTTGCAGTTTTGAACACTTAGATTTTATCTTCATTCTTAATGTTCTTTTCATTTACAGTGTTCTAATCCTGCTTTCCTGGAGGCAATAGGGAGCCACAGAAAATTCTTGAGGATGGAAGTGATATGGTCAGACTTGGGCTTTAGAAGGACTAGAGAAGCCCTTTCTCTTTTTCTCTATTTCACTTCAAGGAGTTAATCAAAGACCTCCCAGTACAAAAGAATCTGAGCTTATTTTTGCCACCAGCTGAGACCTATCACTGAATCTATTGGGAAGCAGTTTGGAACTGGTGAAAAGACTACTCAACTTTCTGTCACAAGACCTGAGTTCAAATCTTGGCTTTGCAACTTACTGTGTAAACTTGGGAAATGATTGAATGAAAAGGCATTTATTAAGCACTTACGATATACCAAGCATAGGTGCTGCAAATAGAAAAGCAAATCTAATCCTTGTTCTCAAGAACCTTGCATTGGCAATGGGAGGAAGCAGCATATCTAAGGATGTGATGACCTGGGAGAAGTAGTTTTGTCTGGACAGTTGCAGAGATGATGGGTGGAGCCATAGGGAGTAGACTGACACACCCTCTCCAGGATCAATAGCAGAACTGATTTGATTATGGTCTGAGAACTGGGAATTGGGGCTGGGAGGCAAGATGGTTGGGAGTAAAATGAAGCATGGTTGTATATGTCACCACATATAGTGGGACATGTGATCACTAATCAGGAAAAGTCACTGAGCCCCTCAGTTTCCTCATTTGTATCTTGATAATACCCCGGAATTTGTGTTACTTAAGAACTTTTGCACCAATTTGGTAAGGTTTTATGAACAAGAGTAGAAATGCATACAAGCTAGTTAGGGCTCATTTTGCAGATGTTCCTTAGGCAATGTGAGATTATAGTCATATCTTAAACTGATTTTTTGGAACTTGCTGGGATTTCTTAGTGGCAAGTTTCTATAATCAGAAGGTTTTGTAAGTACAGTAACAAATTTATTAAAATAATTGATTATGGAACATCTTAGATTACTGTAGAACTGGGACTATCGAACTCCTGTGTGTGTTCCTGTATGAGTTAGGGTGCTTTACAATTAGGTCAGGGGTTTGTGAGAATGTTATTTTGTTATTTGGATAATATCATACTTGTCTAAAGTTTTGTTACAATTAATGATGTTAAAAGAAGAATGGCTTGTGGTTTATTTTGTAAATGCCATCAAAGATACAAGGCATGACTAAAAGTTTAAGATCTTGTATGTACTATATTTATGTATGTGCTGGAGCCTGTTATTAATCCCTTAGTGAAATCTCATCCTCCTGGTGAGGAAATTAATAATGGATTAATGTAAAGTATAAGACACTGGGTTTTGATGTGAATTTCTTAAACATGACAATTGGCCATGGTTCCAATTTTGAGTTTGTAAAAATGATTAGGGTTACAAGGGTTAGAAATAGTAGTTTAAAATTGTGCCGAGGAGAATGGACTTTTGCAGGAGAATGGACAGAAAGCTGGTTCCTACAAGAAGCTAAGAAGAAGGTGATGCTGAGATGCTGTGCTGGAGACGGCTGGAACAAATACCGAGGACCAGAGGACTTCACTGATGATGTTTCCTGCCAGACAGCTGTAGAAGAAAAGACTTTTTGAATTTTAAAGGGACAGTTGCATTATTGTTTTCTTTTGGGTTTCTGCATTTGCATTTATGAAGGGATTGTCCCTTTGATTTGTTAATGTATAGATCAATCCTTCCCATATTTACTCAAAGGGGTGATGGTTAGAGAGAGAAGAAAAAGAGTGGAGAAGAATCTGAATTCAGATTTAATAGGAGCCTAAGTCTAGGTGTTGATAATATGGCATTTCTAAAATTCTTAGATTGTAGCATTTGAGGGGAATATTATCCTACTCCTGGTGTGTCTCCCCTGTATACAAGACTCCTTGTTCACCTTGGTTAAGATAGAAGGGAAAGGAGAAATCAAGCTGATGGTTCTGAAAGAGTCAGGGTTGGGTGCCAGTCCAAGACCATCCTGATGGTTATGTGAGGAGGCTTCAAATTGTAAGAAATGAGAGGGGGAACTGTGAGAGATGAACTCTCAAAAGTGAAGCTTCCTCAGGGGGGTCAGTGGTTCTTGTTGAGTGGGATAAGGGGTCCTGTGAAGACTTCTTAGAAGAATAAATAGAAATTGTATTAGACTCAAGGCAGACAGAGCAGCCTGACAGGCCTAAGTTTCGGTTACTAGAAATCACCTGAGTTACGGGAGTTCAGTCCCAAGTACCACCCCCCTCCTTTTAGGCCATTGTTATATCAGTAGTTAAAGTTTGCCTGAAACTCCTGAGGAAGCCCCCCGTATCTTGTTGTACCTGTTGCTATATTTCGGTCATGGTGACCTGGTTATACAGTGCAGTGTGTAGCTTGACGGCACATCTTAAATTGCTTCTTTGGTATTACTTCAGCAAACTAAGGGGCTAAATACAGATATGTATATCGTTCTCTGTTTTGTTTTCTGTTTCCATAGATTGTGAGCCAAACATTGACCAGTTGGTGGGAGAGGGGATTTGCCCATTAGGGCTATTTAATCTGGTTCTTAGCTCTTGTACCTTGTCTCCCCTCATCAGAGTATACTGGCGGAGGGCCACTCTATTCTTGAGAATAGTAAATAAATTAACTTTCTGTTTCTCCTTGAAAAACTCTAAGTATGTTTTTTAATTTCAGTGGCATCCCACACACTAGCAAAGCATCGGGATGTACTGTTTACATTTTCTGCCTTTGTAGAAAAACTTGCAAAATGCTACAGGCTTTTCATTCTTACTTTTAATTGCCCTTAATTATCTGAAGCTTCAGGGCTTTTTTGCTTTTTTGAGGGAGGAAGAGGGTGATATTTGGCATGTGCCAAAGTCCTCAGGCATTGAGCCAGAGTTTAGGTCAAAGAAGAGGTCATCAGCGAGGAGCTATGCACAGAGCCACTCTCTGTCTGTCCGAGGGTCGGCAGTGAAAGGTCCAGGAAGGCCAGCACTCATTTCAGAGCAGGACAGGCTCCGGACATGATGACTCAGCCAATAGGATCAGCCCCCTAACAGGGCAGCTCTCTGGGATTCTGCTCTTCCCCCTTCCCTCCCACTAGTGGTCAGTTCCTTTGTACTTATTAGCTGTTCTATGCTTACCTGTGTACATGTTGTATCCCCTCTGCAGAGTAGGTGATTAATAAATCCTTGTGGAATTGAATTACCTTGAGCTATGGGCTTCAGTACCTACCTGCATGACCCTATGTCTTTTCCTAATAGATGATGTGTAGACATGTGGCCACACCTGGGCGGCACTGCGGGTATCTGCTGCTCACAGCTCTACCACCTGCCACTTTGGGGGGCCACCAGGCACATGCCCAGGGGGCTGCTGGGTAATCCAGCTGCCACTTTGTGGGGCCACCAGGCAGCTTTGGTGGGACCAGATGAACGTTTCCCAGACTCTGCTGCTGTTATTATTGTTGCTTGTTTACGTAGGTGTAACTCGGGGATACGTTGTTGGTCTGGATTTCTTCTTCCTGTTAAGTCTCCCCATATTTCTTTGTGCTCTTCACACTTGCCATTGCTAAGGACACAGAAATATTCTATTATATTCCTATACCGACTTCTTTTCGGGGGGGAGGAGGGGCTCCTGGGGAGGGTAGAGGAGGATCTCCCATCAGTTACCGTCTGGTAGCTTCCTATGTTCCATGCTCCAGGAAATTGTTGCTGGCTGGTTGTCTCCTGGTAGCGCTCTCAGACTAAGTGTTACAGGCTGTTGCTGCTTTGGTGAAGGGAGTTCTTCCCCAGGGCTTCTCTACACAGACACCATCACAGGTCTGGAAAACAACTCCCTTTCCCCGCAAAGGAGCTGCTGAGGTCTGTTGTGTCTGTGCTGCGGAAGGACTGCAAGTGCAGGTTCCCTGGGATGGCACCCCAACTGCCCCACCTGAGTTCTGGCTCTCGCCCAATGTCTAATGTCTACCCCACATCACGTGTCTCATCTCTCCAGCAGTCCTCCCCATTGTTCCCAACACCACGCTAGCCACTTACGCTCCACCATCCTCTTTATACCCTGTGACCGAGACACACATCACCTTCCTTCACACTGTGTCCCCCCTCCCTCTTAGCCATACTTCTGGACTCCTCCGGCCAGAATTTGTGGGCTCTTTTTATGTATTTCAAGTCACTGTATGCTCTGTGGTCATATTCAGGCACAGTGTGGTATAGATGCCGGGTAAAAGAATCTGTCTCTCTGCTTCTTAACTCCTTTGGATACTGTCTGTAGCCAGGCCATCGGAATCCTCTGAGAGGAGACCTTGGGCTCCTCAAATCTAAAGCTTCCCAAACTGGGATAATGGAATCATGGATCTAAAATTAAACTACATCTTAGGAACTGTCTGCTCTAGCCTCCTCATTTTACAGATGAGGAAACTGAGGCTCAAAGACATTAATTGACTTGCCTAAGGGCAAACAGGATGAGAACTCAGGGTCAGTGCTCTTTCTACCATAGCACAATGCTTCAGACAAATGTAAAATCTTCCATCGGCCCACTTCTTGGTCTTTGCGAAGCTGTGGATGCCAGGGGCAGAGCCACTGGTCAGATCATGAATGCCAGCCACAGTTTGGATTCCGAGCTGCCTCCCCCTCCTTGCCCCTCAGACCTTCCTAGTGCCCACCTGCTGGTGTTCTCCCTCCCTTTCCCAGGCCTGCCTTTCCTGCCCCACTCAACTGACCCATGTCCTTCTCAGCTCAGAACAATAAAGAGACATTTCAAGTGCGCTTCTTTAGGAAACTGGAGAGCTCTCAGCTTTATTTTGGAACCATGCATCACTTTGGGTGGGATCTAGAGAATGTCAACATTGTCTCGCTGGGGTTACATCCAGTTGCCCTTTGGGAAGGCAGAATCCATAATACAGATCACACCTGCCTATTCCACCCTTTCCTGCAGACCATGAGTGTGCATTGGACAGGAACATCTTCCAAGAAGTCAACATGGGCTTATGTAAAGGGCACCATTCTTGGGGTTAAGAGATCTAAGAGCAAGTCCCAGTGAGGCCACTTACTAGCCATGTGATTCTGGGCCTTTCCTGTTCTGGGCCTCAGTTTCCTCAGGTATCTTTCACAAGGGAATTGGACTCTGTTTCCAAAGTCCTTTCCAGCATTACCAGGGAGTGATGTGATTCAGTTCAGTTCAATTCGATCCAACCAACATTTGTACCTGGAATTAGTCAGTTAGGAAAGTAAAACCAGTCTGATAGCTTTCTTGTGGTCGACTTTCTTGGCCATCAAAAAAATAAGAATCTACAGGCCTTTTTTTTTTTTTTTTAAACTGAACTTGTAGAGGCTGGAGAGAGGGCTTTCACCTCTAGTTGTACCTTTGATGCCTTTTTAGCAAAGCCTGGAGAATGCAATTTTAAAGAGCTTGTTTTTTTCTTAAGTCTTCTTTCTTAAAAAAAAAAAAATTAGTGTAGGAGACAAGCTCAATATGAGTGACAGGCTGTATCAGTCAAAAGGAGCCATGGGTAGAGATTGCCAAGAGACAAGATGAGACATGATGTCAGCTAGCCAAAATTCTAGCCACCCCAGAGGGAGATGGGCTGCCCCACGAGGTCGTGGAGTGCCCCTCACTGGGAGCCCTCAGGCACAGGCTAGATGACACTGGTCAGGCCTGTTGGAGAGGGACTGTGTTACTATATGGAGATGAACTGGTTTGGAAAAGATCTTGGCTTCAGGTTCTGCACTTCACTCATTCAGCCTTATCTCATCCATGAAAGTTCTACCAGCAACTGGAATTTTTATACAGCTTAAAGATATTTGATCTACTTCAGCACAGTTTTATTTATCCATTCCTTCATTTAGGTGTTTTGTTTTGCTTAGCCCGGGACTGTGATTCGCTCCAGGGCAGGTCAGCACATTCCCTGACACTCCTTGTCTTAATGCCTGGGCACTGAGGGCCTGGTGGTCTGGTGGGGACCGGGCAGCCAGGATGGGCCTAGTTCTTCCTGACTCTCGGGTGGGCTTTCTCTTCACTGCACAGGGCCTGTCACGGCTTTGTCTTAAGCTGCTTTGTAGTCTCCAAGCCTCCTTTGGTCTGCCTCTGATGTGCAGTTAGATCAGGGAGGTTGTAGGGTGTGGTTTAGCTTTCAGCCCCGGGGCTGCTGAGGACTGGCATTGGGGTAGCTCGCGTGAGCAGACACACAGGCTTTGCGCGACTCTTCCAGATTGGACAGATCCTGGCGAGGGACCGGAGGGGCAAAGTGTGGTCTCAGCTGTCACTGCTCTCTCTGTGCCCAACTCTGCCCAGCTCTTCCCTTCCTGGGCAGGATTCTGCTTGAAATAATAATTTAGGGGACCAGTTCGAGCAACAGGGGTGGGGGACCTGGGGGATAAACATTCTCCAGTTTTCTCAAAAATACAAGGCATCACAAAATGGCACAGGACTCGAGAGAGTGCAGGTAGCCCAGGGTTGAGGGGTGGCTGGGAAAGGAGACAAAGGATGCCCCAGGACACAGAAATGTAAATGGAGTGGACGGTCAGAAGGAGCCTAGGAAGTCAGGTCTGAGCACTGGACAGGTTAGCTGCTCCTAGGGAGGTGGGGGGGGGAGGGCGTCTTGGCAATCCCATCATGACAGCCATCCCCCTAGCAGGTGTGTGGCTGATCCTGACCCCAAGAATGATCATCTCCATGCTGCTGACTATGGCTGGCAAATCTGGGGGAAATGGGAAGTCGGGCTTCTGACCGCTCGGCAGCTTTATTTTGGCCAGATGGGGCCAGGCTTTGATCAGGACATCTTAGCTTACAGTCCTCGGGCAGATCCAAGCCCAGGTCATTTGTGTGGATCAGCAAGGGCACCTGGTTCACTACGTCTCCAGCTTTCCCTTCAGACAAAAACACACGTGTGGGCCCTCCCTCTCCTTCAACATGCTGGGATTTCCGATGTGGGCATGTCTTTGCTCAGAATACACCTGGGATTGTTACGGAGAAAGAAGAGATCTAGATGTTAGTGGGCCCGCAGGGAGGAGAGGCCCTGGCAGTGGCGCCTCGGCCATCCTCACGGGAAGAGTCCTACTAGGAAGCGCTACATGTACCGTGACCATTAAAACAACCCTGTTCAGCACCCAGAGCCGCCACGAGGCATTTTGGAGCAAGTTAGTGTCGGGAGGGGGTCCCGAGGGTCTGGTTGCCGATGTCCGTGTGGTACACAGAGATGCCGGGGTACAGGTGGGTGTGGATGCTGCTGGGGTCGAGGCTCTGGGAGTCGTAGGGAATGCCACGTAGCTCTGTCCTCACCTGCTAGACTTGCTCCTCCCCTGCTATTGTGGCGATACGCCGAAGATTTTCTTTCACTTTAATAAACTCAGGGGCCTGGTCTTCTTCCTTTCTGGCTTCTTTTTCCATCTGAAGAAAAGAGAAGTTGACAGGTCAAGGGGGAATGCTGGGGCTATTTCTTGTTGTCAAGTTGATTGTCAAGCATCTGTTAAGCACTTTCTCTGTGCCCAGCACTGTGTTAGTGGACCTTGACTCAGGAGATCTGGGACTGAATCTAACCTGGGTGGAGCTTGGAGCTGGCCGTAACACCTTGGTCAGCTCCATACATCACTCCTCTAGATTAGGCAACAGTGTGGTCCAGTGAGAAGAGCCTAGGGTTCCTGTCCTACCTCTGAGACTTACTATATGCATCCCCAGTGTGACTTTGGCCAATTCATTTATTCTTTCGAGGCCTGTAAAATGAAGGGGCTGGGTCAGATCCCCTTATCCGAGGGGATAAGCCAGGACCCTATAAAACTTAGACCCATCGATGGTAAGTGACTTACACAGGGTCATTCAAATACAAGGAGCAGAACAAAAATTTGAACCTGGGTCTTCTGACTGCAAATCAGTACTTTCTCTACCAGTACTATGATCCCCATTTTATAGATGGGGATCATAGTACTGGTAATAATACCCAGCATTTATCTATTGCTTTAGGTTTGTAAAACACTTGACATGAGATACTAACTCATTTATCTGCCTATATGGTTTATATTACCTATCTCACAGGTGGTTATGAAGAAAAGACTGCATCTTAATTAAAGCACTATGTAAATATCTTCTTGTCATTACCTGGAACTATTACCCAGGTTTCTTTTTGCCCTGTCCTAATTTGTTGTTCAGTTTCGTCTGACTCTCTGTGACCCCATTTGGAGTGGTTTGCCATTTTCTTCTCCAGCTCATTTTACAGATGAGGAAATTAGGCAAACAGGGTGAAGTGACTTGTCCAGGGTCACATAGCTGCTAAGTGTCTGTGGCTGGATATGAACTCAGGAAGATGAGTCTTCCTGACTCAACAGGGCTCTATCCACTGCACCTCAGGGCTGCCCATATAGTGCCTCTCAATTCCAGAGGACATTTTGCTGGCCATGTCGTAGGAAACCTAATCTGAGATTCTGGCTTCCCAGAACCAGTGTTACATCAGGAAGGAACCTTAGAGTTCCAGCCAGACCCCACATTTTATACAGGAGGAAACCAAGGACTGGAGAAGTTAAACACTGCCCAAAGGTCAGAAAGCAGAGCATGCAAGGTCTGGATTGAAGCCTCCTGGCTCCAACGCAGTTCTCTCATCCTATGTCTCATCGCTTCCGCTCTTTGAGACTCAGTTTCTCCATCAGTAAAACTGGAGTAACAGTACTTACAGGGAAAGTCCCTGGTAAAACTTCAGACATTATTGCAGAGTTCTTATTGTCTGAAAGGCCCTGGACGCCTTTGCTCGGGGAGCTTCGTGGACTCACAAAGGAGATTTTTGTTTCACTCGGTGACACAGTGACAGCCCTGATCTCATGCAGGGAGAGCCCTGATCTCACAGGCTGCATTCCCAGAAGCCTAGAAAGGACCCGCGCATCTTGTCTAATCCCCTCCCTTTACAGATCCCAGAGGCTGCTTGCCCCAAGTGCCCAACTGGCGGGTGGGCGGCAGGGCCTGGCTGACCTTGCAGGGCCTGGCTGGCCTTCCAGGCCCACACTCCCCAACGTGGCCCGTCCTTGCCTCTCCTGCCATGCTGCGCTCCCTTCTCCCCCCTTCCCTGCCCTGCGCTAGGGCGGCCTCTCACTCTAACACATCCTGAATTTGTTGGGGCCTTTTCTACCTCCTCCAGGCGTTGCTGTCTCTTCAGCAGCTCCTGTTCGAATGGCGACTTGAGTTTCTTGGCCTCTTCTTCTTCCTTCTTCAGCCTAAGCAGCTGATTCCGCCGCCGATGCTCCAGGACCCGCTGCAGCTCGGGCTTGCTGTCCAGTCCCAGGCCTCTGCAGGTGTCAGGGTTGGGGCAGGGGTGAGGCAGGACAGGGAGGGACAAGGAAAGAATCTTAGTGGAAAAAAAAGGCATCTGGCTTGGGTTCCCATCCTACCCCCTCAGCTCACGATTTCTTATTGCTCCTTGTCAAAATGAGACCTTGGAATCTGATTGTAGAAATAAAGGGGCTGCCTGCTATTTTGGCTTCTCCAGTCCCCTACCACCATGGGAGCTTGGGGAGTCTGTGAAGCTCGGTTTGCCTGTCAATAAAACAGGTGCATGAAGGAGATTTACTTCAGGTTGCCAGCTGTCTGGGAGAGTTACCCCAAAAATCAAGATGTTGTACTTTTGAGGTTGTTATTTGCCCTTTCTTCTTGAAAAGGACCGATGACATCAGGAGGGTGATATCTCCACCTGCTCATGAATTGGATGTAAGAGTGGGTGAATGAACAGAGAGTGAGAGAGAGTCTTGGCCTCCTTACTCTCTCCTATCCTTGATGACTCAGACCACAGCAGGAAGGGAGATGCCACCTCTGTAGAGGCCCTGATGTTGGGGACGGGAGATCGGAGCTCCAGTCCAGGCTGTGGCACTTCCAGCTGCGTGACCCTGGGTAGGTCACCACCTCTCATGGAGCCTTAGCTCCCTCCTGCAAAATGGGGAGGATAAAAAGCCTTGTGCTACTTATCTCATAAGGTGTTGAGAGGAAAGCTCTTTGTAAACCTTAGAGTGAGAAAGGGATGTGAGCTCTGTTTATTGTTGGCTCCAAAGTGAATTGCACACAATGCACCTGGCGGGCTCGTGGGGAGTGCATTTTTCTATTGTAGAACCAAGTGTACAGTGAAAAACAGAACTGTGTGATGGTCATTTACTCAAACAGAAGGATTCCTGTTCAGGCAGAATCTGTGGTGTAATGGATCAGTCGTAAGCAGCTACTGTTTGAGGTTCATAGATTTTAAGTGACTTACCAGAGGTAGGGTTTGACTATAAGCCTGATGGTATGATTTTTTGGTCTTGTTCTGTGACTTCATAGGTATAGGAACCCTCCTTCTACCGAAGCAGAATGGCAAAATATCTTGCAATTTATTGTCTTGGAGAATTTCTTAGGGGCAGTAAGAGATTAAGTGGTTTGCCCAGGGTCACACAGCTAGTATGTGTGAAAGGTTGATGGTCGGGGCTTGGACCAAGTTCTTCCTAATCCCAAGGCTGCATCTCTCATGGTCATTTACTGGGTCAAGAACTAGAACTCCAAAAAGTTGGTAGTTGCTGCTGCTGTGGCCAGTGACCACAGCAGGGATACAAGTAGCCTTATTACTCAGGGTTAAAAAAATCGACTTCATGAGGACAAGATGGAAGGTGATCTGAAAAAAACCTTGAAGTCCTAGTGGACCACAAGCTCCAAAGGAGCCAGTTGTATGACTCGGAGGCCAGAAGAACTCCTTCAGTCTGGGGCTACATTAAGGGAAACCTTGTTCTCAGAAGTCAGGACACAGTCCCTGGTCAGACCACATCTGCTCAGTTCTGTGCACCCCGTTCAGCTGGAAAGCACCTGGAGGAGGGCAGCCAGGATGCTGGGTGACCTTCACATCATGCCACACCGGGATCGTTTGGAGGATCTGGGGAAGTTTAGCCTGGCCAAGGGAAGACTCGGCACAGGATGTCTGGGTTCCAGTATGTGAAGAGAAGAGGGATTAGATGCATTTGACCCTGCCCCAGAGGGTGGGACAAGAGAATGAGGAAGGCAAGAAGGACCATTGAGATTTGAGATCTGTGACTGTGAATGGAGGGGTCCGAAGGCCCAAAGGATGGGGAGCCCTCACTCCTGGGGACACTTAGAGTCCTAGGAATTGTGACCCCTCCTGGCCAGTAGACTGTCGCCAGTTATGGGCTTCCAGTGGCAGAGGGGACGTCTATGAGAGGTCCAACCAGAGCCCCCTCTGTAACATCTCAGCTCTTAGCACAGTGCCTGGCACATAGCAGGCACTTAATGAAAGCTCATTGATTGACTGATCTCATCCTGCTGCTGCCTGAGGACCCCCAGGGACTGAACTCAGTACTGACCATTCTCCTTGTGGCAGGTACCCCTGGTCAGGAAGCTCTTCCTTCTGTATACAGCTGGCGGACTTCCCTCCCTCTCCCTCCAGTACTCCTTGTTCTTCCCACCAGGTCCGAGCAGAATGAGTTATCTTTACATGACGCATAAAAGACACAGGAGGCATGGCAGGGGGCAACTGAAAGCCTTCCTCATTGCACAGTGTTTTCTTGGAGGACGTTCTGGGCTCACAACCTCAGCCGACTTTTGGCAAACTCCCTGAACCAGGTGTGGGGAGCCTGCAGCCTCAAGGCCATATGGGTCCCGTTAGGCCCTCAAGTGCAGCCCTTTGATTGAATCCAAACTTCACAGAACAAATCCCCTTAATAAAAGGATTTGTTCTGTAAAACTGTAGAGTTGAGGCGTGGGGGATAATGTGATTGGTTGGAAATCGGGAATGCAAGGCTGGCAACAACCCCCTCCTTCCTGCCTGTGACAGAGAAGTGTTCACTGAGTCCCCGCAAGGTCAGACAGGATGAACCAGACATCTTTGGATAGTAAACCAGACATCCTTGAAGGGTAGCTTGGTGGTGCAAAGATACTAGACCAGACTCCCTGGTGTGCATCTGCATCCCTCAAGCATAACAGATTTCCTTGAGGCAGGAATAGAGCAGTGATTACCAGGAAAACTGAAATTCTAAACTTAACTTGTTACAGGCCAGCTGAATTTCTGAACTAAGTTCAGACACAAAGAACCATGACTTAGGCAGTTACAGGACAAAATTCAATTAATTGTAAATAGGAGCAATAAAAATTATATAGAATCAATCTGATTATTTTACTCAGTCAGACCTTTGGGGAAAGTGGCATTGTTACCTGGACTATAATAGTCCTTAATAAGGAAAAGGGGCTGGAATGCCCTACCTTATGCCTGGCCTTTATTTAACGTTTTTGGTCTGGATCTGGGGTTTCACTGGGATGGGGAACTCAGTGTGGAAATTGTATTTTGTGAATTCACTAAAATGCCTTGCCCAGAGTCACATGCAAGAGGCAGGGTTAGTCTTAGAGAGTGGTCTGGGGATGCTGAGAGGTTAAATGACTTGCCCACAGGCACAGAGTTAGAATGTGACAGCAGTGGGACTTGAACCCAGCTCCTTGGGCTCCAAGCCCAGTGGTGCCCTGCCTCTTTTACCCATTTTCTCCTAGTTTTACCCCTGGGGCCAAAAAGAACCAATCTAATCCCTCTCCTAAGGGAAAGCCCTTCAAGTCACAGCTATCATATTCTTTTCTAGTGAAACGATCACTCTGATAGATAAAGAAACTCAGGCTCTGAGAGGTACAAGGTCGCCCAGCTCTGGGAGACAGCCCGATGCCAACCAGTCGGGCAGATGGGTTGCATCCATCACCTCCTGCCCCCAGTAGCCAGTCACAGACTTGTCCCCAACATGGCTACATGACCTCCTTCATCCATTATTGACTAACACCGTCATCCCCTCCTGATGCCGGCCTCCCTTGGTGCACTGTTGTTGCATCCTCATGGTGGTTGACTTGACTTTGATCCAGGTCTGTCGGTGGCTGGTGAGAGAGACCCAGCTCCTACTTTTCACTTTCCACTGGAACCACAATCAGTAGACTGTGGGTGGATCCATTGCCCACCTCATCACATTGTCTTTCCCTTCTCTACCAAACTTCCCTCTTTCTTTCAAGGGCACCAACATCCCTGCAGGCTCCCAGCTTCATTACCTCTCTCATTACACTTGACTTCCCTCTCCAATGAGAACTGCTCCATCTCCAAGCATCTCTTAATTGCCAAATAGGGTGGACTTTTCTCGATCTTTATCCTTCCTGGCGGCCCTGCAGCCTCTGAACTGGGGACCACCCTCTTCTCCTGGGTATTTACACTCTCCTTTCTGGGCTGCTGAAAATGGTCTGTATCACCTGTAAAATTTCTCATATTTATACAGGGAAAAGTTAAAAGCGGAATTTCAAAATGTGTTTAAAAATCTTCCAGAGTTTCAGTGGGGTTTGAATGCATTTGTTAAAAATATAAAATCGTAATGCCTTCTGACCGGTTTGTAAGAACAACTGATTGACATCGGGGAAGATGGAAATTTACCACCTGGATTCCATCCAAAGCCTTTGCACGATTGGTGGGTGGCACTGAAAAGTGAAGGTCCTGTGTTTGTGTAGCTGGCGACGTCCTTCTGTGGGGGCCTTCAGAGTCTTGTGTGGCATTTTTTTAAAGCTGTGATAGCTATTGAAACCACGTACTCAGATAAAGGACGTAGGACTAAAGCTATAAATCCCTATATCACTGTCGTCGTTGTTGAGTTGTGTCCAATGTTTTGTGACCCCATTGGGGTTTTCTTGGCAAAGACACATGTCATTCTCCAGCTCATTTTACAGATAAGGAAACTGAGGCAAACAGGGTTAAGGGACTTACCCAAGGTCATAGAGCTAGTAAGTGTCTGAGGCCAGAAATTGCTATATTGTAAGGAATTTAACCAAGATTTCAAAAAATAATGAAGCATATTCCATCCCATTGCTTTCATGAAAATATTATTAATAATAATTTTAGTCAGAGCAGAAAGGTTTTTTTGTGCCCCTACTAAGTAAAAAAATTTCCAAAATATTTCATCTTTATTTCCCCTTTTTAAATTTCAATTTTTGTGTAAGATTTGTAATGAATGTAATTATTAGTAATCATAAGTAACATAATCATAATTATATTTATTATACTGTGTATTTTAATTAACCATAATAACTGTGAGTAATTATGAGTATATAATATATGTATATATTAAGTGTATGTACTTATTTATATAATAAATATATTTCTATATATTTTATATAAGCATATAAATAAGTAAATATACAGCTGTTGGATCCATGCATAACTGAAAGGGGCACATAATTAAAAAAAACCTGGAGACCACTGAGATAGTTTGTTTATGTCAGAGGTGAGACTTTAACCCTCTAAATCTAGAGAGTTTTGTACCTGGTTTCCATGACAACCCAGAGGCTCCAGCTGAGGATGCTCAGGGTATCCCTTGGTCTAAGCCAGGAATGGGGAAGCTGCAGCTTCAAGGCCACATGTGCCCTTGGACTGAATCCAGAGGGCCGCACTTGAGGACCTAGGGGGCCGTATATGGCCTTGAGGCCACAGGTTCTCTGCCCCTGGTCTAAGGGATGGGGAGGACATTCCGTGGCCACTCCTCACCTTCTGTGGTTCATGAGGAGCTCCCTGTGTAGCTCCTGGTGACTTCTGGAGGCTTTTACAGGATTCGTCAGCTTCTTGGGTTTGATGAGTTCTGTGTTCCAATCTTTGTAGTCCGGATGGGCCGTGACTCCCCCAGCTCTCTCTGTTCTATCCCGCTGCATTTCAGAGTACAACGAAGCTGTGAAGAGAGGGGCAATGAGGGCACACACATTAGAAGCCGGTGCTTCCTCAGGGAAGACGGCACGGCCCAAACTCACCTGCAGTGGCGTCTCCCATTCCTGAGGTAGAAGGCAATTCAAAGGATCAGAATTTTAGAGCTGAAATCGAGCCCTCTGCTCCAATCCCCTCATTCTGCAGATGGGGAAAGGGAGGCCCGGAGAGGTCAGGCCACTAACCCAAGGTCACACAGGAGTGGGGGTGGAGCCAGGATTCCAGGCATCACCTGGCTCCAGATGCAGGGCTCCCTCTGATACAAGTTGCGTCCAGAGAGCTTCAGGGTTACACTTAGGATTTCACTGGTCCTGGGGCTCTCACTGAGGAATTTTTTTTCTACCTTCGCAGAACCTTCTGTGCAGGTTGTAATCTTGGAAGCTGCTTGTGGTCAGTGAGAAGTTACATTTAACCTTGCACAGAGGCAGACAGTCATTATATGTGTCAGAGGCAGGACTTGAACCCAGGTCTTCCCAACTCTGAGATCAACTCTCTTCCAGCAAGCCCCACTACCTCTCACCTCAATTTGACAGATGGGGAAACTCAGACTCATTCAGGTTAAGGGACTTGCCTAGGGTCCCACAATCAGTCAACAGGCATGTATTAAACACCTGCTGTGTGCCTCACTGTGCTAAGTGTTGGGAATACAAAAACAAAAATGAAATAGTTCCTGCCTTGAGAATATTACATTCTGTAAGAAGAAAACTAACTTTAAACCTGCAAGTGTAATGAGTGGAACTTGAACTCTGACTCCAATGAAAGGATAGGAAGCAAGCATTTATTAAGTGCCTACTGTATACCAGATGCTTTACAAATATTATCTTCTTTGATCCTCACAACAAACCAGGGAGTGCTATTATTATCCCCAATTTACAGATGAGGAAACTGAGGCAAACAAGGTGAAGTGACTTGCCCAGAGTCACACTGCCAATAAGTGTCAGAGATCAGATTTGAACTCAGGTCTTCTTGACTCCAATCCTGGTGCTTTACCCACTGTGCCACCTGGCTGCCCCTAGCAGTAGGGAATTGCTTCTTAATTGGCCAGCTATAGCATGCAACACCCTGGAACCGTAAGGGAGAAGTCCATAACCATCTCCAGTCCAATCCTCTTCCTATTTCACACAGCAATATCTTCACTTGCTTTCTGTGGAGCAGTGTGGACATTTTATCTTTGGTGTTTGTGGATTAAATGCCTTTTGGAGAAGTTTTATCCTGGAGAAAAGAGGGAGTGAGGGTCACTGGGATATACAATGTATACGTATACATGTGTCTGTGTAAATATGTACATAGTGTACTCAGCATATTTTAATAGGAATAAATGTAAAGTCTTACACTGGAGTTTAGAAATCAGCTTCCTTGGTCCAAGGCAGGGGAGACCTAGCTAGTGGGCAATTATTCTGGAAAAGATCTTAGCATGTAAGTGGACCTCAAGCCTAAATGTGATCCTTTAGCATGTTATAGCAACCAAAAAGCTAAATGTAATCTTGGACTGAATTAAGAGAGGAATAGGAGGGAATAGTGTATTTAGGACAAGGGAGGGGAAAGTCACACATCTCTGTCTAGGTCAGGCCACAGTGGGAATGTTGTAGCTAATACTGGGGCCCACAGGGTCAAAGACTTAGCAAAAGAAAGAACCTCCAGTTCTTGCAGATAAGGCAGGTGAAGCATCTGCCCTCAGGTCATGAGAGGAGAGAGCAGAGTGAGGATTCAAACCAAGGTCTATTGACTCTAAAACCAGAGCTCTTTCTCCTATACAACTTTTTTTTTCCTACTAGGCTCTGCCCCTCATCACTGGCCCTGCCAATGGGGCTCAGGATAGGCCAGAAAGTGTCTGAGACGAGTATCCAGTTTAGATTCTTCATTGAAAGAGGGAGGAAGGTAAGGGGGAGAATCAAGTCTTCTTTAAAGCTATTTGAAAAGAAGAGAAGTAATTCAAGAAAAATGACAAGCATGGCTTCCCGCTTTCCTGGCCTCATCATATCCAAAAGTCTCTGAATGAAAAAGTTCCTGTTTGTCTTCTGTTGAATGCTGATGCAGAATCAATTCCTTCAATGCTGTAGCTTAAGGATAAAGGCTCTACAGGCAGACTTCAGAAAAACCTAGAAAGACTTATATGAACTGATGCTGAGTGAAATGAGCAGAACCAGGAGAATGTTGTACATGGTAACAGCCACATTGTGTGATGACTAAATCTCATAGACTTGGCTCTTCTCAGCAATGCAAGGATCTAAGACATCTCCAAAAGACTAGTGATGAAAAATGCTATCCACATCCAGAGAAAGAACTGTGGAGTCTGAATGCAGATGGAAGCATGCTATTTGCACAGTCTCTCTCTGTTTTGTTTTGTTTCTTCTTTCTCGTGTTCCTTCCATTGGTTCTAATTCTTCTTTACAACATGACTAATGTGAAAATATGTTTAATATGAATGTGTATGCAAAAGCTATATCAGATTGCATGCCATCATCTTGGGGAGAGAGGAGGGGGAGAAAATTTAAAACTCAAAAGCTTATGGAAGTGAATGTTGAAAACTAAAAATATATATATTTTTAAAAAGGATAAAGGCTTTATATGTAATCTGTAGGAAGCAATGGGGCTGAGACTCCACTCAATATGAAGTACGTTACCCAACAATGTCAAGACAGAGAGGCCCGACAGATAACAAATGAGGTGCCCATTGATTGGAGAATGGATGATCCATGGGAGGATATCCACTTTTTTCCTGGCCAAAGAAAACAAAATCCCACATTAGCCATGTCCAAAGAATCTATGTCTCCTTCTATGTTTTAAGTTCATGATTTGTCTGGCAAGAGGTGGGTCAGGGAACTCAATCTTTAGTCTTCCAGAAGCATGGTTGGTGATTGCGTTGATTGGTGTTATTATGGTGTTTATTACACAATAATATGGTGCTATTATAGAAATTGTTGTCCCGGTTTGTTTTTGCCTTCATCAGACTGGGGAAGACTTGTATGAACTGATGCAAAGTGAAATCCGCAGAATCAGGAAAATGATACACACAAAAGACCGTAAGAGATGCAAATGAAAAGAACAATATTCTTGGTCTTAGAGAATATATAAGGAAATATACCTCCTTCCCCTTGTTGGGGAGGTGGCAGCCTACAGCAGCATAATGTCACATACACTTGTCAGAATGGTTCCTGGATTGGTTGGTTCAATTCAATTCAACGAGCATTTATTAAATGCCTGCTGTGCACTGGGCACTGCTGGGTGCTGGGATACAATAGCAAAAACACCAGTTCTAGTCTCAAGGAGCTTATGTTGTACTTGAGGAGAAGCAGAGTGGGAAGGAGAAGAACAATATTTACATGGATAAGTATGTACAAAATAAATATAAAATGTGAATTACGTGTGTGTGTGTGTGTGTGTGTGTGAATGGGTGGGCAGCTATATTGAGAAATGGCACTTAGGCTTAGCCTTGAAGGAAGCTCAGGGTTTCAAGGGAAAACATGCTAGGCATGGGACGCAGCTGGGGGTCGGGAGATGGAGAATCTTGTTTGACGAACATCAAAGAAACCAGTGTCATTGGCTCAAAGATTGGGGTGAGGGCGTATAAAGAGATGAATAGTTAAGGGCTGGCCTTCTGTGGTGGTGGCAGAATTTGAGGGAGGTGGGGAGCCCCCCACACCAAAATTTCTCCCCATTGATGTTACTCATGGTCTACATAATCATTAGAGTTATTTCTTTGGGTTAAAATATGTCTAGTGTTAAGACAGTGTGATAGAATAATAATAATAATAACAACAACAATAACTTTTATGTTGCACTTACTATGTGCTATCCTCACAACAATCCTGGGAAGTAGGTGCTGTTATTATCTCCATTTTAGAGATGAGGAAACTGAGGCAAGCAGAGATTAAGTGACTTGCCCAAGGGCACACAGCCAGGATTTCTGACTGACTAGAGATCTACTGCATTGTCAACTCTCACTATTTAAATGTCACTTGTTAAAGCAGGCCCCCCCTCGCCCCCCCCACTCTCCACCCCCTTGGGAAGTTTATACGTTTAACCGAAAGAAAAACTTTTCCTGAACAGCTTTGTCCAGGTTTGTCCATCTGTGACCTGGGGAGAGAGAGAGAGCGGGGGAGGGCTTCCTTGGCTACTTGCTGAGAAGTTTCTTTTTATGATGCTTTGTTTCTGCTTGCCCTCTGGACCCAAGCAGGGCTTTGGGTCAGATACCATAATAAATAGCAGACCGTTCCAACATGGTGGCACAGCCTCCACCACTCCAACAGTGACTGGTGAAGAGGAGTCATAGACATTCCCGAGGGCTGGGGGGCTTCGTGGAAAGGGTGTCGGCCCATCCTCGGGTGAGAGTGGGTGGTAGTAGGGACCTGGGGCCTGCACTGTGCCCATGAGGTAGTCAGAGACCTGGAGAAAGGAGAGATTCCCCTCAAGAGAGTTTACAGAAAGACTCGGACGGGAATCACACAGGTGGAGGCAAGGTCGATGGTAGACTGCTCCAGGGAGGAGGCCATCGAGCTAATGAGACTTGCCCACTGTGGACGCCTTGGGCTGGGTCCCCTTGGGGGGAAAAGGCCTGCGGTCGCCTTTGATTTTTCTCCCCCTCAAAGCAAAAATACATATTAAAAAGTATTGCTTTGTTTTCATGTCACACTCAATTTTTTATATTTTCTCCTATTTCCTTTCCCAGCAAGCCATGTCTTACAACAAGAATGAAAAAGGAAACAGGGAAAAAAAGAAACACTTCAGCAGTTCAGTTTGGGCTTCAGCTGAGCCTGGCAGTCTGTGTCCATCCCCTGCCCATCCCCCTTCTCTCTGCCAGCGTGGTGGCCAGCCCGGTTCAGGCCCTGGCGTCACTTCTGGGCCTCGCCTCCTCACTGACCTCCCCTTCTCCAGTCTCTCCCGTCCATCATCCATCCGCCTGTCAAGTAAGCACAGGACCGACCGCATCACTGACTTGCCTAAGAAGCTTCAGGGCCTTCCGACTTC